AACTTCCCGGATAACTAGCTACAGCCGCGCCTCCGCGCCGCGATGAGCCCCGACAGCCTCGACAGCCCCGACAGCCCCGACAGCGGCTGCTCGATGACTCGGCGGCCGAGGAGGTTGACGAGGTCGACGAGGCCGACGAGCAGCACGACGGCGAGGAGCAGGGCAACACGTGGCTGCCTTTGGCCGCACGCGCCTCCGTCGGCACGGTCGGCACCAAAAAGACGAAAACTGAAAAAGATGAGGGGCGGCCAAACTTTTTGCATGAATAACCGAAAGGGGAGTTTGCCTACAGTCTCGCCCGGCAGTCTCCGGCACGGCCTGCGGTACTAGTGCCGCTAGTGCGGTGCCCCGGCCGGCCCCACCCCGCTCTGCCTCTGTCTCGCTCGCACCCCAGCGGACCGTGGAGTGCCCCATGAGTGCGAGAGAGACAGAGAGTCTGATGCTCTCCCCGACCGCACCGCGCCGCACCGCGATGTCATCGTCGCCTCCCCCCCCCCTTTTGTTCGTCAAATCGGCCATCCCGCCCGAACCTAAGTCTTCGGCAAACCGCAAACAATTAAGCCTCTCGAGTCGGGTCCACGGCCACTCCATTCGCTGGAAATTTGCCGAACTGGAGTAGTTCAGCTCCCGAAAGTCATTTTTCAGCGTCTGGTAAGGCATGCGAAACATCAGGTCACTTTGGTAATGACCAAATAGCCGATATTTTTTTTTAAATTCACACCAAATATTTTTTTAATTCAGAATTTAAATGTACTACTAGTGCTCGTTAGTTTATTCTTATGTCACTTGCGCGTGCCTAAATTGATAAGTGAAGACTGCATATGATTTTGTGTGTGTGTGTGTGTGCGCGCGCGCGCGCGTGTGTGTGTGTGCGTGTGTGTGCGTGCCCCCACTTGGAACGGTTCCCCGTCCCCAGCGTCCCCAGCATCGCTGGTCCAGCGAGTCCGGCGCTGGTCCGCTGGTCCAGCGACCCGCAGCCCCAGGTGGTGCCAGCCTGCCTGCCCCTCAGACTCTCAGACGGTCCACTGCCCCGCTCGGCTTGGCTCGGCTTGGCTCGGCCCTGCTGCACCATGTCGAAGCTGCAGTTGTCTGCGGCCGTGGCCGCGCTGGCCGCGCTGGCGGCGTTGGCGCCGTCGACTCGGGCCCAGAAGCTGACCGCCGCCACCATCCGCGCCCAGGACGTGGACAGCATCCTGTCCAACGACCGCCTCCTGTCCAGCTTTGTCAACTGCGTCCTGGACAAGAAGCCCTGCAGCCAGGACGGCCGCGAGCTGCGCAGTGAGTACCGACACAGTGGATTTGCCACCGGCGGAGGCGGCCAAAATCCCAGACGCGTTTTGAGCTCCAGAGTCGCTGAATGGGACTCGAACCGAACGTGTGACCCCACCAATGGATTGCTCTCTGAACGAGGAATCCATCGGTGGGGTCACACGTTCGGTTCGAGTCCCATTTAGCGACTGGAGCTCAAAACGCGTGAGGAGTTTTGGCCGCCTCCGCCGGTCTTCTGGCCCGCTGTGCGTTGCACCAACACCAACAGCTGCCATGCTTTTGCCGTTTCGGCTGCGAACGACGAGGCGCTAAAGGGAGGACCAAATTGGCCTTGAGTGATACTGTGACACTGTGAAACTGCTTCCCCGTAAGCCGGTGCTTCCTTGCAGGTCCGTACGGCCCGAGGTACGACCACGAGTCCTGGGCGACGCTCGTCCTGTGGTCGCCGCTGATTAGCGAAATGACGCTGCCAGGCCTCTGGGGCATGTCGTTCTGGCACGTGAACGCCCTCCGGTTCGCTCCCGTTCGGTGACCCGCGCTGGTGCGGTGCCGTGGGTACCCTGCGTACCCTGCGTACCCACTGCAGGTGATTCCCCACACCGTAAGGCAACACACACGGCGCGAAACTGCCTTTAAAATTACAAAATTTTACCTGGTAATGGGAGGGACACTGGACCAAAAATGTTTGAAAACAACAATAGCCAGGCCAAAAGAAAAGACCGATTTCTTTCATTTCTTTTAATTTTAACTGGGGCTTTGTCTCACTGACTCCGTCACCGAGTGCGCGCAGAACCGGTTCGTGGGCAAGTAGCCATTCGCTCCGCGTGCACCGAGGCTCTGTTTTTGCTCGCAATAGCGGCTGGATTGAGCGACGTTCGTGTGTTACACTGTGTAAACGAGCTACTTCATAAAGAACATCGCCCGTGAGGCGGAGAATGCGGTTCCAAGTTCCAAGGGAGTAAGGATCGAGTGGTGTTCTCACCAGTAGCAATCCGAACGCCACCTGCTGCACGCTTGTCTTTCTCTCTCTCTCTCTCTCTCTCTCTCTCTCTCTCTCTCTCTCTCTCTCTCTCTCTCTCTCTCTCTCTCTCTCTCTCTCTCTCGCTGGAGCGTTGCCACTGCTGCTTCTTTCTCCAGAATTCGTGGCACGCGCTGCTGCTGGAGTGGTGCGATTTTGACGCAACTCCGGGACAGCGCGCCCTTTCGACCTCACCGACGCGAGGTGCCGCGACGTCAAAGTGGATTTCAAATTCAGTTCTTGCTTTTTTTATGCGATCGGGTCATCGCGCAATGCGTCTGATTTTTTTTTTTTTTTTGCTTTTTTGTTGGTGTGTTTGTTGCTTGTTCTGGGAAGGAGCCGCTGACTCGCACCACGACGGGGCACTACGCCCGACTACGCCGCCATCCGACACCCGCCATTGCCGCAACGAATTGAAACAATGTCCCCCTGTTGCAGAGTCGATACCCCAGGCGCTGTCGACGGGGTGCGCCTCGTGCTCGCCGAACCAGAAAGTGTTGACGGAGAGGGTCATCCGACACCTGCGCGCCAAGCGGCCCCGCGACTGGGCCGCCCTCACGGCCAAGTACGACCCCTCGGGCGAGTACGAGCGCCGCTTCTCGTCCACCACCCCGCGGACGACGGCCACCTCGACGGCCCCCGACAAGACGCCCCGCAGCGCGCCCAAGCCCACGGCGCCCACGGCCTCCACCGAGGGCAGGGGCGGCAAGGCCCGCGCCGCCGCGACCCGCGCCGCCAGGCCCAAGACGGCCACCCCGGCCACCCCGGCCTCCCCGTAGACAAACAGCGTGGGCAAACCTCATCGGCCGCGATGAGGAGAGGAAAAAAGGAGTCGGATTTGGGCGGCGTTTGAACCCCAGCCCCGGCCTGGCTGTGGCTCCACTGTGTGGCTACACTGGGCAGTCGGAGCGGGTCAAGGCCGGGCGGCCAAGCGCCAGCAGGGCTGCCAACGCCCCAACCCGAGCCAACCCCAGACGCAGCAGAACAATGGAAAAGAATTCAATAAAGACAATGTGGCTCGGCGGGGCGTTGAACCCACCCCTGCGAACCCAACGGTTGTGGATCTTACAGTTCTACGTGAATAACCCCATGACCCGTTCCAAACACTCGGCGCACGTCAGGGCGCGCGCCGTTCTCAGAATCAAAGTTTTCTGTTTATCCTAATTTCGGGTACGTACCGCACCGCGGCCCGACAACACCGAACCTTCAACCTTCCCCCCGTGTCTACGTGTGTGTGTGTGAGCGTGGTCTCTGTTCTGGAAGGGGCGCAGGGATATGTTCAGAGCGACCACACCTCTCGGCTAATTTACACTATATTTATTTACAGAATCTGCTTCTCACTCCGAATAAATACAAAGATCACATTGGCGCTGGATCAAACTCTACACACAGACGCTGCCGAAACCGGCACGACCCGTAACAGTCCACTGCTAAAAAATTGAGCAAAACTTCAGGTACATGTTCAGGAAAGAGACTTCCGAATCGCCAACGCGCGTTCTCGTAAAAAAGTGTACCGAAAATTGTCAATTTTTCTGTCAGTTCAATTCGGAAGCCAAATCATGGTACGTTTGGTGGGGGCGGCCTGCTTCAGCCGGAGCGGAGGTAGCGCGCGGTGATCTGCTGGTAGTCCTGGGGGTAGTTCCTCTCGATGTAGTTGATCAACTTGCGCGCGTTCTGCGACTGGGTCTGCGTACAGCGACCACACTTGTTGTTAAGGACCTCCGGAATGGCCTCTGCAACAACAAAAACAACAACAATCAAGACGACAACAACAACAGGGGCAGTCACCCTTATCCCTCCCCCAGTTGGGTTCATAACGCCCGGTAGGTGGGCAACCCGCTCGACATCCCCCGAAATAACCTAAAACCTCCCCGCGGACAGCAACAAAAACATGACTGACAAACCTCGGCAACCGATCGCCGTAAAAACGGAGACGGTAAGTTGACGACATCGCCGATTTTAGTTTAGGGGTATCGCGTAAACGGCTTGTGCTATTTCAGTACTTTGGGGAGGGCACTGGACACAGTAAGCCGGCGCAGGCGGCCAAAGTTCTAGACGCGTTTTGAGCTCCAGAGTCGCTAAACAGGACTCGAGCCGAATGTGTGACCCCACCAATGGATTCCTCGTTCGGAGAGCAATCTACTGGTGGGGTCAAACGTACGATTCGAGTCCCATTTAGCGACTCTGGAGCTCGCAACGCGTCTGGAGTTTTGGTCGCCTGCGCCGCGCCGGTCTTCTGGCCCACTGTGTGCCACGCCCCGCCACGCCACCCGCTGGCGACCAAAATGCCGTTGTATTGGCTTCGCCGCTTCGCCAGGCTTCGCGCTGCGCCGGGTCAATCCCGGGCCGTTACACAGTGTGTTACACACCCCGGGGCCCCGCAGAGCCCCGCAGTGCCCCGCGGCCACGCACCGCCCGGTCGCCGCGCGAACCACAACCGCGTAGCCGACCGAGCCGGCCGCCTCGCTCGGCCGGCTCGGTGCAGTTACGGCCACACTGTGGGCTGTCGGCGCTGTCGGCCCGAGCGGCCCCGACGAGGCGAAGCGGCCGAAGCGGGCGAAGGTGCTTCTTGCTGGCCGTAAGGTCATCACCAGAAGGGCAACGCTCCGGACCGGCCGCGACACGGTTCGCTCCGTCTCCCTCGCACTGGCGCGGCGCCGCGTAGGGGTGCGAGAGAGACAGAGCGGCGAAAGCAGCTGATCCGCCCCGGGCCGCCCCGGGCTGTGGGGCTGCCCCTGACACCCGCCACGAGATTTTCGTACTTGAGGGCGAGAAGGGAAGGGGTTAGCTGACCCGCAGCGCAGCACTGTGGGCCAGAAAGCCGGTGGAGGTGGCCAAAATTCTAGACGCGTTTTGAGCTGCAGAGTCGCGAAACAGGACTTGAACCAAGCGTGTGACCCTATCAATGGATTCCTCGTTCGGAGAGCAATCCATTGGTGGGGTCACACGTTCGGTTCGATTCCCATTTAGCGACTCTGGAGCTCGAAACGCGTCTTGAGCTTTTGGCCGCCTCCGCCGGTCACCTGGACCACTGTGCGCCGCGCCCCGCAGGCCGGCGGGAGCGCCGAGCGAGGTGTGCTGCCACACAACAACACTCATTTAGCACTGAAGTGGAAAATTCCACTAGTTAAGTATTGTTAGGGTTGCCAAACCCTCCTGCCCACGAGGCAACTTCTCGAGAGGAGATCCCACCACAGCCTCGGAGGCAGGCCGAAGTTGGCAACCCTTTCGACACGGGTGGGATTTTTCGCGGTTGGGTTTCCTGTGCGCGCGGTGCAGCCTTGGGCGCAGCCTGGCGCGTCGTGAACCGCGCGGGTGCGTTCTCCGTTCACAGCTCGCGTCACCGCGCCGGTCAGATCAGGTCAGAAGGTCACGAGGTGGGAGGATCGAAAGAGCAAACTGAAATCCATCATGTTCTGGAACGCGCCCCCGCCCTGGCGGCCCGCGCGCCAATATTCCGCAGACAATACCCCAAAGCGAGCGGGGTAACCCAACGTCGAGGCTTTTACGGGCATTTATACGAGTGGTGCTGCAGGCAGATTCCGAAGAGGCGTTTCGGCGCTGTGTCTCTGTCGCACTCATGGGGCGTTCCGTGAGGGTGCGAGAGAGACACAGCGACGAGACGGGCGGAGCAGCGCGCGCAGGGCGGCGTGGCGTGGCGTGGCCTTGGGTGCTTTACTGCTCCAGCCCACCTGCTGGAACCGCCGCTCGCCTGCACCCCGCGCCCCGGCGCCGTGCCTGGCCGCGCCGAACACCCTCAAGTCCTCTCGCGAATCAACGCGCCGAAGGCCGAAAGCCACCCCCAATCAACCATGAAGCAATCTACCTCCGGTTGTACAGTGGGTCAGAGGACCGGCCCGGCGGCCAGAACTCTAGACGCGTTTTGAGCTCCAGGGTCGCTAAACAGGACGCGAACCGAACGTGTGACCCCACCAATGGAGAGGAATCCATTGGTGGGGTCACACGCTCGGTTCGAGTCACATTTAGCGACCCTGGAGCTCGAAACGCGTCTGGAGTTTTGGCCGCCTCCGCCGGTCTCCTGGCCCAGTGCGGATTGAGACTCACGCTTGAGCTGGTTGCCCAGCCGGTTGCAGGGCCCCGTGCCCTTGACGCAGCTGATCTGCATCATGACCAGGTTGCGGTCCCCCAGGAAGCCGTTGATGTCGCCGTTGCCGATGCTGGCCACGCTGCCGCGCTGCGGGGCGGCCTCCACTGACGCGAGGGCGGCCACGGCCACGGCCACGAGGGCGATGCAGGCGGTGCGGGTCATGGTGGTGCGGGGCGCGGTCGAGTACAGAGACTGTGCGCGGGCCGCCTGCACTCCCACCTTTATACCGCCTGCCCGCCCCCGCCCCCCTCCCCACCCCGGCGACTGCAGCCTGCTGCAGCTGTCCCCCGGCGTCCCCTAGAGTCCCCGAGCCACTGGCCCGTCTCCGGGGGCCCATCATGCGCCCCTAAACGGTGAGAGCTGAAGCGCTGTAGAATGCCATAAATGGGGAATTGAATTTTAAAGCTTCTCTTTGCGTAGCGCCGGTGTCTCGTTCTCGTCTCGCCGCAGGAGTGTCCCTTGAAGCGTGCGACCTCGTTAAGCCACTGCCCGCCTCTTCGCCCGGGCCGACCCTCGGGCCCTAGTGACGTCATTTTCGATGGTGTGACTCATTTTCATTCTTAAATTCTTCAATTTGTTCAAGCTAGGGTGTTTTTTTTGTTGTTTTCTTTTTTGGAGAAAGAGTTATGCTGGTCTTAAAAAGTATTAACTGTAAATGAACGATGGTGCTTTTTTGTTATGTATTTTCACAATTGTTAGAATAAACAACACATTTACAAGAACTGTGTCATAATTTACAGTATGTGCAAAAAGTTTCATGTCAAAAAGCTTCAACTTAGCTAGATTAGGATGGGTATTACCACTAAACTTATTATTATCAAATAAGGAAGTAATCACAGACAACAGAAGGTCAGAAAAACAGATCAAGAAAAGCAAAATCAAAAATTAAACAATTAGATACATAACAACCCATTCATTGATTCTTTTCCTGCTGTAACTGCTTTCAAGAATGCTTGTTAAAGCATGTTTTTACCTTGAAAAGGATAATATTTAGAAGTGCTTAGCAGACCATGGGACTTGATTAATTTTTCACAAAAACAAGTAGTAGACAGCCATTCAAAAAATTTAAATAATGACCGCATGCTAACTGTCAGAATAACAACACAACAGAATTGTATCAACCATTAATGCCAACTTTCCATGCTGTCAAAAATAGTAGACACAAAAGATTTTCATAGATTAGAGTTAATTTACAAATTTCAAAGTGCTAAATCACAGGCTCATTTTCCTTTGCTCATTTCGGTTCTGCTTTCCGATCATAAATTGATTCTATGATGCTGGGCAGTCAAGGTAGAAACAATCATCCCATAGAAAAATAAATCCGGCAAAGAGATCATGACATTTAAAAACAGAAGGGGAAAATAAGGAAAAGCTGCTACTTCAACCATTTACTGCTTCACAAAACTGCAACAGATTGAAAAGTTAACAAAATCCGACTGTCTTTAAAAAGAGCCCTTTTCTCCAATTTTTCATAGCGCAAAAAGCACTATTTACTAAACATATGGCTTTTTGAGCTATTGAACACAAAAACTTTCAGAGCAAACTTCCTCCAGAAAGGCAAGAATCAACAGTAGAAGCAAATCCTTCATTATAAGCCATGAAATTAAACAGTTGCATTGAAGTTACAACAAAGGCATCTTGTAAGCATAGTACAGTGAATTACATTGAAGTGTCATACCCTCACTCACACAAGTCTATGAAGGCATCATAAATTATTTTAGTGACACTACATTGTTATCTCGCATTGATCAACACAAGTTTAACTTCATTGCACAGTAACCAAGGAAAATTAATTCAACAGGCAACTTTCTCAAGAAGGCAACATATGAAAGCAGAAATAACATTTTGAATGCATATAATCAAATGGCAATAAGATTGTGAACAGTTCAGAAGCACCACAAATTTTGTAAGAGTCATGAGGATGGATGGAGGAGTCATGTGAGAGAGAGTAATAGAGAGCTGGCCACTGTCCGGGCAGAAAAGATTTAAGGAAACATTGACGTACGCACCAGTGAGCCAGTTCTCAACAGCAGCTATTTCAAGGACAAAACAAATTTCAAGCCATTGAAAAATACAGTGTTATCATAGCCTACTTGGAGCTGTACTCCAAAACTTAGATACATTAACATTTTGGTGCCTGATTCTACTGCTTCTGGAACGAAAAATCAGTTCACTTTGATAAAATACACACTTCATTTCACCACTCCCACTGTAGTATGTGTAGATCCAGGAGACTAGCTACTACTCAGCACAAGATGGTGTAGTCACAACTATATACAATTAACACCACTTTGACATTTCAATGACATTTCAAAAAATAACTTGGCCACCTCAAAATCTTGAGGGGAGAAGCAACTTTTCTTAGCATATACACAAATTGTAATTTATTGTACCTTTTTTGAACGGTCATTTTGAAAAAATATTTGAAGCATAGTTGTGTTTTCAAAAGCTAAACCCCATTTAAAACACTTAAAATGGCAAAACAGATAAAATATGCCGTAATTTATGAAGCCCATGATTGCATTTCACGAAGAATGTCCTCATCTTCCTCTTCTTTTTCTACAAAAGAAAAACACAGAATAAGAGCTTGTGCCAAGAAAAAAGTAACATATAACCATTACACGACAAACCAATTGAAACTTACTGGACTTAGCTTTGGAGGTTGACGCAGGAACCTTAGGTAGTTCGGTCTTAGGTGCTTCGGGCAGTTCGTCTGCAGTTGGTCCAATGTCCAATAATTCCTTATCTAACTCTTCCTGTTCTAATTCTTCTAACTCCCTTTCTAGTTCATCCTGTAAATTAAGAGAGACACAGAGGTGAATGTTGAGCCAAAATATCCTAGATATGGATATAGAATACGGATAAGAGATCATAAACCACTATGAAAGTAGACACTACATACCTCATCAATGTCATGTCCGAAGGCGACTGGATTAGAAATGGCATCAGATATTTCCCTTGCAACATCTTGCTGCTCAGCAATGTCATCCATCATGTCGTGGACATCATCCACATCCCTGAAAAACATTAATAGCAGGTATTAATCGGATTCCTGAATAGCGTCATTTTTTTCTGGTAGGCATTTCCAAATAACTTGCTAGTAACAGGCAAACAAAAAAAATCCAAGCACGCTAAAGAATTGTGTGGGGGAATTTGCGATGAAATCAGATACATACATGTGTTTGTGAGCAGCCTTGAGAGCATCGGCGGCACCCTTCATTGTAGTGAGAACAGCCGTATTGGTATTAGCACCCTCGAGGGCTTCTCTCTGCATTTCTATTGTTGATAATGTGCCGTCAATCTGTTGCAGCTGCTTTGTGTACCGCTGCTTCCTCTTGAGGGCTTGCAGAGCAGCTGTGAACACACCACACTTATCGTTAAACAACCCGAAATTTAATATACAAGAGTCAGAGTGCTATGAACCATTCTGAAACACAATGACATTTACAACAGAGAAAATACCTCATGAAAGTTAATCATCCCATCTACAGATAAATATAGCAGTTGGCAAGACCAGACGAACAGAAAAATTAAAATTCATAGAAAAGAAGGATGACAAGGTCATGGTTAGGATCTACAACGCAGGTGTTTGTCAACTAACCTCTCTTGTTTTTCTGTCCATTTTTCTTAGCTGTCGCGATTTCTTGCTCGATTTTCTTTTCGAGGAATTCCTGCTTTTTGATAAGCATTTCCTCCGTTTCCCTCAATTGTTGAATTGCTTCACCCGTTGTGGGGGCTTTGTTTTCCTTCTTGCCCCCGAAAACTTTGCTCAGAAAACTCATCTTGGAGGTGTGTTGAAAGCAACAGAAGCTTTAAAAAAGGAACTGCGTCCGCTCACAGCACGGGCAACACAAATAATGGTCACAACAACTCGGGAAAAGCACGACAACTCAAAAATGAGTCACTCCTCCGTTGACATCAAGGGTCGCTGAATCGCAGATTTCGTTGTTTGGCCCTACACCAACGCGAATGTGTCATCCAAAATCGGAAAGCTGATGTGGCCTTTCTCCAACACCCATCGTGAGGCTACAATGTGTCGCGGTATGAGAAATTCCGATTCATCCCCGCGGGAATCTCAAACAGTTACAGTGAGCCGGACACACACTGGGCAAAAAGAAATGGTAGTGTCAGTGGGCGGAGGAGAACTTGAGCCACTTTGAGACTATCTCGAGGTTTCTTGTCCATCGCTCGAGTATGGTGCAAGGGAAGACCATTCATCACTTATGTACTCATTGCAGAAGTGTGTCACTTTGAACATGGAAGGTCGTTCTGGCAGTAAGAAAACAACAAGGTTTTAAAAAGTATTCAATGCGGTTTAATTCAACTGACAATAAATCTGTGTTCTTTGTTGTCGCCTGCTTGTAATTCAATAAGACCAACATTCCAAGCATTAATATCCTCTCGTACAACTTCTATTGGTACAAGATAATTCAAGTATAATCTCATTTTTCCTTTACCATTCTCTCCTTTTAGAGGAACTTCTATAATGTAAATAGGTTTTGGCTCAACCTCTTGTAAAGGTTCATATCTATCACCCATAAATCGGGAAACATCACCCATTTCTAAAGGTGGATGACCGATGATTGCATTCACTCCTTCATGTGCAGCAACTTTAGACGCAGCTTCTCTGAACCATTTCGCATCCTTAATTTGATGTTGATTTTTCCCATACACAGCAGCGGCGAGAGCACCTGTTGCTGCTGCGAGGCCAACTGCAACCTTGACAAGACCCATCGAGTAGCACAGAGGACGTCCGTGATCTGAAACGGACGTAAATCAACAAGGTAATTGGGAGACAAATGACAGACTTATCAATAAGAAAATATTTACGAAAGAAAAACGGCAGAAAGTGATGAAAGGTAGACAAGATAATGGAAAAAATTTACAATTTCACTTAAAGCAGAGGGACTAAAACTAGCTAAAGATAAAATTGGTATCGATAAATTGACTCAACGTCGCTTAAGATCAAACCACACCTTCCTAATTGTTTCGCTGGCTTTTCAGTCTGTACCAATCAAAGATACATGTTCCAATTCCGGTATATGAAAATCTTTTTAAAAATAACTATTGAATCTACAGTACACAACAAAGTAAAAAACTGTATCCAACGGGAATATTTTGGTTAGGATAGCAGACGACTCCCCCACCACCTACCCGACACTCCCCTTTTACGAAAAATTTACTAGCCTCACATGCTTATTGGCAGTATTTTCCTGTAAATAAAGTATGTGGCTAGTGAATTTCTCACCGGTCAAAGGTTAGGTTAGGAATTGGACACTCGCTCGCGGTCGCGAACATGGCCACGCGGGGTTTAGTCCGAATATTTAACTTTAAGAGTCCTTCTTTCAATAATTTTTCAATACTTTCAACTCGACCGTCGGACAAATGTCTATCTTGCTCAAGGATTTCTGGTTTGGCGGCTGTCTGTGGCACTGCTAGACTGTACAACGATGTCCTTGGCACTTGTAATCAACACACAGGTAGACTTTCTTCTCGTGTTTATTTGATTTATCTCACAAAAATGACAGTGTTTTAGTCGTTAATTAAGTTCTATCAATCGCATCGTATACCGGCCCGTGTTTTCTGTAGATTGTCATGGCGCAGTGCGAGGATTTTATGCATGCTGAAACATCCCTCGTTTAGGTTATACTTTCCATGTCAATTTTTATGACTTAATTTGCCTTGAACCGTGCAGTTTTTACTCGTTCTTTACACCCTCATTTCAAAATTTAGGTTAATGTGAAGAGAACGAGTATTGTGCTCAAAATCGGTTTTTGTTAGCTACATGATTCAACTCGCTATGCACACAAGGAAAACCATATGTAATGTACTCATTTGAAAGATCAAAGCCTCCTCTTTAAGGCGTAAATGAAGTATTTTTCATTTCACTATGAAAGTTTTTGAGCAAATGAAGATTGAAAATGTTTATTAAAACTGGCTGGTGTCTAGTAATGAGAGGTTATAACACTTCGTTTTTTCGTGATTCATATCGAATTGGCATGTGCCATAGCAAAAATCCACCCCCCTGTGCTTTGTTTAACATTTTTCATTTGAGGATTATCTCTCTTAGCAAACAAACATTTAAAATATCTGCAGTTTTTCAACCTTCCTTTGGACGGCCTGCCGCTAACATCGGCGACCCGTGGCGCCACCACGCGGATTTCAAACGAACTACTGTAATGGCGGTAGAGTTTGAACGTACTTTCATTTCGAGCTTAACAATTATTTAACCACCTGGCCACTTTTGATAACCACTAGACATCCTTCATTCACAAAAAAAAATGTGTAAAGAACGAGTTATTTATTTAATATCAATTCATTGATATTTCGCACCATCCTTTAAACTTTTTTTCTTTACTTCTTGTTGACTTTTCTCGCATATTCTTTTTTCATTTTTCTTCAAGATAATTTCTTTAATGTCAATTGGTGGTTGTTATTTTTAGATCTTGATTGCTGATGTAACTTTGCCCCTTTTTTCCCAGGCTCTGCAAGAGGCTTTCATACCTCATCAAGTCTATTTAAGAAAGACTACTATGATGTTCTCGGAGTTAGCAAAAAGTCTGACCCTAAAGAAATTAAGAAAGCATACTATCAATTAGCAAAAAAGTATCATCCTGATACAAATAAAGATGATCCTAATGCTTCCAAAAAGTTCCAGGAAGTTTCCGAGGCCTATGAGGTATGCAAATGCTATTGGACAGTAGAATATACCTCAAGTTTGAAAGTCACTATTTTGTCATCTTCAATGAAATTTCTGTTTGTTCTGAAACCAGGTTCTGAGTGATGAAAATAAGCGCAGAGAATATGATGCCTGGGGCACAACGTCTGAGCAAATGGGACGTGAGGGTGGTGGTGGTGGTGGTTTTGGAGCAAGAAGAGGATCAGGCGCAGGTGCAGGGACTCAGCAGAGATGGGAATACCGAGCCTCTGTTGATCCGGAGGAGCTGTTCCGAAAAATATTTGGCGAGCATGGATTCCAAGGATTTAATGATTTTGCAGAGTCAGCATTTGGATTTGGAGCGGGTCAAGAGGTAAAAGATAAATATTTGTTTGTTGATATTTTTCATTCTTTTATCCATTATGAGAGTCTTTTTCATTGACATTGATGTTTCCAGGTCACAATAGAGCTAACATTTGCTCAGGCTGCTCGTGGAATCAATAAAGACATTGATGTCAACATTGTTGACACATGTCAAAAATGCAAAGGAACCAGAGCAGAGCCAGGAACCAAGGCTACAAAATGCCAAAGTTGTAATGGTTCTGGAATGGAAACTATTAAAACAGGTCAATGTCTTTTTTTTTACTGTGTAAATTTCTACTTTTGATTTGTTGCTTTGCATTGTCATCTTATATACTTGTTTGTGTACTCAGGTCCGTTTGTAATGCGTGCTCCATGCCGAGTTTGTAATGGAACCACAATGGTTATTAGGCATCCTTGTCAAGAGTGTGGAGGCAATGGGAAAACATTGCAGCGCAAACGAGTGACCGTACCGGTTCCTGCAGGTAACTTTCAATATTCTCTTTTTAAAATTTATTTTTATTGATCATAGTTTGAACTTTGTTATTTATTTTTCCATAGGCGTCCAAGATGGTCAAACACTGCGTATGACTGTTGGGAGAAAGGAACTCTTTGTAACCGTGCGAGTTCAGAAATCACCTTATTTCAAGCAACAAGGTGCAGATGTCCACACTGATGCAGATATTTCCTTGTCACAAGCTGTTTTAGGCGGAACAATTCGTGTGCAGGGAGTCTATGAAGATCAGACAATACAGGTGTGTACTGTTCACCATTACCTTTAGTTCCATTTCATTATATTGCAAATTTTTTTACTTACATTTTACTAACGAACATTTTGATTTGCCCACAGATATCTCCTCTAACATCCTCACATACCAAAATTTGCCTCAAGGCCAAAGGAATGAAACTAGTATCAGGTTATGGTTATGGTGACCATTATGTCACAATAAAGATCAAGATGCCAAAGTCCCTGACACCAGAACAGAAAGAACTGTTAACAGCGTATGCTGAGCTGGAAGAAGACACACCCGGGACAATTTTTGGACTCACAATCAAGAAAGATGGTAAGTGACACCATTAGCAAGTACTTTCAATTAATTATCTGCAGTAGAGTTAATCAACTATGACATGCCTGAGTAGCCTAGATTTGCCGGGACTTTTTACCCTTCATTCACACTAGAAGTTCCATATTTTCATGACCTTGTTTTGTGTTTTGTTTCATTTATCTGATTCATCTGTTACTTGTTCTTCTTATGCTGGCCATATTACTTTTTGTTTCCTCTGCCGATTGTCGATGGTTATGGGATCAATTGGGAGTACCTCAATTTTTATTGTTCTTGGTTATGTTGGTGCAGGGAATCCAAAGTCAACTCCTAAGATGGCTGGTTCAGAAGAACAAGTAATAGCAGAACAAGAAGAGAAGAATGAACCACTGTTTAAGGGAATCCTCTCTAAAATTAAAAAAGCTATTTTTGGATGATAATATTAGTTATAATAGACAATTTTATTCTGTAAAAAAAATAAATTTTAGACACCAAGTTGTTGAATGTCACTATTGAGTTTGTCACCAGTATTGAATGGTTGTATGATATTATTATCTGCAACCTTTTTCAGGGAAAAACTAAGAATTCAATCTGAACTAGTACTTTCCACTGAATTTGTTTTGCTTTGGGTGTGGCCATCATTTCTATGGGTTTACATTGGTAAGCAATAGACAGTATATGGTCTTTGATACAAAAATATTTGCTAACTGTTTTAAGCCCCTATTGTTTTGAAATGTTTTGATCCTCTTTTCCTATTGTGGTGCATGACGTCTGACTCCATCACTCCCTTGCACACTGCTCTTTCCCTCTCTCTTAGCATTCCTGTTTTGGACCTACCAATTGAAAATATTTTACCCCTAAATTTCTCTAATGTGTGAAGTTTGTGAAAAGAAAAATTTATTCCCACAAAATCATTCCTGCTCAAATTCTGTTTACTGCCAATGTATATTGTAAATAGAAGTATATCTGTCTGGTTTTCAGGTCGCAAGGTCCGATTGTTCCCCAAAGATGACCCCAAAAAAATTAGTGACTCAGACTCTGTTGAGAATGGCGTTAGTGAAAAAAGTGCTTCCAAGGCAGATGGACAAGAAAATAGTAATGACGAGCCTGTCAAAAAGGAGAACTCTTCTGAAAGTACTGACAGTACACCAGTGGCAAACAAAAGTAAATCTGTGATAGATGAGAACACTAAGAAAGAGGCAGAAGAAAAGGTTAGGCAATAAGAGGAAGGTAGTAGTTTTTTTAATGTGTAGTGCAGACTGTACATTTATAGCAACATTCTGATAATATTAACTCGGTAGCAGAATATTAATCAATCTGTTACCGCATAAACATTTATGGTTGAAAGGATACTGCAACAAATGTCAAGATTAGACTTTCAGTTTAACTGTACTGTTTTTTTGGAAGCGCTTGCTGATCTGCTATGTATTAGTCCAATAGCTTATCAAATGTAGGCAATCAGAACCCATCAACTGAACTGTGGCTGTTCCAGAAATATTTAATAAATGTTATGTTTGCATTTATGCCCCAAAAAAATCTTATTTTAATGGAATTTTATTCCTTCACATTTATTTACTTTAATGTAGAGTACAACTAACACAGACTGCTTAGTTAAAAAAAACACTATACCGATGAACACAAACAAGGACACATTGGAGAGAGTATAAAGGTAACATCGACTTAACAGGTAGAGCTAATCTAAAGACAAGTCATTGACACACTCTTAAAACCTTACGAAGTATTTTGAGCGATTTTGAGCATACGTGTAACAAACTAAAATACTTTGTTATACGAAGAAATAGTTCGTAAATTACGAGGTATTTTCTTTGTAAGCTTACGTATGCTCAAAATACTTTGTTTTACAAACTACTTTTCTTTGTAAGGCCCAAAATAGTTTGTAAGGTTTTCTCAGTGCAGGAAGCATGGCTGGGCTACGCGAGGCTGCGCGAGGCTAGGCGTTGTAGTAGTCGTCGAGGTCCAGGATGCCGAGGCTCATGGCCAGGTCCGTGGTGGCCGTGGTGGCGGGGGCCTGCAGCAGCGCCACTGCCACGGCGGCTAGCAGCACGCCGCCCTCCAGGTAGGCGGCGTAGAACACGCGCACCCAGCCGGGGACGCGCGCCACGCCGCCCGCCGCCGTCAGCGACAGCGGGAACACGAGCCACTCGGAGGCGGGCAGCGCCAGCACCGCGCCGAACACCACCATGCCCAGCACGTAGTACGCCAGCAGGGAGCCGACGGGCAGCAGCATCGGCGCCCAGCCCGCCCAGCGCGACGCGGCGCGCGCCTCGCCCTCGCCCTCCTCGCGCCGCTTGCGGCCTGCAAGGCAACGACAGTGGACTTGCCAGAAGACCGGTGGAGGCGGACAAAATCCCCGGACGCGTATTGAGCCCCAGAGTCGCTAAATGGGACTCGAATCGAACGTGTGACCCCACCAATGGATTGCTCTCCGAACGAGGAACCCATTGGTGGGGTCACACGTTCGGTGCGAGTCCCGTTCAGCGACTCTGGCGCTCAAAACGCGTCTAGAGTTTTGGCCGCCTCCACCGGTCTGCTGGCCCACCCTGCGATGCGGATGACGGACATTACGGACGGTCCCTGGACTAGTTGCCTGCTCCACGCGGAACGCGGACACGCCAAGGCACGGCCGTGCCGATGCCGTGCCGATGCCGTGCCGATGCCGTGCCCCGACTGCACCGCCGGCTCGCGTGCGCTAGCGTACGCTGGCGTGCCCCCCGCCCCTCTTGACCTCCGTGCACGCAGTGTGCCGCACAAATAGGCCAAAATTCACACGGTGCACCGGCTTCGAGAGGGTTGTCAGCCTCAGCCCGCCTACTAGCCAAGATCTGCGCTTTGCTCTCGAGAAGGCCCCTCAGCAGGCAGGTTGAGGTTCGCAACCCTCTCGACACCGGGATTTTTGCCTACTTGTGCGGCAGCACTGTTTGGACAGTGTGTCGGGGGGTAGGGGCCAGTAGAAGGGCCAGAAGACCGGTGGAGGCCCACTGTGGGTAGGTAGGGAGAGGGTCCACCCACCTGAGGCCGGCCAGCAGGAGGAGCAGGCCGAGAGGTCGTCGTCGGCCACCTGCTTGTTGGCGGCGGGCGCGAGCACGGGCAGCAGGCGCGGCAGGCGGGTGCACAGCAGGCGGCCCAGCTGCAGGGCCATGATGACGTTGAGCGGGATGCCCACCACGGCCAGCACGACGGCGGCGAGGCGGCCCAGCGGCGTCCGCGGCACCGGCGCGCCGAAGCCTGGACAAGGCCGCTCGTTCAAGAGAAAGAAAACAAAGACGCCGCCACGGGGATTCGAACCGGGGCCGCGCCGAGGCGGGGCTTGTCTAGGCACTGGCCGACACTAATCGATCCTCTTGGCAAGCCGCACCCTCGGCTTTCTCTCTCTCTCTCTCCTCTCTCGCCGCCAGCCGGCCAGCCCCTTGGAACCTGCTGCCACTACACCCTCGGCTGCACCTCGGCACCGCTGCCACTACACCCTTGGAACAGCCCCGCCTGCGGCAGAAGCGCCCGCGAGCTCCGGGGTAGGCAGCACGCCACGCAGCCGTGCGTTGGCCGTGGGAAGTTGCCGACCGCGTCCTTGCAGGCGGCCCGGCCCCGGCGGCCCGCAGACTCATTCGGAGGGAGTTCGTCGCTCTGTCTCTCTCGCACTCATGGGCGTCCTCCACAGGTGCGAGAGAGACAGAGCGAGGGCTGCTTGGGCAGCACCGCGACGCCACGCGGACGGCGCAGCTATTTCTGGCCAGTCCGGAAGCGGCCCTGCATATTAAGCATTCAATAATTCCAGCTATAACGCTGCGTGGCAGGGCAGCACAGTGGGCCAGAAGACCGGTGGGGTGGCCAAAATTCTAGACGCGTTTTGAGCTCCAGGGTCGCTAAATGCGACTCAAACCGAACGTGTGACCCCACCAATGGATTCCTCGTTCGGAGAGCAATCCATTGGTGGGGTCACACGTTCGGTTCGAGTCCCATTTAGCGACTCTGGGGCTCAAAACGCGTGTAGAGTTTAGGCCGGCCTTCTGGCCCACTGTGGGCAGGCAGCGCAGTGGCCTGAGGGTGCCTGAGGGTCTCAAGGCCACTTTTGTCCCTCTTCATTGTTGCGAGCTGCCCGGCCAGGACGGCCAGGCCAGGACTCCCTCGTCATGCCGACTGGGCGCTAAAGGCTAAGGTCAGGCGAGGCGCCCCGCGCAGCGCGCCGTCCAAGGCAAACGCTGTTGCCATTAAGGGGCGGCCATTTACAAGGGGCAGCGGTTCGTCCTTATAAACGAAAGGGCACTGCTAGATCAGGCCCGCGCCCCGAAAGATCACGCCGCGAGCCCACCCCGCCTCCCCGCCGGTGGGCACGGCCAGGGGCGAGGCCAGAGGTGTCGCTAAGGTGTTGGAGCGTGTTGGAGGGCACCCGGCCAGCGAGGACGAAACCCTGCTGGCAACGTCATGGAGCCGCCCCACAGTGGGCCAGGAGGAGGCGGCCAAAGCTCCTGGCGTACCCAGGGTGGTGAGCAGCGAGGCGGCGAACAGCAGGCCGCCCGGGTAGGTCCAGATGCGCGCGCCGCCCTCGCCGGCGCCGCCCTCGCCGTAGCCAGCCGCCGTGGCGCGCAGCAGCATCTGCTCGTGCTGCTCGACGGAGCGCTCGATGAGCCCCCGCCACCGGACGTCCTCCGGCGCGCCGACGCGGAGGTCCGTGGCCAGCTGGATCACCATGTCGGCCTGCAACCGGAGGGAAACGATGCAGTGTTTGCCGGCCCTTTCGACACGCGCATCCTGAGAAGACACCCACCTGCACCCTGTTGAGCTCCTGCACCTGCAGGTCCTCGTGCGGGCCCTCGGTGGTGTGGAAGGCGGCGGCGCCCACCAGGGCCAGGACCAGGATGATGACGGCGAGCCCGCTGATGCAGAACACCGCCTGCAGCAGCCACAGGCACACGCCGCCCCTGGCCAGCACGCCGCCGCGCCGCCCCCGGCTGCAGCCGCAGCGGTGCTGGGGCAGCACGAACAGCTGCAGCGGCGGCGGGCCCGCCACCTGCACGCCCGCGTCCTGGGAGGGGCAGTGGTGGCACCCCCGCTCCGGGTACACTGTGAAAGGAGCGCGCCACTTGGAACCGACTTCGGAAACAGGAAGCAGACGCACGCAACATCACGGCGGGCTCACCGAAGCGGACGAGGTGGTCGGGGAAGACGGGGTCGTCGCTGAGGCGGTGCTTGGGGACGTCGCCGGCGACGCGCGTGCCCTCCGGGCCCTCCGGGTAGCTGCCGCTGCGGAGGTGGCCCTGCTGCCGCTGCCGGTGGGCCTGCTCCGTGGCGAGGGACACGGTGGGGACGCCGTTGGCGGCGACGCGCGACACGCCGTTGGCCGCCGTCCTGGCCGCCGTCCTGGCCGCCTTGGGGGCCTTGGGGGAGGGCGGCGAGGCCGGCCTGCCCAGCACGATGTCCCACGTCGACGTGGTGCTGGCGGTGCCGGTGAACAGCTCCGGGGGGCCGCCTAGCGACCAGCGTTGCGGCCTGCACGCCCAGGGAAAGGCTACGTGTTCAAGTCAAGCCAAACTACTTGCTCGGAGCTAGCGGACGGACGGACAGACCTCGGGGCCGTCTGGCTGCACGCAGTCACGGTGATGGAGCGGCCCTTCTGCGGCGCGGACCGGGTCATCTTGTCCTGCACTACCTGCAGAGGGCACACCACAAGTTTGAGCAACAAGCACGGGCGGTGCAATAATGTCTGCAAGTCAGAAAGCACGCACTTTGACTTTGTACGTGGAGTCCGTGTGGTGCAGCCTCCGGTCCGCGGAGGCCGTCGTCGAGTCCGAGTGGTGCCTGTGGTGCTGCAGCGTCCGGGACGTCCGGGCGGCCTCGGCGTCGCCCTCGCCCACCCCCATGGCGTCGGCGTGGCTGGCGGCACTAGCGGCCTGCAGCGAGCACACATTCGTCAACGACAAACCAGCAGGCTGCCTCAAAAGAAAAGAATATTTTTAGAAGGCGCGGGGATTCGAACGCAGGTTCTCAGGGCGGAGGGACGGCCTCGCTGACCCTTGACTTTTGCCTGGGGAGCGCGCCGTGCATCAACGCGACTCCGGTTGCAGGGCCAAGGCGCCAAGAGCAGGGCGGCGCGGAGGGGGGGGGGGGGCTACCAGTCTATTTTAAAGCGGCCGGCCACTGCCCCTGCCTTCGCGCTGTCTCTCTCGCACCCCTGCGGGACGCCCCAAGAGTGCGAGAGAGACAGCCAGAAGAATGCACCTGGTCCTTGGCCTTTACCCTCACCGTCGCGTCGTCTGGGTGCTCGGCGGCGCGGCCTGCATGGCCTCCAGCGGGCCGGGGCCGCTCCTGGACATCCAGGGCGGGCCGCGGCTCGGGCGAGGAGGACGGCGACGTGGAGGCGGCGTCCAGCGCCCGCACGGCCTCCACGGGCTGCACGAAGTGTCCGGGGCGGCGCGGGTTGGAGCACGCCGACGATGCGTCCGCGACGTCCGCGGCGTCCACGACCGCAGTCCGCGCCGCCGGCTGGGGGGTCATGCCCCATGAGCCGCGCGGTGCCGCGATATCGGCCTATCGGCGCCCTGGTCGCCCTGGTGCACGCCGGCCTCCGTCACGCCCGCCTTGTTGTTGTCGTCGTTGTTGTTGGCGGCGGGAGCGACGCCCTCTGCAACGACACAGAAGCAGCGTCCGGCCGCCGCGAGGTTTCCGTGGGTTAGTCCTGGCGGAGGACCACGTGGCCCCACGCGACGCACTGGCATACCATTCGCAGCTCCAGAGTCACTTCGTCACTTCGTCACTTCATTACTTCACCGCGATCCCGCAGTCCGAGTCTTCGCGCTTCCGAGTTGGAGGTCTTTTTTTGGAGGGGGAGGGGGGCCGCCTGGCATTTACTGCGGAGCCCCGCGCCTTCGCGTTCGGCCTAGAATAAATGTTAGACTAATGACGATGAAATTCAAAAAGCGCGCACTTTGCGGCGGCCCGCGCAGTCCCGGCTGAAGGCCAGTCGCCCTTCCCTCCGCCGCACAGTGGGCCAGAAGACCGGTGGGCGGTCAAAGCTCTAGACGCGTTTTGAGCTCCAGAGTCGCGAAATGGGACTCGAACCGATCGTGCGACCCCACCAATGGAATGCTCTCCGAATGAGGAATCCATTGGTGGGGTCACACGCTCGGTTCGAGTGCCATTTAGCGACTCTGGAGCTCGAAACGCGTCGAGGGTTTTGGCCGCCTCCGCCGGTCTTCTGGCCCACTGTGCGGCGCTCCGCCTTTCCCGCTGGCCGAGGGCGCCAAGGGCTGGCCAAGGCTGCCAAGGCCAAGGTGCACACGCTGCAAACCGCTCCACACCGGACGGGAGTCGCGCCCCGCGGCACGCGGCACGCGACAGCACGGGGCCTCGCTTTAGACTTTAAAGACGCGTGGCGCGGCTCGGCGGATTTGCCACAAGACCGGTGGACCGCAAGACCGCAAAAGGCCCCCGATCATCATTATGTTTTTACCCTTCATGACCAACTTTGTGAGGCTACCGCTCCCAAACTAGTTGCGGTCAATAGCCTTCCCGATACAGGGCATGAAAGAGTAGGGTCTTAAGAATACTAGGACGTCGAGGGAGGCCTTTTACGGCGACTAGATTGGACACAGTGGCCATCCAAAGTCAGCAAAATCAGCAAATTTCCGAGATTCGACCACTTTTTGACCAACTTAGTCGGAAAATCGTTGCGGTCAAAGCCAAAATCGTTGTGGTCAACGTCTTCCCGATGCAGGGCATGAAAGAGTAGGATCTTAAGAATACTAGAGCGTCGAGGGAGGCCGTTGACCGCAATTAGATCGGACGCAGTGGCCATCCAAAGTCAGCAAAATCAGCAAATTTCCGAGATTCGACCACTTTTTGACCAACTTAGTCAGAAAATCGTTGCGGTCAAAGCCAAAATCGTTGTGGTCAACGTCTTCCCGATGCAGGGCATGAAAGAGTAGGGTCTTAAGAATACTAGGGCGTCGAGGGAGGCCGTTGACCGCAATTAGATCGGACGCAGTGGCCGCCCAAAATCAGCGAAAACGGCTACTTTCGTCCTATATATACTAGGACTCTTTGACCAACTTTGTGACGTTACTGGTCCCAAACCCGAAAGGCCCCGGCAGATTTTTCTGCCTGTCTGACCTGGCCAGTCCGAGCCTGAGTGGCGCTGCACTTACGGGAGAGACGCTCGCTCAGGCGGCCGTCACTGCGGCACTGCGCTGCCGTGCTGCCGGCGGTCCTCACTCCGAGATGCAGGCCATCTTCGGCAGCTTCCGCCACGAGGGTCCGCGCGGCGAGGACGCTGTCGGATGAGCCGCACCGCCAGCCGCCATCGGGCACCGCGGCAATCACTGGTACACTGGTGACGAAACGCCCCCCGCCGCGACGGGGGCCTCGTGGTAGGACCACGCAGACGAGCAGTCGCGGCGACCGGGACGACCCCGGAAGACCGTTCGTCGGCGACCTCTGGCGGTAGAGCCAGTCACCGGGACGCGCGGTTGGGTTCGGCGGCCGGCCGACCAGGTTCTCGTTGACGTTGTTGACGTCAGCGAGGATGGCGACGACGCGTGAGCCTGCACACCTCGGCGCGACGGCGACGGCCTACTTGGACTCGAGCGGGCGTCCAACTACAGTGGGGCTGCGTGGTGGGGCCAGGCGGAGCCGCAACTGCCGCCACACTACAAACGGAGAGGAGGGGGGACTCCGGCTGGCTGGGGGTGTTTGGCGAGGGCGGGGGTAGAACGGGTTACTGCGGCAGGCCCGGGGGAGGGGGATAGTTTTGACCGCGCAGGTGTTGGGCTGGAAACGGGGAGGTGGGGCCGGCGGGGAGCGGCGGGGGAGGAGGTGGAGGGGTGCACGAGGGGAAGCACGTGATAGTAAGGTAGGTCCGTACCGCGCTGGCGGAGAGAGCGGGTAACCTTGGCTGCGTGTGTCTGCGTGCGTGACCGCGCACTCGCGTGAATAGCGGTGTGTCTGTGTGTCGGAGACCGTCGAGACGCGTTGACTCGCGTTGAATCGCACGTGCGTCGCGTGGTGTGACCCTGCCGGCCCGTGTGGCTTGAGAGCCTCAAAGCCCTTCAAGCCGCTTCCCGGCTCTCGGCTGCCCTCGCCCGGTCCGATTCGATTTTTCTCGAAACTCGAACCCGAGCCGCGGTCATCCCGTAGAGTGCGGGGCAGAGGCGGCAAGAACCGAGCGAATACAGTCATCTAGCTGCTCGCCGCGCCGTGACGCTCACGAGGAGTCTGTTTGAACAAGCCTTCCAAAAGCTTGCTCAGCTGCGGGGTAGTCCAAACCCCGAGCTGCGTCAGTCTCTCTCGCACGCCTAAGGAACGGGTAGCGGAACGCCCAATGAGCGCAAGGGCTGAGTTCTGAATCAGACTGCTGCTACCCGGGGCCCCGGGGACTGATTCCGAGAGTCGTTTTCGTCGCTCTCTCTCTCGCACTCATCAGCCCGAGCCGCGCTGGGCAGCGGCGTGAAAGCGGCAAACTGCCTCTTCGTTGTTGTGTTCCGAAAAAGGGACCGCCGTATCGACCAGGCTCGCGGAAAAGAGACAAAACGATCGCCGGGCCTCGCCCTGCCGAAGCGTGTACTCCTCTTGTATTTGCACAGAGCGCGCGGGGCAGATAGCGAAGCGCACGAGCTGTGTACTAACTGTCAAGTGGAAAGCCGAGTGTCGACTCGATAAACCAGCAATCTTCCCCTTGCCTTTTCCAATCGCAAGAGGATCGCCAATTGTATCTAAAGCGGTTGGGAATGGTTGGGAAATGCTTTCTTTTCTCCCCATTGCTTGCGGCTCGGAACGGCCGGGCCGTTTTGTCTAAACAGACAGTTTTCCCGACGTTCACGTTGACGCCGTGCAGAACGGCGTGGGGAGGGCGGGGTCAGTGTCTGTCCATGGGCAGCCCAGGGCAGCCCGGCAGGCTGACTCCCAGAGTCGCGCCGTCTCTCTCGCACCCCTACGGGACGCCGCACGAGTGCGAGAGAGAGGCCGCCTCTCGGAAGCAGCCTGCTGGCCCACGCCACGGCAATCAGCCTTCGTGATGAAACTATCCCTTCATTATTCAACAGCGACTTGGCAGCGCACGTTCGGGAGCACGCACGCCACTCACGCCGTGTGAGAGAGAAAGAGGGTCTGCGTTGGTGTGTGTCGCACAGTGGGCCAGAAGAGGCGGTCACAATCCCGGACGCGTTTTGAGCTCCAGAGTCGCTAAATGGGACTCGAACCGAGCGTGTGACCCCACCAATGGATTGCTCTCCGAACGAGGAATCCATTGGTGGGGTCACACGTTCGGTTCGAGTCCCATTTAGCGACTCTGGAGCTCAAAACGCGTCTAGAGTTTCGGCCACCTGCGCCGGCCTTCAGGCCCACTGTGTGTGTTCGGGTCGCGCGCGGGTCGTCGCGCAGCCCCTCGGCTAGCTCGCGGGCCAGGCCGGTCGGGGCGGCCAGGCCACTGGCGGGGCAGAAAGGGGTCTCGAAGGGGGTTCAAGTTAGGTAAGGGGGTAGGAAATCGGCGAGCTGTTTGCATCGGGGCGTCTGACAGGTATCCAATGCACCGCAATGCACTCCCCCGCGCTGCGCCGCGCCGCCTGGCTCCGCCCCCTTGGCCAGCGAGGGGTGCCAACTCGCCGTGAAGAAGTAACAAAGTAACGAAGGAAAACAGCGAGTACGCCTCGCCACGCTCAGCCCAGCCATGTTTCGTCGACAGACGTTTGAAGAAGGAGGAAGGAGTTAAAGCAACAAGGGTTGCCTGCATGTCCGGAGCTTCGCGTTGAGTTTCTGTTAGAGTTCGTTTGTTCGTTCGTTGACATGGGCAGGTGCGTAAATACGTCACACGTTCGGTTCAAGTCCTGTTCAGCGACTCTGGAGCTCAAAACGCGTCTAGATTTTCGGCCGCCCCCACGGTCTGCCGGCAAATCCACTGTGCCCGACGGTCTCGGACGGTCTCGGATGTCGCGGCGCGGAGGCGGAGGGTCAAGACCAGGGCGTGGTCGGAGCGGCCGATGAAGGGCGCCATCGGACACGCCCTGGCGGTAGTGGCGGGGCCGACGGGGCCGGCGGGGCTGCGCCGTGTCACCAGGGTGCCGGGGGAGGGGGAGGGGAGTTTATTATTCCGTGTGTCCCGCTTCCGGCGGTGCCTCTGATTTGATTGCGAGTGGCGTGGACTGGCGTGGAGTGGCGGCCACGCAAAGGCCCCTCCCCCTCCCCCTCCCCTTACGCCACCTAGCGACCTGATCTACCCGATATTGACACGCCGACCAGCCCCGTGGCCCCGTGGCCCCCCATGCCGTTGGCAATGGCAGTGACCCGCCGACTGTCCGAGCCGATTCCGAGAGTCGTTTTCGTCGCTCTGTCTCTCTCGCACCTCTACGGGACGCCCCATGAGTGCGAGAGCGACGAAAACGACTCTCGGAACCAGTCAGCTGGCCGAGCTGAGTGGAGTGGTTCCAGAGGGTTCCGGTGATTGCAGTGTCGCTACTTTCCATCGGTGCTCAGGAGTCCTCCATGACTTCCAGTTCCCCTCCAGTCGTTCCAGTGGCTCCGTCGTTCCAGTGGATGTCCTTTGCGAGTGACAGGGTGCGGTAAGCGCCGCGACCACACTGTGGCCACAAGCCCTGCTCCGTGACGTGCCGGTGACGTCACACTGCGACGTGACCGCTCGCGTGACTCGAAGCCATGTCGGCTATCTGCGGCCGTCTCTCTCGCACTGCCGCCGTCTTGGGGGTCTTGGGCGTGGAGGCAGTGGCCACCGTGACGTCATCGCCCGCCATCGCCGCAGCGGTAGTGCAGGAGCGGAGGGTAGTTGATGCATTCTTTCTCAAACCAAATCAACTTTCCGGGTCAATGTGGAGTTTTGGCCTCCCAATTTTTTCATCAAGAGGCCCTTACTAGGAGAGTCTCCCTGTAAAATATTTTTGCAATCGGACCAATAGTTTGGGAGAAAATAACAAAAAACCATTTTCACCCATTTTAGCGCAATTTAAGGTTGAAAAATTTCAAAGTGCTAAAATGCTGCTAAATTAAGGTCCCACTTCCCCAATGCTTTTCTTATATGAAAGAGCATATTAAAAAGTAATTTTGAGCCACTTTGGAGTCAGCTGACTTTACGTGTTACCCCAATCGTGTAACATTATAGGAATTTTACGCAATTTTCATTTCTCAAATACTCCGACTCAGAACTGGACCGAATCAGGCCCAAAGCATCCTTATATAGCCCTAAGTAATATCCCAAGTAGTCGTCAAAAATATATTTCATTTGTGGATTCTGGAGCTGACTTTATAATCTTAAGTCTTTGTAACTCGATGAATTAACTGTTTTGGACTCGGATACATGTTTTCTCCATCCGAACAACTCAGATGGAGCTCAAAACAGATTCTTAACTTTAAGTAACTTTCTCTCTTGTAAATGAGCCCAAACCACCTGGAGGAAGGGGTCAAAATTGCCTCACAACAAATTCCACTGCTTTCCGTCAAAATTCCTAAAATGTTACTCGATTAGGGTAACGCTTAAAGTCAGCTGCCTCCAATGTGGCTTTGACATAGCAAAATAAGCATCAAAAATCTGTCTTTAGATAAAAGCAATTACATGACCACCAGAAGAAAACAAGGTAATTCATAGTAAGTGGTTCCCCTCTGAAAACATCATTTCCAGCATAAGGTAAAGGGTCTGTCTCATCAGATAAACATTATTTTTTCTGGTGTTCATTTCATTGCTTTTATCCAAAGAAAGATTTTTGATGCTTATTTTGCTATGTCAAAGCCACATTGGAGGCAGCTGACTTTAAGCGTTACCCTAATCGAGTAACATTTTAGGAATTTTGACGGAAAGCAGTGGAATTTGTTGTGAGGCAATTTTGACCCCTTCCTCCAGGTGGTTTGGGCTCATTTACAAGAGAGAAAGTTACTTTTAGTTAAGAATCTGTTTTGAGCTCCATCTGAGTTGTTCGGATGGAGAAAATATGTATTCGAGTCCAAAACAGTTAATTCATCGAGTTACAAAGACTTAAGATCATAAAGTCAGCTCCAGAATCCACAAATGAAATATATTTTTGACGACTACTTGGGATATTACTTAGGGCTATATAAGGATGCTTTGGGCCTGATTCGGTCCAGTTCTGAGTCGGAGTATTTGAGAAATGAAAATTGCGTAAAATTCCTATAATGTTACACGATTGGGGTAACACGTAAAGTCAGCTGACTCCAAAGTGGCTCAAAATTACTTTTTAATATGCTCTTTCATATAAGAAAAGCATTGGGGAAGTGGGACCTTAATTTAGCAGCATTTTGGCACTTTGAAATTTTTCAACCTTAAATTGCGCTAAAATGGGTGAAAATGGTTTTTTGTTATTTTCTCCCAAACTATTGGTCCGATTGCAAAAATATTTTACAGGGAGTCTCTCCTAGTGAGGGCCTCTGGATAAAAAAATTGGGAGGCCAAAACTCCACATTGACCCTGAAAGTTGATTTGGTTTGAGAAAGAATGCATCAGTTTCGTTCCGCGACAGCAGCGCGACAGCCTTCTTTATGACGGACTACCCTTGACGGCGCCGGTGGCGGCCGAGACTACCCCTCCCCTCCCCCCTCCCCCCCCCCTCCCCTCCCCTCCCCTCCCCCCCTCCCCTCCCCCCCTCCCCTCCCTTTCCCACAGCCGGGCCAAGCCGGGCGACCTTGCCGCGTCCCGATTGCATGACAGGAAATCGAAAGGGTGCTCCATTCTCCATTTCGGCTTCCCGGATTACTTACGCCGCCTGCCGCCCTGCCGCGCATGCACGCACCACTTGAGTAATGACTAGGCGTTTCAACCAATCTCTTTTATTTTTATTTTTCACAGAAAAGTCCGGTTAGCAATGCAGTGAAGTCACTCACTGCATGCGACCATCAGGTCGTGAGTTCATGACAGTTGTTGGAATGTGGGACCAGTTGGACTGCTGGAAGCGTGGCGGAGACTCTTGACTCTCCTCGGGCTCGGCCTTGTGGACCTGGGCTGGCGTGTCTGGCGAGGCGGGTCCCGGGGGCGAGGGCGCGGCGGCCTGCAGCCAGCGGGCGAGGTAGCCGACGGGGTCGCGGGGGCGCGCGGTCGCCACCCTGGCCAACCCCTCAGCCAGGACCCGTCCCACGCGCAGCCTCAGGTAGTCGCTGGGGCTGGCTGGGGCAGAGACGCAAAAACCGAGATGCAGATCAGGTGCACTCCGGTGCACTCTCATGCCGTTCGACAATTTTTTCAACCAGTTCCTTTGTTTTAAAGAAAGTGAAACATTGCAGGGACTTGAACGCCGGACCTGAGGGTTGGGACTCGATACGTCGCCAAAAAGTTTTTCAAAAACGGTGGCCGCTGTGACGCACCTCCTTCGCAGTGTGCCATGTCGCGGGTCACCGCGTCGCTGTCCCTGTCCACCCGGTCCACCCTCCCGACGTCCATCACGTCCATCACGTCCATCGCCAGCAACAACAACAATGCCGGGCAGTTCGGGGCGGTTTTGCAGTGTTTCGGGCAGGCGGTGGCTGAGGCGCGCGGTGGCGGCGGTGGCGGCGGTGGCCCCGCGCCGCGGGGAGCCTCGGGCAAAGCAACGAAGGAAGCCACCAGCCCGCCGGGGCCACCGGCATTTCGGCCATGCCACCTCAAAATTCGCAGTGCATCGTCTCGAAAAAGCATCAAAATCGGAACTGAAGCAGAATAAAAAGAAATGAAAAGCACATAAAAAGGAGAAAACAGCTGGTTCACCAAGATGCCTGAGGCAGACGAGAGCCCCAGCGGGGCCAACGTGAGAGGTTAGTGCCCTCCGTCGGGACCGGGTGGAACTGACGACAACGCACAGTGGGCAAGGACACCGGTGGCGGCGGCCAAAATTCTAGACGCGTTTTGAGCTCCAGAGTCGCTAAACAGGACCCGAACCGGACGGGTGACCCCACCAATGGATCCCTCGTTCTGAGAGCAATCCATTGGTGGGGTCACACGTTCGGTTCAAGTCCCATTTAGCGACTCTAGAGCTCAAAACGCGTTTCGAATTTTTGCGGCCCCCACCGGTCTTCCGGCCCACTGCAACGGTGTCACTCCGACTGTGCGCGCCAGGCGGCGGCAACGCCGGCATGGGGTCCATGACGGCGCGCGAGGTGCGCGACACGACGCTGATGCTGCGCCGGCCGACCGTGGTGGACGCCCTGCAGCAGGCCGTGCCCAAGCCCAAGGGGGCCGTGCCCCCCGACGGCCTGCCCTTCTGGGACAGCGTGCCCCTCGGCTCCAAGCTGCCCATCATCGACCACCCCAAGGACGCCTTCGTCTTCTACCGCGACAAGCTCGGCCGAGGGGTGCGTCTCGCCCCGTCTCTCTCGCACCGCCGCGCAACGCCCCACGAGTGCGAGAGAGACGGGGCGGCGGGCTGAACGCGCCGCCGTGCGTCCGCAGCTATGGCGCAGCTCCCCGCTGGGGGACTTCCGCCTGGACGACCCCTACATGCACGAGGTGGACTACACGTACGAGCCCGTGCACGACCCCGCGCTGCGGAGGCTGTTCCAGTCGGAGGAGCAGCGCAAGATCCTCATCTCCAGGCGAGCCTCAGCACCGCCACCACCGCGTTGCCGGGTTCGAGCCCCGCCGCCGGCCGAGCTCATCTGAAAAGTGACTTGTGCAGGGGCTTCATCCTGCCCACCGACGAGGCCGTCTGCTCGCTGCGGCAGTTCAACACGTACCGGCGCTACCTGCAGACCGTGTACCGGGAGCTCGTCAAGGCGGAGTACCGCCGCAGGGTGAGTGCTACCCCGGTCTTCTGGCCCACTGTGCGGCGTGTGTTGTTGTTGCTCCGCATCTCTCTAATGTTCTTGTTTTTGGTCGGCCAGGCCGTGGACCTGTCGGACGAGCAGGCCATCCGGCGGGCGCGGCAGTGCGAGGAGAGGCAGCTGGCCCTGGACCAGCGGCGCATCGAGCGCGAGAGCAAGCAGGGGGAGCTGCGGGAGCACCTGGAGGCGGAGCGACGGAAGAAGCAGCAACAGTCAGTCCCGCCGTCCCGGGTCCCGGGTTCAAATATTACTACCTTCCCACTTTATGGGACTCGAACCGAACGTGTGACCCCACCAATCGGTTCCTCGTTCGGCGAGCAATCCATTGGTGTGGTCACACGCTCGGTTCGAGACCCATTTAGCGACTCTGGAGCTCACAACGCGTCCAGAGTTTTGGCCGCCTCCACCGGTCTTCTGGCAAAGCCACTGTGAGACGCCACGGGTGCTGCAGGATCGTGGCGCGGCAGCTGCACTACCTGGAGCTGGCGGAGCGCCTGCAGGCCGCCAAGGAGCAGCAGCGGCGCGAGGCGCTGGAGCGGGCGCGCGAGCTGGACGAGAAGGTGAAGCACCGGCAGGCCGTGGCGGCGGAGATCCGGCGCGCCAAAGCCATCGCCACCATCCAGGCCTGGAACCGCGAGGAGAAGGAGCGGCGCGAGCGGCTGGAGAAGCAGCAGCTGCAGCTGCAGGAGTACAAGGAGAAGGAGGTGGACAAGCAGTGGCAGGCCAAGCTGCAGGCGCAGACGGAGCGCGTGGAGCGGGACGCGCGGCTGCTGGCCCGCCAGGAGGAGGCCCTGCGCCTGGCCGTGGAGCTGCGCAACAAGAAGGTGGAGCGCGAGGACCTCCGCATGCAAGGTGCTTCATCATCGTGCTCAGCAGTCTAAATGGGACTCGAACCGAACGTGTGACCCCACCAATGGATTCCTCGTTCGGAGAGCTATTTATTGGTGGGGTCACACGTTCGGTTCGAGTCCTTTTTAGGGACTCTGGAGCGCAAAACGCGTCTGGATTTTCGGCCGCCTCCACCGGTGCACTAACGCAGCCTCTCGGTGGCAGGGCTGCTGAAGAAGATCAAGAGCGACCAGGAGAAGCTGCGCGCCAAGCGCTTCCGCTTCCGGCCGGCCAAGCGCAAGCGGCCCGGCGCCAGGACGGCGGCGCAGAGGGCACAGGCCGCGCAGGCCGACGCGCGCCGCAAGCGCAGGGTCACCAGCGCGGGCCTCATCGTTGACGAGGACGTCATGACCGCCGGCGACCAGGTGTACAACATGTCCATGCGCATGGTGAAGACGGCCAAGGAGCGCGGCGAGCAGTGTGCGTCCCGTTCTGTCTCTCTCGCACTCACGGGGCGCCTCGTTTGCTTACGAAGCGATCCCTCGCCTTCACTCTGACAGTCGCTGGTTTTGTTTCTGATGCGGATTCGTCTTTCATCCCATTTTTTGCAGGCCTCGTCGGGGACAATCTGTGGGCCAAGTTCCGAGAAACCGGTTTCGATCCCAGCGAAACTCGGGATGGCGTTGTAAGTAGATGGAAAATAATAGAGCGTGTTTTTTCGTGTTTCTTTGAGTCGCGACAAAGTAGTGACTGGGAATCTCCTCCCACAGCCCGAAGCGGTGGCCACCGCCATCGACGGGCTGCTGGACTCGGTCATGGAGGGCATCGTGCACCGGATGGTGATGCAGACCCTCAAGTGCGTGTACCACAAGGCGCTCGAGGTGAGTGCGGCACAGAAGACGGTGGAGGCGGCCAAAACTCTACACGCGTTTTGAGCCCCAGAGTCGCATAACAGGACTCGAAATGAGCGTGTGACCCCACCAATGGATTCCTCGCTCGGAGAGCAACCCATTGGTGGGGTCACACGTTCGGTTCGAGTCCCATTTAGCGACACTGGACGTGACTGACACGGCGGTGTTGGCAGCGCTGCTTCTCGCTGCTGGAGGGCCTGCCTGCGCGCGAGATGGCCAAGCGCGGCTGGGTGTGCGACCACGGCATGCTGCGCCACAGCGAGCTCCGGGAGAAGGCCAGGGCGCGCGAGCAGCGCGAGTGCCGCAAGGGCAGGCAGGAGGTGAGGGGAGGGAGGACGCGCCGAACTTGCAGTCCGCCGTGCTTTTCTTCAACGTGCTCCTGCTTTTCCAAGGATGCGTCTGAAGTGGGCAGCGGCGCCGCGGACGACACGGCGACGGCCGAGGCGGACGCCCAGGACGCCGACAGCGCGCCCAGCCCCCGAGCCTCGCCCAGTCCGCGCAAGCAGCGCTCCGGCCGCTCGGCCAGCTCGGCCAGGCAGAGGATCTTGCAGCAGATCGACGCCGTCGAGCGGAAGAACGTGCAGCTTAGAAAGGTGCGCAGACGCGTGCAGAGCTCCAGAGTCGCTAAACAGGACTCGAACCGAACGTGTGACCCCACCAATGGATTCCTCGTTCGGAGAGCAATCCATTGGTGGGGTCACTCGTTCGGTTCGAGTCGCCGGTCTTCTGGCCCACTGTGGCCGCTGCGCCGCGGGCCTGCCTACGCTACTGGCGCTTCCCTTGCGCACTGGCAGGCGCTGGAGCAGAGCGCCAGCTCCACCATGTCCGTGGACACGGACGACGACGCCCGGGACGCGGCCATGGACCTGGACGCCAACTTCGAGGTCATGGCCAAGAGCCTGCAGCGGCAGATGGTGGCCATCGCGGGCCAGAGCGTCAGCGAGGAGACCAAGCTGACGACGCAGCATCGCTGGAAGCTCATGAAAGGCACGATCGTCCACACCTCCGCGCCCGACGCCCGAGGCCCGCAGGCCTGCATGGCTCATCGCTCCGTCTCTCTCTGCAGAAGTGGAGCTGTTCGAGCTGGTGGACAGGCTGTGCACCATGATGATGACCACGCCCCCAAAGAAGTTCCTCAAGAGCACCGAGTTCCAGTGGGCGGCGGACATCCTGGCCCGCGACGTCATGCGAGAAGTCCGCCACCAGGTGAGAGCCGTCAATGTCCTATCCCCCCAAAAAAAGTCAGATGTGGGTGTTTGAACCCGCGTCCTGGCCGCAGGTGCGCCAGACCAACCGGAAGAAGGACCGGGAGCGCATGCGGAAGCACGAGGCGGAGGCGGCGTCCCGGGTGCAGGCGCAGGGCCACAGCGGCCAGAGGGTCAGGGACGCGACGGCGGGGACGTCCCACAGCGCGTCGCACAGCGCGCACCGGCGGGCCAGCCTGCGCAGCCAGCGCGGCGAGGGCTCGGGGCAAGCCACGGCCACCGACACGGCCACTGGCACGGGCACGGGGACGGGCACGGGGACGGGCACGGGGACGGGGACGGGCACGGGGACGGGGACGGGGACGGGCACGGGGACGGGCACGGGGAGCGCCCCGAGGGACTCCTTGGAGCCGCTGGACGAGTCCAAGGTGCCCCTGCTGCGCCTGCACAAGCGATCCCCACACCAGCCGTCCATCCCGTCCTTGGACTCCCTCACGTGACCACCCTCTCACAGGACACAGAGCGAAGGCGCCCATTTTCTACCAATTTTATTGATGGATTTTAAGAAACTTTTCGTAGTTCATAGTGTGAGATCGCTAGTCATGCTTCCATTCTTTTCTACATTTTTTAAGGTTTTATTTCAGATTGGCTTTTAGTGAAATGGAAATAGGAAGTGCCGTAGCAGAACACTCCCATCTTGTAAATAGCTTTTCTACTTTCCTGCCTCGATTTTTGATGGAACGTAGGGCAGAGAAGGATTAAGAATAAAACAGTTACAGAGGTAGAAATATTTATTGGATTAGTGCGACATCGATTTTTACATTTTACAGTAGTTCCCCCAATTCACACCTTTGAATGCAATGAAGAAGCGAATGGACACCATTATGAACATGCATTTCAAATGTACAATTAAGTTTGTGTAGTAAAAAAAAATAATACACGCACCCATGTACCCTGGATAACATTGCTACATCTATAAACATAAAGAGGTGATAAAACATGGATATAAAAAGTTTATTGGACCTCTCAAAACCTTCTGCTTGTAAATACAATGCAAACTAATAATCTCATTTTTTGATCAAAAAAAAAAAAAAAAAAAAAAAGCAATGTGCAGATTACAGTTCATATTACAGGTTTAGGGGTGATATCACAAGAGTCAGCCAGCAGGCTTTGGGTAAGTCAAATTATTTGTGACTGGCAGATGGCTCTTGGCCAGAATGATTCAGAGCATTTATACACTAAATAACATTTAACATATCACACCAAAGAAAAAAAGAGTAAGATTACAACCATGGCAAGGTACAAGAAACTGCCTTATTCAGGATACTTTGTACAGTGAAAGGAATATTGTCCCAGTCTGAGCAATATTACATGAATTAAGGCACTATAGTTGCTTCTACAGTTCTCTCCAGTTCCTTCAAATAAAATAACAATTTCAAACATAATTGTTATGCAAAGTATGAAATTAAAAAAAAAAACAGAAGGTAGAAAGTATGAACTGGTAAATGCACTTAAAGTAGACTATAGAAAATTTGAGCACTAGACATCACCAGATTTAGTCTTGAGTTGAGCAGCGAGACTAGCAGTTTCTTGTTTCATTTGATGCAGATCTGCTGATATTCTTTCCAGATTCCCACCAACACTTTTAGCCCTTTCAGTTTCAATCTAAGAGATTAAAAATTACGGTTAGTTAAAGTGACAGTCAAACAGGATATGAACTACAACAATCATTTCAAAGACAGCCAAAATTACCTGATCTTCCAGATCTCGTGACTCCCTTACATTAGCTCCTGTTTCTTCTACCATTTTAACAAGTTCACTGCAATCAGAATGTAGAGTGGCCAGTAACTTGTAGGCTCGCCTAGACACCTCATCTCTTTTTGCATCCTGCAAATGAGTAAATCAGACTATAATTTTCCATACATTTGAGATAATTAGCAAACTTAATGAAAGCTATATATTTACCCTAAAGATGACTTCATCTGCAACAGTGAATGATCTATCAAGCCGTCCAGCTAAAGTATTTATTTCTTTATGAAGCTCCTTGGTGTCCTTTAAAATCTTTTCGATTTCATCCTTCTGTTTACTGATATTTCCAATGATTTCCATGATTCTTCTAGTATATGCTGACCTGTAAAAAATTTAGGGCATCAATAGATTTAGGTCTACTTATTCATTTTTGGAGGGAAACATGTGATAAGGATTTTTACTTGCCTGCTAATATCTTTGCTGACTTTTGCATACTCAGCTTGTAAATGTTTATACAGTTCTTCCTTGTTTCTTAATTCTTCAGTTAATTCTGAAACTTTGTCTCGAGTTATCCTTAGAGCCTCTACTTGACGAGCACTTTCAGACTGAAAAATTTATTACCAGCAATGTTTAGAAGGGTGTTAGTATAAAGGCAAGAAATATCAGATAAGTTAGATTCTCAACCTACAGCTTTGCTAGAATTCAGTTTCCGTGCTTCTCTGTACTTCAGAAGCAAAGGAGCTCGATGCTCTTCCCATTGTGAGGCTAAACTAACTAGCTTTTTAGTAGTCGCTTCTATCATAGCATGTAGCTTTTCAATATTGGTGTCTGCATTTGGTAGCAGGTCCAAAACTTTGCGGCGAACAGTTTGTTGAGCTTCTGCTTCCTTCAGGGCACGTTCAGCGAGATCTCTTTCATCCAGCACCTAAAAATAAATTTAAAAAATAATGCTTTGCAAAAGTGGTTTGCAAGACTTGAGACTCAAAGCTATGATTTTCCCACCTTGGGCAATTTAGCAGACATTGTCTTAATATCGAGTTGAAGTTGCTCCAAGCGCTCCCTCAGATCGTCATTTTCGCTTTTGAGCTTTTCCACAGCCAGTTCTTCCTCTTCTTCTTGCCTCTTTTGACGCTCTTCAGCAGATTCTGAGGCAGCTTCTTCAACAACACTCTCTGCTGCAGGTGGTTTCTTCTTCTCTGGACTCTTCTCCTAAAGAGAAAAATAGTTCATAAAATGAGAAAAATTTGGGAAGCAAGATGTGCTCTTGAATAAATGTATGGACCACTCACAGAGGAAAACTGGAGTCTTTCATTGAGAGCAAATCGAGAGCTAAGTTTGGACCGTGAATGAAGTTTCTGTTGAGCAGCAGAAGAGACCAACTTGTCAAATTCTGATTTAAGCAAATCAGATCTAGTTTTCCGCAATTCCTCTGCTTTGGGAGCAGCCAGTTGCTGTCTGGGGGCAAGAATCCCTCTCGAGTTCAGAGTGATGAGGGAGGGAACCAGACGATTTGCTGCCGATACTTGATCTGACACTAGAGGCAGATACTGGACGCAATACTCTCTCCACTCTAGAAAAAACAACAAAAACAGTCAAGTGAGATAAGTATATTCACGACAATAACTTCCGTCACCAATTACACAGAGACAATTTTACCTTGAGGGGTACATCCATGAGAAGTGTTTCCAGTTTGAAGCGGCTCTGACACGTAGGGGTTACATCGCCCTCCTTCCTTTGTGAAGGATCCATCATCATGCCAGCGAATGCCATCAGTACGACAAAAGCTTGGTACCCAAGGAGATGACAGCTGTTTTGTTATAGTGGCACTAATTTCATTTCGTAATCTTGCAGCTCTACCTAAACAATAAAATAAAACCCACATATATAAGAAATTATTAATTCACACAGAAAGCAAAGTGAAAGAATTGTACATACTTGAAGGCTCCTGAACAATTTTGTCCGCTTGCCCATCTTTTGGAAGTCTTTCAATCAAGAACATCAACACCCTTCTTAGATCAGCTTCATTGGAGTACAAGAAGGTTTGGTATCCAACCTCCCCAGTGTAACCCATATCCTTCAATGCGCAAAGCAAAATAAAAGTAAGAACAGCTGAACAAACTCGATCTTTGATAGTTTATTTTAACATAGTGACAGGCACTTACGGTACATGTTTGGGCAATGGTAGCTCCTATCCTGAAGCGCAGAGACATGGACGGTGGAAGAGATGTAGGGATTCTTGATCCTGGCTGGATTGCTTCGATACATTTTGACGCTGCTTCCACAACTAGCTCGGGGGAAAATTGCTTCAGAGACTCTATCTCTTCTTCAATATCACTGAAACACAAATTGTTAAGGTGACAGCCTCAACTTTTTCAAAGATAGACTTTATACTGAGAGCCATAAATTCAACACCAGTTGAATGTTAAAGCCTTGACATAAATAAGCCAACAAAGAAACTTCTTGACACAAAACTTTCATTCATAGCAAGATGAGCTGAAATGCTTCTCCTGAGTAACTGTACTGAAACGAAAGTGCGGAAACGGGTACGTAGCGAAAACTCGATCATTTTATACAGACTAATTTAATTTAATATGGTGCAATCGTACGACGGAGTGGTTCAATCTAGTGCATCAGCCGGGCGAGAGGTAAACAAAAAAATTAACCTCCCCGCAGCAGACAGCAGACACCCCGCCTTGTGATACCTGACGTGTACCGGTGCCGCGCCCTCCCCTGCCGACGACAAACCACTGCTGGCACGTACCATCCTATTTCCTTCAAGGAACGGATGATGATCCGGTCCACTTCATCCATGGTTGTTGAATTGCTTCGGATTTCTAGCGGCTTCGTACTTTATGCTTCATTGTCACTGTCACTGCACTGGGCATCGGGCCGCTATTCGCAGGAAAGGGAGAAGGGCAGAGGCTTTATTCCCACGCGGAGCGCCAGCAACGCCCACTCGCTATTGGCAGGTGCTCAATGCGAGGGACACTGCCAAAATAATTGTTGTCGGTTTGAATGCCCAACGATATGATCTCTCCAATAATAAACGCGAAATGAGCATGAAATTTAACTTTGAATGGAGCCTAAATGGCGAGCCACGTGACAAGGATGTTGCAGACCAGACGGCAGCCAGTGGCAGCCAGCGCATAGGGAAGTAGGGATGGGGCGCCACTTCGTTTTGGTTGTTTTGCTGCCAATGCCGGATTTTTATTGCGGGCAGAAGCTTTTTACGGCCCCCGATGAGGGTCCGTCAGTAAGCAGTGTGGCAGCACCGCATCCACACCGCACGCAAAGGGCCAAGCAAGGGCGGGTTGGCCTGATTTTTTTTGGAGGGGGGGGGGAGCAAATAACTTGGCACTTTTTGCCTACTTACGTTAGGGTATATAGTGTGTTTTTGCCTGCTTTCCAGGCCACTGCTTAGGCGCCAAGAGGCAACTGTCCGTTTTTCCCCGACCGCCCCCACCGTGCGAGGGGTGTGTCGTGCGGGGGAGGCTGAAGCAAGGGCTGAAGCGCCGAGGCGAGCGGGCAGTGCCGTGGCCGAGTGGCTTACGGACAGCCCCTCGCCGGCGCGTCGGCGTTGTCTATTCCGCTGTCTCCCAGACCTTGAAGAAGATCCCGGCGGGGCGTTACGTGACCCGTTCCTTTGCCTTTTTCGCCTTGTCGGCCGCATGTCCGAGGCGACCCCCGTTTTTAGAGCAGCACCCCCACGGCCTGCGTCGCGTCCTGCTCCTTTTTCGCGGAGTCTCCTCTCTTTCGTTCGCCTGGCTGGACCGTGTATAAATTGAGCAATCCTCGACAGAGATGTCACTCAGCAGTCCCCGGCAGCCCCATCAGCAGCCATGAAGTTCTTGGTGAGTGTAGAGCGTCCCTGACGCCACGGCAGCGCGATGGACGCGTTCGAGTCCTCCAGCTTGTCAACATGCCGCTCTTGCTGCAGATCCTCGCCGCCCTGGTGGCCGTGGCCGCCGCCGACTACCACGATGACACCTTCCACTTCTCGTCGCTGGGCAGCGCGACCGGCCTGAGCGGCCTGAGCGGCCTCCAGAAGAGCTCCCTGAAGCAGTACACCGTGCAGGCCGTGCCCGCCTACCGCCAGCAGTACGCCGTGCAGGCCGTGAGGCAGGTGGCCGCGCCCGTGTTCGCCCAGGTGGCCGTCCAGCAGCCCGCCGTGCTGCAGTACTCGCAGTACTCGTCCGCGCCCGCCGCCTTCGCCAGCAGCGCCAGCTACTCCGGCCTCAACGCCCCCAAGTGGCGCATCGTGTCCCAGGTCCAGGAGGCCGACCCCGCCGGCCCCTACAAGCTGAGCTACGCCACCGAGAACGGCATCCAGGTCAGCGAGCAGGGCTCCCTGGTCAACAGCGCCGAGGGCCCCGCCGTGGCCGCCCAGGGCTCCTACTCCTACAACGGTGACGACGGCCAGGTCTACTCCGTGAGCTACGTGGCCGACGAGAACGGCTTCAGGGCCGCCGGCGACCACCTGCCCACCCCTCCGCCAATCCCCGCCGAGATCCTCCGGTCCCTGGAGGAGAACGCCCGCAGCGGCGAGCAGTACGACGAGCAGGGCAGGCTCCTCAGGAACTGAAAAGAGCCTCCTCTTCTGTGATATTCGACCGTGAAAATAGTATCCTCTCCGAATCGGAGAACAAACGAGTGTACAAATAAATCAATAAACATATAAGCAAATCCCAGGGTTTTATGTGACCAGAAATCATGTTAAATGAGGCCAGCTCGGATCATGGCGCCCGGCCTGATTCGGAAGAGTCGTTTCCTGGCCCCGTGTCGGCCAGAGAGAAACAGAGCGCCGAAAAGCTCCTCCAGAATCAGCAGACAGTGAGTCAAGGCCAGTCAAGGCTGGGGCTTCCCCCACACGGCCAGCCCAGGCCAAGGGCCAGGCCAGGGGCCAGGCCGGCGCAGGCCGTCGTAGGGGGGCGGCGGCTGTGGCCGAGGCTCTGGCGGTGCCGCAGGACGGAACCACTGGTGCAGCAGCTCGGCGCAGAACACGACGGTGCTCCACAGGACGCCGATGGACAGCACGAAGAAGGCGGCCTCCACCTCGGACAGGGACAGTACCAGGTCGTCGCCGGACCGCGGCTGTGGCACCGCCTCGTACGTCATCCTCAGCCACTGCGACAACAAGGGTTCACAGACTCCTGGCCTTGGCGAGGTCGCGGACCGACCTCGGTGTCCGCCAAGGCCCGCACTATCAGTTACAAAATGATTGAGTACGCCATGGGAGTGGCTCATCGTGGCGCCTGTGACTGTACCTTGGCCATGAGGCCGGCGTCCATGCAGCGCAAGAGGAACAGGTTGAGCTCGAAGATGTAGGGGAAGTTGCAGTTGACGATGTAGGCCAGCATGTACTTGCGGGGGCACTCGTCCACCAGGTGCAGGGCCTTGTTCTCGGGGCGCAGGTACGCGCCGTTGCGCCTGATGAGGAAGGAGAAGGGCTGCTCCGAGGTCCAGTTCTTGGGCACCACCTGCAGCGCGAGCAGCGCGAGCAGCGCGCCAGCCTCTCAGTTATGTCTCCCTCGCACCCCTGGGGTGTCCCGTCGCGGTGCGAGAGAGACACAGAGACAGAGCGACGCACCCGGAAGTTGTCCTGCAGGCGCCGCATGCTGTCGAAGGCGAAGGTGTCCATGAGGGACTGCGAGCGCGTCGTGATGGGGATGCCGGAGTCCGCCAGCGCCTCCAGCGCGTCGATCTCCGGGTAGTACTGGGGGATGGTCAGCGTCTTGAACAGCAGGCCCTGCAGCAGTGTGTCGTGCTGCCTAGGAGACCGGCCGGCCAAAGACGCGTTTTGAGCTCCAGAGTCGCTAAACAGGACTCAAACCGAACGTGTGACCCCACCAATGGATTCCTCGTTCGGAGAGCAACCAATTGGTGGGGTCGGTTCGAGTCCCATTTAGCGACTCTGGAGCTCAAAAGGCGTCCGGGATTTTGACCTCCTCGGCCGCGTGCAAGAGACACGCACCTGAAACGCCCCCATGAAGGTGACGCTGAAGAGCAGCCCCATGGCGAGCAGCAGCAGCGTGGACACCTCCCTGGCGCGCGCGTGCGGCTGGTTCACGCTGCCGGCCAGCATGAGCGAGTACACGGCGAAGAAGGCGTCGCTGACGGTGTGGCGGTGGCGTCGGCGCGCGCCGTGCGCCCTGTCCAGGCCGTGCACCGTCGCCACCGTGCTGAGGAAGGCGGCCAGCAGCACCAGCCACACGCTGCCGCTGAACACCCTGCGGCAGCACGACTTGGAGCGGCCTCAGTAAACGCCAACACACAAAGACCCCGACGACATCCCCACGCACCTGAAGAGGGTGATGTAGTTGGGGATTCGCTCCGAGGGCGGCACCATCACGCAGAGCTCGTCGAACACGTAGGGGTACGTGAACTCGACCTCCTTGGTGTTGTAGTCCTTGACGAACCTGCTGTTGAAGCTGATCCACGCCCTGCCCGACATGACGGCGCCCAGCGTGCCCGTGCCCGTCACGCCCGACTCGCTGTAGCCGTGCGAATCCTTGTCCTCGGGGTACTTGACGTCGGCCTCGAAGTTGAAGTAGTGGGCGGCGGCGCGCATCACCCAGGCGTCCACGCCGATGTGCTCCACCGCCACGCCGACGTGCTCCTCCACCTCGCCGATCTCCTCGCCGGGCAGCGGCGCCTCCACCAGCGTGGGGTAGCTGCCGACGCGTGCAGAGCTCCAGAGTCGCTAAATGGGACTCGAACCGAACGTGTGACCCCACCCCACCAATGGATTGCTCTCCGAACGAGGAATCCATTGGTGGGGTCACACGTTCGGTTCGAGTCCCATTCAGCGACTCTGGAGCTCAAAACGCGTCCGGGATTTTGGCGGCCTCCACCGGCCTTCTGGCCCGCTGTGCGCCGTCGGCGCTACCAACCAGCGACCCAGGCGTACCTCGGGTAGATGGAGATGCTCCACCTTTGGCGGTGGAAGTTGTGGTACGTGGCCATGACCAGGCCCTGCATGGCGGACACGTTGCGCGGGCCGACGATGACGGTCCTGCGGCCGGGGTCCAGGTCCAGGGGCGCGTACAGCACGAGCTGCCAGGGGCACGGCGCCAGCAGCACGGCCACCACCGCCTTCCTCGCCACCCACAGGGACCTCGCCACGGTGCGGGCCACGCCCACGGCGCAGCGCCTGTCGTCGGGGAGGGGGTGGGTGTCCAGGACGAGCAGGTAGCGCGCCCTGGAGCCCAGCAGGCCAACCGTCAGCGACAAGGATGCATCACGATTCCCGAGCCGGTACGCCCGGCACTCACTTGGAGTTCCACAGGCCCGTCTTGAGGAGCTCCGAGATGCACTGCACGCCGCTGCCGTCCTGCTCGGTGTAGGACGCCACCACGACGACGTAGCGGCCCAGCCTGTCCTCGCGGTGCGCGTACGCGTACTCGACGGACTGCGGCGGCGGCCGGCCCTCCGCGACGGTCCACAGCACGCAGGGCATGCTGTGCAGCCCGCACAGCTTGGCCATGGCCGCGTTCACCGCCTCCAGCGAGTCCGCGTCGGCGCGCTCGCGCTCCGAGTGCGGGGCGAAGGGGCTCCTCACCTGGTACTTCTGGCTCCGACAAGAAAGAATACGCGTTTCTTCGCGGGACGAAATTGACCACCTTTTTCAGATGTTATTGAAAAACGAAGCCGAATTTTATCTACTTGCACCGCGCCGGCGCCCGCGAACAGGCACATGGCGGTCTCCTTCCAGGTGTCCAGGGTCACGTTGAAGCTGGCTCCGGGCGAGGGCCTCGGCCCCGGCATCAGGCCGGGGGGCAGCCTGGGGGCCTTCTTGGGGGCCGCGGCGAGCAGCGCCTGCTGCAGCACCGCGTGGTGCAGCAGCAGGGACAGCCAGGCGGGCCGCATGCCGCTGCAGTCTGTGAGAGCGACAGTCTTGCAGTGCAGTGGCAGTCTTGCGGGCAACTCTAGGTTTGCGGTCGATGGCTGTAGGCACTGTAGGCTGCCGAACGTCGTCAAAACGCAAACGAGTCGAAGGCAAACACACTGCTAGGTGCTGGGGGTGATTAGGGGCGGACAGCGGACAGGTGCACCACCTCCCGGATTTAATTTCGCGCGACGGTGCGACAGGGCTGCCAACCTGTCAGTTTACAGTGCCACGCGGCCCACAGGGAAATTGCGCCATTGGAATATTGTATTTGGCCAGGAGACTCAAGGAAGAAACCAAAATTCATGATCCCGCCCCATCATATTAGCTCTGGTCTACAAGAGTTCTGCCTAGTATCTCTCCGTGTTTGAGCTTTATATGTGTTGTGTTGCCTGCAGCAGAGATGAGCTTCCGGCCCACTGTCAACAGTCGCTGTGATCAGGTCGCGTCATTCGGTTGCTCGTTCGTGAAACCCATTCGTTGCTGCTGTACTGTGTGACAACGTCAGCGGTGCCGTCTGTTTCTAAATTTGTAATCGGCATTTCCACACCGTGGTCGTGGTGAGTACACCGCCAGCTGATTGATGGTTGAGGTGAGGTTGACGTCGCGACACTGCGCCTAACCTACGAAGTCTCGTGTCGTTCGAACAAGAACATACACATCCGAGAACTTTGGAGGTGGCGCCGATTGCCGGCCGGCTGTTGTTGTTCTCTTCGTCTACTTCGGGTTTTGTTTCTGCTGCAGGACGGTCGGTGTCGCTCCTCCAGATCGCGATGCAGTGCCCCATCTGCTACGAGGTGTACAACCAGCAGGACCGCCGGCCCAAGATCGTGCCGTGCGGACACACGTTCTGCCTGGTGTGCCTCAAGAGTCTGCGCGTCAAGGAGTGCCCAACTTGCAGGACGGTGAGTCGTGTCGAGTCAGCCCCGTTTCCAGCAGAACAGACCCTTTTGGAGCCCGCCAGAAGGATGATTTTGGCAATTTTTTTCGCCCCCAATTTTCCCGGGCCTCACCCGCGGGTCGGACGAAGTCAGGGGGAAACCACTTGAGATTTTTGTGCCCACTTTCCATCAAATATCCGTAATGTTTTTATACTTTTTTGTAAGAAATCGGTTTAGAGAATTTCCACTTTTTTAAAAAAGAATTTGTGTCTATTTTCTGGTGTTGTGGTTTACCTAGTTTGTCCGTGCAGATGTTCGCTTGCCCTCCGGAAGGCCTGATCGACAACTTCCTCGCCCTTGAGGAGACTGCAGACATGAAGTTCGTCCACCGGGCGTGAGTGTTTCACCTTTCCCTGCCTCTCTCTGCCTTTCCTTCTGTTACGTGATTGGTGAACGTGCAGGCTGTGGTGCGACACGTGCAACGACGCGCCGCAGCCCGACTGCGTCAAGGACCACGACGTGCTGTCGTCGCGCATGGCGCAGGCGCGGCTCGAGGACGCGCACACGGCCTCGCTGCTGGCGGAGGAGCAGGCCCTGCTGGCGGAGCGCAAGGCGCACGAGCGGATGCGCTTCGGCTTCGAGGACGCCGTCGACGCCCTGAACGCGGACACGGCGCGCGCCGAGGCGGCGCTGAGGAACGACCGCGGCGCGGCCGGCACCATCCAGCGACGCTACTCCACGGGCGGCGTGCTGGGCGGCGGCAGCAGCGGCGTCAGGGCCACGCTCATCAACATCAAGGCGTCCAAGGCGCGCGCCGAGGCCGCCCACGACAAGCTGGAGATCATGGACGCCACCCAGGCCGAGATCAAGGCAAGTGTCCGCCACCCCACGCTCTACCCCCATGAGTGCGAGAGAGACGCAGCGACGAATGCAGTCTGTTCCAGGTCAAGTGCGGGGAGGCGGACACCTGGAGGTACTTCTCGCTGGACGTGTCCCAGGAGGCCCAGGAGATGCACAAGCTGGTGCTGTTCAGCACGTACCTCCTCGCGCGGCTCAAGCCGGCATGCGTGCGCACGGCACTGACCTACGAGGTGACGGCCTCCGTGGCCATGGCGTCGCGCGGCATCTCGCTCCCCGACATCACCCTCGAGTTCGACGAGAGGCCCTCGCCGGGCCGCCTGGTCGAGCAGTGGGCCAAGGTGAGGACCGCCGCACAGTGGATTTGTCAGAAGACCGGTGGAGGCGGCCAAAGCTCTACTCGCGTTTTGAGCTCCAGAGTCGCTAAATGGGACTCGAACTGACCGTGTGACCCCACCAATGGATTCCTCGTTCGGAGAGCAATCCATCGGTGGGGTCACACGTTCGGTTCGAGTCCTGTTTAGCGACTCTGGAGCTCAAAACGCGTCTAGAGTTTTGGCCGCCGCCACCGGTCTTCTGGCCCACTGTGCGCCGCGCCGCACTATCGCCCTCGCTGGCCGCCTCAGCTAACTCTTTCTCGCCCTGCCGGCTCTGCCCCTGCAGGGCTGGAAGATCTACTCCATCTGCAAGGGGTGCCTGGAGAGCTGCCACACCCAGTCCTTCACTCCGCAGCCCCCCGTGACGTCGGCGCGCCGCGTGGAGAAGGGCTGCCTGTGCCTGGGCAGGGCCAACGGCCGCTTCTACTTCATCCTGTGCGACGACATGGAGACCCGCTTCCTGCTGCCGCTGTCGTCCAGCTTCACGGTGGTGGGCCGCGTCACGAGGAACCTGAGCTCCCTCGAGGAGGCCGCCAAGTCGCTCCGAGGCTCGCCGCGGGACGCTCTGGAGATCACGCCCAAGCTCTAGCTCCAGTGTGCGGCTGGAGTGGAGCCGGGCAAAGCTCGACCCTGTAGACCATTTTAATTGGAACTTTTCTTCTATTTATGCTATTGTTTTTATTTTTTATTTTATTTTCTACTTTTGTACTGGACTCTTTGCGTCAAGAATTTTGCTTTCAGCTGTGTAAATATTTTGTGGTTTTTTTTGCCACGTGACTAATTGTCATTGTTTGTAGTCTTATGTGTTTATCAATTACTAATATTTTATGCACAACTCTCAGAATAAATATCTATTTCTTTATCAGCGTAGTGGTTTCATCTTGCAATCATAAACCTTGAGTGCGAAAGGTGTTGTCGACTCGGAGCTTTTTGTCCCAGTAGGAGTGGGGCGGGAGACTGAGGTGGAAGTGGGAGTAGGAGGCCAGCCGATGAGTGCGAGAGAGACAGGACTCGCCAGTCGTGACACCTGTGGTCGCATAAGCCGCGTCGAGGCGCCTGTGTCGGTGCGAGCAGACATGTCGTGGACGCCGCTCGTGTTCCTCTGCCTGGTGGCGTTGCAGGCCGGGCAGGCCGTCGGTGTGGAGGTAAGCGATGTCGCTGTCGTCGCTGCTGTGCTCAACGTGACGAGCCCCTTCGCCGTGTTGTCGCAGCCCCAGTCCGGCGACTACAGCGACGAGGACGTGAAGCTAGCCGAGGCCTTGGACCGGCGCCTGCAGCGGTGCCTTGCCGGGCTGCCGGAGCTCGGGGACCTCGGACCGGCCGGCGAAGCGGGCGAAGCCAGCGACCTCCCCGACGTCGTCTGGCTGCCCGGTGCGTCGAACCGATCGTGTGACCCCACCAATGGATTCCTCGTTCGGAGAGCAATCCATTGATGGGATCACACGTTCGGTTCGAGTCCCATTTAGCGACTCTGGAGCTCAAAACGCGTCTAGGGGTTTGGCCGCCCCCACCGGTCTTCTGGCCCACTGTGCCAGGGAAGCCCCATCCTCGTCGTGACCCTTCTGTGCTTGCAGTGGCCAAGCTGAGGCAGTCCGGCACCCCGAGGCGGAGGCGGCCCGCGGACACGTGCCGCGAGGAGGCGATGGACGTCGTCTGGGAGGAGGGCGACGCCGAGCAGGCGGCCGCCGCGGCCACCACGTGCCTCCTGAACCACTACCAGCACGTCGTGCACGGCGTCGACGGCCTCGCCCTCTCCGCCGCGCTCAGGAAGAGCCTCGACTGCGTGGCTGCAGAGCTCGAGCATCGCCGGCAACGCCGGTGACCCTCAAGCGCAGTGTTCTACTCTGAAGAAATTAGTGGGTCTCATCTTTAATGTCTCTGTGAATTAAACGGACTTTCCTTTGTGTCAAAAATGTTGAGAAGCATTGGACCCGACGTAATAAATGAGCTTGCTGCGGCGGGAGACTTATTGCGGGTGAATTTGCGTGTTTTGCACAGTTTCCCCGCTTCTTCCCGCTGCGAGCGCCGGGCGGGTAGGCATCCCATTCGACCGGCCGGCGTCTCTTCTCTTATTCGCAGGACGAGGGCAGCTCTGCGCTCTGCTCTCACTATCGGCAGCATCGCCTGGCCGTGGTTTATTTACACACACCAGTACTCAAGCGTGTATTTTGGTTTGTTTCGGTTTTACCGAAATTCGGTTGCGATGAGCCTTTGAGGGAATATCATTCGACCAGCAAGTCTCGCACGTAAGCAGGTTTATTGTGTTTTCTTCACGCGCCGCCGAAAGCTGTATTGATGCTTGGCTTGCCTTCGGCTCCCTAACCTAGCACGGTTCCTGCCCTTCTCTCTTTGTTTTGAAGTTCTCCTAGTTCTGTATCTCTGGACTTCTTATTTAATATCGCTTCTATAAGCCTGTGTGTTTCCCCAACTTGATAGTTACCACAGTTTCCCATTCACTCTCATTGAATTATGTATTGATTGCACTGTCTTATCTGGAGGACATGACAAGTTCTGTTTTGTTTCTCAAATTTAGACTGTTTCTTCATGTTGTTATTAAAAATGTCTTTATTTCTGGAATTTTTATCAGCCTGTATCCTAGTGCTTATTATTTTGCATCTTGTAGCAGTGGCAATGATGTATGTTTTGTCTTTCACCGAATGTGTCTCTCGTCATTTTTGCATGCTCTGCTGTTTCAGACACGTAGCCATGGGGGATGTCCAAGACATTCTGGGGCTGGAGCGCCCACCCACTCCGGAGTTGACGAAGGAGTCCATTCTTGGGTCGTCTGATAAATTAAAAAGGAAGCAAATGCAAATGTCCACTCCCAAGGTTTCAAGACGTCCGGAAGGAATGCCAAGAGAAGTGTTCGCTCTATTGTACCATGATAACAAGGGTGTTCCTCCAGTCTTCCCCACTGACACTGGTAAAACTGAGTTGTTAGCAAAAGAAGTCTGATTATTTTTGGGGTCTGAAGCAATCAACCTGAAATAAATTAAAATTCACTATTGTTTTTTCCCTTTTTAGGTTCAGGCTACAAGCAAATGAAAGCTAAACTTGGTATGCGGAAAGTAAGGCCTTGGAAATGGATGCCATTTTCAAATCCGGCTAGAACAGATGGAGCTGTGTTTCACCATTGGCGGAGAGTTGCTGATGAAGGAAAGGATTACCCCTTTGCACAATTTAATAAGGTAAGGCCGAGAACAAGTGCGACCCTTCATTGTTCTCTATTATTCTTTGTCTAAACTATTTTAATTTTTTGCAGAAAGTACCTGTACCATCCTACACTGATGAGGAGTACAACCAACATCTCCAGGTGGTAGGGTGGACCAAAGATGAAACAAATCATCTTATTGACTTAGCCAAACGTTTTGATTTAAGATTTATCGTTATGAGAGATCGATGGGATTCATCAAAATTTGCTGAGAGATCTGTTGAAGACTTAAAAGAAAGATACTACACATTACAGACAACTTTGGGCAAGGTAAGCTTCCATTCTTTCAATGTTTACAACTTGACTGTGCGCTTATAATAATTGACTGTGATTCTGTTATTGTCCTCTCTTTCCAGGTGAAAGGCACAACGCCATCAGATGCAAAACCATATGTATTTGATGCAGACCATGAGAGACGGAGAAAAGGACAACTGAAGAGGCTTTATGAAAGAACACAAAAGCAGGCAAGCTAATGGGTCAATCAATTTTCAACAGAATATATCCTTGTATACTTGCAAAATTTTTAAAGTATGACATTATGTTACAGATTGAAGAAGAACAAACATTAGCAACTGAATATCGAAGAATTGAGGCCCGTAAAAAGGAGAGAGATAAGAAGACTCAAGATCTTCAGAAGCTGATAACTGCTGCGGACAACCAGTCTGAAACACGGCGTATTGAAAAGAAGTTGCCCAAGAAGAAACTTCAGCAGCAGTTAACTAGACCCCGGGTGGACACTGTAGTAAGTATTTTGTTATGTTTGCAAATTATCCATAAAATTTGTATTGAGATTATTATTACTATTATTATTGTAAATACCTAGTAAAATTGAAAGCCTAGTGCCACCTTTAAAAAAAAAATATTTTCTTTTACAGACTGTGGAGAGTACTGGCATCAAATTCCCTGACATGAAAGGAAGTGGAGTTTCTGTGAGGTCTCAAAGAATGAAAATGCCTACTAGTGTTGGGCAAAAGAAAATCAAGGGAGTTGAACAGTTACTTCAAGAGTTGGCAGTGGGTGAGTGTCTCCTCTTCTTGAAATATCCAACATCTACAAGCCAATATGTTTTATTAATAACTCCATTGCAACTTATATTCCAGAATTGAACCCCATGCCAACGGAGGAGATTTGTACCCACTTCAATGAACTTAGAAGTGACATGGTTTTGCTACATGAACTTAAAACAGCCTATACCACTTGTGAATTTGAGTTGCAGACTTTGCGCCATCAGTATGAAGCACTCTGCCCTGGCAAGGTACACTTCTTTTCCTTTTTTAAATTTGTTTTGATACCTGAAACTACAAAAATATTGAAGATACTATTTTTATTTTGTTAATTTCTTTCGCAGACTCTGGACATTCCGATACCCAATGAAACTCAAGTTGGATCGTCAACTGAAAATGATGGGGGAAAGCAGAAGATAAACCTTGCTGAAATAATTGATGTTGTTGGATCCCCTGGTACTCCCAATAGTACCCACATAAACTAGCAATACTTTTAAGTATGCCACTATGGATTCAATTTTAATCAGCTTTGGTTTTGTAAATTGTATTAAATATGTACTCTGTAAACTTAAAACTTGTTCCTCTTTTTTTCCTTTTGGACCTTAAAACTCATTGAATCATTTCCACCCTTGATAGAGGATATTTATAACATGAAGGGGCCAATTCCTAAACTCACACCTCACAGCCCAACAGCATGTAGGACTTGACCGCAAAGACTACTCTTATAATTTTTTTTTCTCGGGGATGTTTGAACACCACTGTGGGGGCTTGGACTTCCCTGATGTAACGTTCCTGCACTGATGGGCGAAAAGCTCCGCGGATGACCGGAACGGAGTGCATCAGAGTTTCTCTGAGTTCTGCATTGAGCTACTGTCTTCGCTGGTCGTTGAAGCCCCGTGCCGTGCGCGCGTGTCCCATGTCCCACGCCAGGGCCACCCGGCCGGGCCCTGTGGCTTTTTTTGAACGGGTGGCCTACTTCCTTCTTCCCGTTACCGAGCGTAGCTTCTCGCTTGTTCTCGTTGGAACGACCGCAAGCCGCAGGGGCTTTGCCTGATGGGTGGCCTGCCTTCCGGGCGCACGCTGTGCGGTGCCCTGCCTGGCCTGGGCCTGGCAACAAGCACGTCTACAAGATGGAGGGAAAACTGGGAGGGGGGAGGGGCGCCCGCGGCAGCGGCACCGCGGCCTGCACGCAACTTGGCGGACGCAGGTCAATACCCTGGCGTCGTAGCGCCGCGACGAGCCCACCAGTGAGATTTGGGGGGAAAGGGGGAGGGGGCGCCTTCACGGAGCCACGAATCCCGGAGCCACGGCAGATCACATACATTTCCAAAATAAAGTCTGTCTTTCATTGACGAGCCAAGCCGCCGGTAGGTTCGTGATTCACGGCTGGACCTTCCGAAATTTGAAATTCCCATTTGCTGCGGGAAATGCGCACCAGTCTTAGACCCCGATCCTTCGTCTCCCCAGTTCCAGGATCTCGGCACCTCGGCCCCAAGGCCAGGACTGGAGTCACGGTGTCAGTGAATGGATCGCCTACCACCTCATGTACTCCTGTCACAAGGGAAGGCTTTCAGCCCAACACAGAACAAATAGCAACGGATTCAAAAATATTTAGTTTATTTATACAAAAAGAAAAATAAAAACAATATAGATAACAGACAGGACGAAGAAAAGCTGAGTTTTCTGCAGAGACCTTATAGTGCTGTACAGCAATTCCTAGTTTAATTTCTTTTAAGAAGTTATTTACTATGTTTACATTATATTTACATTATCCTTCTCTCCAAGCTCAACAACATCCTACAACTTGCCCAAGTCCTCCTGGAGTCTTCAGCAAGATTGTTTGAGGATGAATTTACGTGGCTATTTGTGCAGGTTTAAGGAAAAATTCTAGAGGAGTATTGCGTGAAATGTAGCCCCAAAGAGCTTGTGATTATTATGTTGTTTTGTACATAAGTGTAGTAGTACATGCATATAACTTAATTTTGTACAAAATTGAGCAAGCTCAAAGTTACACATTCAATTATGTGATGCTTTATAGGGACTACTATAAACAAGCTATTCTACAGAAATAACAATATATAAATAAGGTGGTGATAAATAATTGCTCTTCATTGACTTGGGCTGCTACCAACGATTGAAAGCAAACACATGAGATTGCATCTCATGAAAAACGAAGGGTGAAAAAAGAAATCGTACCCAGGGCTTAGCACGTTTTAGAATGAGATCAGATCTATTGCAATCACAGATTAGGCATCTAAGCTGAACTGTGTGGACTCAAAGCTATGCCAAAAATCTTGATGACTTCATTAATGCACATTTCAATTAGGGTAGAATGATCGTAAAAGTTTACATGATTCTTACAAAAAGTACATGAAAATTTTATAAAATGACTTTTACCAAGCCTAAAATTATTACCGCATACAATACTTACAAACGAGAATATCATGGCACAGTTCAACAGTTCATTCATAGCTCATACTTAGGGACCAAAGACTCCATTAATAAATATTATACATTATACAAGGAGCACACTAGAAAATAGGTCACAGCTCCCCATTCAAAGTAGTCCAACAAGAGTCAAGTAAGACACCTAAGAGCACAAATTTCCCTTTTCCAAATCTGTCTTATCTTACTTATCTAGCCAATACAGCACCTTGTCAAATCAAGTTGCAGGTCAGTTAAAATGGGCTTCTGTTAAAAAATAACGGTGTGGTAAATTAGAGAAATACTACTTTGGTACTGTGTCTGTTTGAAGTGGGAGGGCAAATTACGAGTACGTAAAATAAATTGGAGTTACGAAAAGGAGAAAAAATACAACATAGAAAGTGAACAGGGCAATGCCACTGTAACACTTCAAGGCAAATAGGTGACAAGTGAAACTTGTCAGTCAGGAATAGTGTGAGCAGTTCATGTTGTCTTTTTCAAATTTAGGACTCAAAAGAAATTATGAACATTCAGAACAGCAGGACTCACCACCAGGTCATCCAAAATAGTACAAATTTTGATAAAAACAAGTATACTTTCAATACTAAAATTACTCATAATACAGGAGTTCATGTGATGGTAACTTTGAATATGAATGTGAGGTTTGACTGGTTGAGGACAAATAAAATTTCTGTACTTGTCAAAATAGAGAAAATAAAAATTGTGTCAAGTGATAGGCCAATCCATTCAAGGGTACTCACAAAAAAAAGGGGGTAAAATTCAAGGGTGGAAAAAAAAGAAAGAAAAACAGGAAAAAAATATGAGGGTAAACTTAACATCAAAAAACAAATGTGTGCAGTAATCTTTCAAAATAAAAAAGTACAACCTAGAAAGTTCAGTTCAATAAATTATAATTACTTCAACAAAAAAATAATTAAAAATGCATTTATACAGTCTCCCTTAGCAATAATTGTTTATTCATATTTGTTACAAAGCATGTAAATACTGAATGCCATAAGACCAAGAAAAGAACACTGATGTAAAATTTATCACAAGAAAGAGTCTACTTACACAAAAATGTGAGTACCCTCTCTGCACATATTCCTACCATGCAGCTCTGGAATGTTTATATTCCGAAGTTGACAAGTTTTGCACGATTGAATTAATGACATTAACACAATAGAAAAACGAATTACTCCACTGAGTGGACAGCAAATTCAATAATTACAGTACCTATCTTTGTGAATCTAAGCTTGGCAGTTCATTTTTGAATGGCTCAGGCCACAAATTATGTTATGAGCTGCTAAATAGGCAACATATGTTACTATATACAAAATGCAAATAAAAAGTTGCCTTGCCTCCAGATGCCAATCACTACATGATAACTTTTAATGTTACAAAAGATGAAATTCGAAAAGGATAAGGAAAGACTGAAAATGAAACGTAAGATAAAAGTGTATTGATTACACTAAACAGAGCCATTTGACATAACATTCCTTTCCTCAACATGACAACGCCTGATAAAATGAGCCAACAGTGGAACTGTGCCTCTCTATGTAGATAAAAAGAAGAGCGAGTCACATGAAAGAGGAGCCCCATTCCAACCTTTGGTCTGTCGAAGATCATAAGTAGACATGCCTCTGCACCTAGTCTCATTTAATTCTCCCATTCAAGATTGTGCCACACCTCCTCCACTGTTTAGATTGAATCTACATTTAAAATGCCAACAGCACAGCAATGTACTTGTCAATCATTTAGCACTTACAATTTCCTATCAACAAAACGGGTCAAGAACATAGCTCTGCTAATAAATATTTCTATATACAAGGTCATGGATTTTAAATGTAGCTTCAACAGTAACAATTTCATTCAACATACACATTGAACTGATAACGACCAACGGGTTTAGTAAAGGAATTTAAATACTCATTTAAGTAAAGTAACATATGTTACTGATACTTTATTAAATGTATTTACTTAGACTAAAGTAAGGCAATGTTCTAGGAGGAACACCATTTTAGCTATTTCAATTTTCACCGGAGCAATTACATACAACACATGTATTCTAAGCCTCTAACATAATAGCAAGGATTTGTACATTCAAGGTGTTATTTATACATTAATTACAATGATCAAATCATTCATACAGCCAAATTAGTGGCTAAATGGAAGAGAGGGTCTCACTGCAGGTGCTTTAACATAAACAGCAGCAGCAGCAACCATCTCCAATGACCTACAGTTTCTTTCCATCAAGCCGAGTCAAATAGCTTCCCTGCGCACGGATCACATATGGCCAAACATGATCCGTGTGCACGACCGCCTCACCCTGAGCATTCAGTCTCAGGAACTGTGCATACCAATGCGTTCCAAAATGTTGCTAGCCCGGTTTGTGAGGTCTAAAGATTTGTCGATTGGATGGAAGGAAACCTTCATTTAATCTCTAGATGTAATAAATAATGAGTTATGGGAAATTAAATACAGAAATGTCTTCTTTCTTGGTCAGAGGCAAACATGGTCTTCTACTACTATTGATAACAAACTTGCAGCTTCATGGGAACTTAAGGACTATATATTTACAATTTTCCCATGAGAGTGAAACTACGCATTCAGGTTGTAAACACGATCATATGCATACAACTTATTAACAAACATACTGGAGAACCAATAGACTATGCCTCTTGGACTTCAGTACATTAAACAATACCTAGTTAATTTTACATCGTCCATCACGTTTACACTTAGTTAATAAAATAAAAATTAACAAACAATAGTGTAATGCACCGATAATACATGATTTTTTGTTCATTGTCTGACATCCTCGCAGCACATAACACAGCCTTTGCTAAGCCAATACACAGTCTGTCCATTCAAATATAAACTTGCTTCAATAATAAACATCAGAGCCATAGAAACAGTACTGGCATCATAAGAAGACTATTTACAATAGTATAAAAGGGGAAACACTAATCTTCAATTTTAACGACAAATTGAAAATATAATACGGCAGTGCAGGTTTGAGTTCACTCTCTTGCATCACTTCACTAAAATGACTGCCGCGTCAAGTTTGCTTAAAAATCTTCCAAAATCATTATCACTCAAGACACATGACACTGGAAATGATGATTCTTAGTTGTCATTACAGTATAGGAACACAAACACAAAACAGATTCAAGTGATTATATACACAGGGTTTGAGACAATATCATTTTGTACAAATGACTCATATAAATTCATTTAATAATACTATTCCATTCAACGAATCCAATAACTGGATCGCTTGCCTCATATGAGAGCGATAAGAATCCTATGCACAGTCCTTTACTTTAAAAGTAAAAGTAATAAAAAAAATACTCAGTTCACGCAGTTCTATTTAAGTAACGGTCATGCTATAACTGTTCAACGAACTTGGTCAGCTGATCCTGGGGGGTCATGTCGTTGGGGTCGGGGCCAGGGCCGGGGCCGGGGCCCTGCGACGAGGGCGAGGGCCCCGCGCCGGACCCCACCGGGGACTGGTGAGGCAGGTGCTGGTGGGGGTGGGAGTGGGGGTGCGGCGCCGACAGCATCATCTCGCCCGACAGCCCCGACGGCGAGGGCACGGGCTGGTTCCGCGGCGAGGACAGGGGGGCGGGCCGCGGCGAGGGGTTGGGCTGCGGCGAGCGGATGGGGGGCGGCGACCGCACCGTCTGCATCAGCTGCTGCATGTGGTTGGGGGGGCCCATGACGCCCACGTGGTGCTGCATGCCTTGCTGCATGCCCTGCGGCATGCCCTGCTGCATGCCTTGCTGCATGGCCATGCCCTGGGGCGAGACCATGGGCGGCGGCGTGGGCTTCATGCCCAGCCCGCCCTGCAGTCCGCCCTGCAGCCCGCCCTGCACCACGTACTGCTGCTGGTCGTGCTGGCCGGCCCAGTTCATGTGGCCCTGCAGGCCGCCCTGGAGGCCGCCCTGCAGGCCCTGCACGCCCTGCACGGGGATGCCGCCCGGCGGCCGGATGGGCAGCCTCTGCTGGGGGTAGCCCGTGGGCTGTTGGAACGGCTGCTGCTGCCGCTGCTTCAGGGCCATCATCTGCTGCTGCAGCTGCCACTGTTGCTGCTGCTGCTGTTGCTGCTGCTGCTGAGGCGTCATCATCTGCTGGTGGCCCTGTTGCTGCTGCTGCTGTTGTTGCTGCTGCTGTTGCATTTGTTGAAGGCGGTTTTGCTGTTGCTGGTTCACCAACTGTTGCTGCTGCTGCTGGCTCATCATATTCTGCTGTTGTTGCTGCATCATGTGCTGTTGCTGCTGCTGCTGTTGTTGTTGCTGCTGCTGTTGCACTTGCTGAGTCATTTGTTGCTGATGAACCTGCTGCTGCTGTTGCTGTGGTTGCTGCGGCTGCTGCTGAACCTGCTGCTGGCCTAGTTGGGGTTGGCCAGGAGCTCCCTGAGGTTGCTGCTGCTGCTGAGCCTGGTGAGCCTGTTGAATTTAAAAGAAAGCATTGGTGAAATACTTAACACATGACATCCAAAAAATATTTTTAAAAAATGAACGGCAGTTGAAAACTTTTGGAAAAAGATAAAATAACACGGAACCAACCTGCCGCTGCTTGATGAATGCAGCCATGAGCTGCGGATTACTCTTGAGGATCTGCAGGATTTGCTGCTGCTGGTCGGGCGTGTTGGGCGACTTGAGTGTGGCCAGCAGCTGGTGCAGAGCCATCTTGCCCTGTTGGCCCTGCATGCCCGGTTGCCGGATTCCTCCAGACACCCCAGGACCAGGCTGAGGGCCTCCAGGGCCTCCGGGGCCTCCAGGACCGCCAGGGCCCATCTGGCCCGGACCGGCGCCAGGGCCACCAGGACCCACCATCATGCCTTGCTGGGACTGCTGCTGCCCGGGCACGCCGACAACACCCTGTTGCTGCATGGGCTGCTGCTGCACTTGTTGTTGCATGGGCTGCTGTTGGACTTGCTGCTGCATGGGTTGTTGTTGTTGCTGCTGCTGTAAATGTTGCTGTTGCTGCTGCTGTTGTTGCTGTTGAAGCAGCTGCTGTTGCTGGTTGGGGTTTTGAGGTGCGGGCTGCCGCAGGCCCTGGTTCGGTTGGAGCGCCACGTTCGTTGGGTAGCGGCTGCGAAACAAATGGAAGATTGTAGAACATGAAAAACAGCGGGTGTCCGAGCCACTCGTCACACATTTGGTAGGAGCACGATGTAGGAAGATAACTCTTGCCACGCAACCGAGTGAAGCAGGAGTTGCCAGAGTCCTGGAAGTGTACTCACTTGGGGTTCCAGTTGTCCATCGTAGGGAGAAGCTGAGCGCCTGGTCCCATTCCTCCCGGGACGGGGCCCATCTGACCCATCGGACCGGGCCTCTGCATGGGCGGGGCCATCATGTTGGGAGGGACGCCCTTGCCGTACCCGACCGCCGTGTGGGGGGCCTGCTGCCTCGCCGCCTCCTCCTGCACCTGAATCAACAGGCGAAATGTGTCAAATTAATCTCGCCATGACCAGACTCAAGCCTCGGATAAGGGTCTCGAGAAGAACAGGAAAAGTGCAGTTTCCTCGTCACTCTTACCTGCTTCACAACCTGGAGTACATTTGCAGGTGGTGTTTGCGTTCCAGGCTTCATGCCTATGCCAGGCTGGTGTGCTTGCATCATGGATGGAACACCTACAGCCTGGGGAGGCAAATTGGGCTGACCCTGCTGTAGTGGTTGGCCAGCACCAACCGTGACAGGACTAACAGCACTTCCAGGCATGACAGGGACAGGATTACTCGGTGGAGCAGTAACAGCGTTTGAGGAGACAGAAGAACTGGTTGAGCCCATTGGCCTTGTCGAGTTTATTGTGGCAGCCATTCGTCTTCTTAGCAGTTGTGCTTGCTGTACCCTCTGTTGGAGCTGTTGCTGTTTCATCTTATGTTTGATGTTGGGGCAGAATGGAACTGGGCACTTTTGATCCTAAAAATTGAAACAATGTTGATTAGTGTTTAAGTAATAGTAGAAAGGATAATAGAGAAACCAGTTAAACACAATACTTACTGTACAATACTTGGCATGATAACAACATAATGCAATAAGCTGTTTGCAAATTGGACAGCCACCATTTGTTTTCCTTTTGCACATTTTGGTGTGCTGAACAACCCTCTTCATCTTCTGACAACTTGGTAATCTGCAATTGGCATCGCGACATTGGCAAGCATGCACCAAAGAAGCAATGCAGCGTTGAATAGATAACTTTCTCGCCTCCTGTAAACAAGATGAGGCAACAAATTAGAATAATGCAAGTAGATGAGAGAAATGCAGTCACTAGTCCATAAAAAACTCCATACCTGAGGGTTGACTTGCTTTTGGTCAGAAGGCAATGATCCATCGTCCAAATCAAAACCAAGTTTCTCCATTTTGTGGTGATGTCCAGGTTTCTCATAGCACGAGACACAGAGATCAAAGTCATCACAAACAGTACAATGCCAGCGAGTTTCAACATGGCTTTTACAATTATTACAGGTGTAGACAAAGCGGTCCTGTCCCTGGTTGTGCAATTCATATAACATAGCCATTGACGAGAACTTTGCTCTTCTTAGAGATGAAAATTCATAGTGCCTTTCTCTTGCCATCGTCAAGAAAGCATCACGACCATCCATGAGATCACAGTTGATAAAAGGATCTGGGTCCTGAATAGCTGCCAAGCTTGCTGCTGACTGAGCTGAATGTAACCTTATAACAAAGAAAACTTCCTTGTGCTTCTCCATAGTAGCAAAAATTTTGGCAGAGAGGTCATTGCCTGTTTCTTGGGCACTTGACTTCTTGCTGTTTTTTCTTTGATTAGATTTTGATTTCTTAGAATTCTTAGCCTTTTTGGAAGAGCCTTTCTTTTTGCCATCAGGACCGATGCCATCTTCACTGTCATCTGCATTTGCTGCTGCTGCAGCCTCAGCAGCTTCAGCTTGTTTCCTCTTCTCCTCTTCTTCCTGATCCAATTCCTTGATAGACTCTTCAAGAACGTTTGGCCAGAAATCACCCTCGAAGTAGGGGAGGTCAGCAGCAGTGCTCAGTTTGTCTTCCATTGCTTGTTTCAAAATATCCTTGTAGTCTAAAACAATTCGTTCAATAATGCCCTTGTCCAGCATCTTTTTATACCATTCTTGTAACCGCTTTGGCTTTGGGACCTTCTGGTCAGCAGGATGGCAGTGGAAGATGTAATCATCCCCTTCAGAAGGAGGACAAGCCCAAATATGAGCCATTGTATAACTGGAAGGAACAGAAAAATTTAATATAATGGTATGTTTTAACAGAAAAGGGGGGGAAACAAGAAATAAATAAACAACTTAAAATTCACAGAAGTGCAGCGTCACTTACCCTAATTGTTTCACATAGTCTAGATAGCCCAGCAAAATTTCATGGTAAACTGCTGTTCTGAACTGTCTTGGCTTGAAGAAGTGGACAGAATCTAGATATGCAATGTACACTCTTCTGGTGTTGGGATTGGGGCATTCTGAACCATATTCTTGCACGTGCATACCAAAGAAGCACACATCAGTGCCATCAACCTCTTCAAACGCAAATAGAGCCTTGGCCCTGTATGGGAACTGTTCAGAAAGCTCTCCACTTTCAACGAATCTGCTCTTCATACCTGGCTTCACTTCTACAAGTTTATCTGAGCTTGACACAACTCTAATGGCCACTTCACCAGCACTGGCTTCCTTCTTTTTCAGATAGTTGTTGACTCTAGTCTCAATGTAGGTCCCCAGTTTTGTTGTCGGTAATCTCTTAGCATTAAACTTATTATCTTTCCTCTTTGAGGCTTTCTTCTTGAGGCAATTATCACATAAAAATCTGTACAAAAAAGGAAACAATAAGTAAACAATAAGTAAAAGGGGCACTTTAGAAAATTATGTTGGACCACAAGTAATGGTGCAGCTAGCTTACCCTTGCGGCCAGATATTTTCCATATGAAGTACACAGATCTGGTGCAACTTCCGCCCACAGTCACCACAGTCAACAAAAGGCTCTGATTCAAGGTGATCATTTTTCATCTCCTTGAATTGGTCTTTCTTGATAACACTGAAAAAAAAAAGAGGTGATGTTAAAATTTAAAAAGAACAGTCTTATGCTACTTTCTTCCACCAAATTAGGGATAAATTGTTGCCTTACGTTTGAGTTTGGGTAGGATCATCTCCCAATGTAACAGAGTCGCCAGGTATTTCATTAAAGCACTTTTGACAGAAAGTGTACCTGAAAAGAAAACATACAATCAGAAAGTGTCATACAATTTTAATTTTCAAGACTTGGCTGCAATCTAAAACTACAAGTACGTACCTATTTTGGTAACTATAATACTTGGCATCCCGTGAAATTGTACACATTGTTTTGCCATAACAACAAAGAACCTGAGGATTGAAGGTGTACTTGCGGCCACAACAGTACCCTAATGCCTGCATAACAGGATCTATTTCTTGTTCAAACACTTCTGACAACTGCAAAAATAAATTTAAAAGATTCAATATTAAAATCTAACAGGATAAAACATTTGCTCGGAAAAGATTTGCAAAAAAACATTTGTTTACCTTTGTGCAGTACCGGTATACTCTTGATGTTTTTCTATTGTATAGCCAGGCATTTTCAAACATTAGCCACACATCATCAACATACTCCCATGGGTCTGAATATTGGCCTGTATCTAACTTTCGTTTTACAGTTGATAAGTCCATGGGCTTCCGGACTATGTCGAAGTAGTCAGGGATATTTAATGATGTGGGATCTACAGGTTGTCTGAATGGAATGGACTCTGGATCCTGTCTATAGAGCTTTTCTAGGGTTGGCATGAGAGCCACGCGTAGTTCATCTGGTTTAAATGCTGCACAAACAAGAGAGAAAAAAAGGGGGCGAGGTTAGCAACCACAACTTAAATGTTAAAAGGGGCTTCAGTAAAGTGAAGTGCACTTACAGCATTTCCGCTTTTCAGAGGCACCAGAAGCGCTGGAACTTCCATCAGAATCAGGCACAACCGGCTTGATGTCTTTTATGTCCATGAGGTCTTTGTTCTCTGACTGTGAAACACTATGAGCAACATTGTTATGCATAGGGCTGGAGGGTTCTTGCTTAATCTCTTCTTTAACAGCCAAAGAATTGGAATCGGAGTTTGACTCATCCATGGGTTCAGTCTTTATCTCATGCTTTAGTTTGCCACTACCCTTTCCATCAGCCTGAGAATCTTCATCATATTTTTCTTCCTTGATATTCTTGCCAACATTGCTGTTTGAAGGCGGTGAATCCTGGTCTCTCTCCAAAGCAGCAGTGAGTGCTGACATTTGGCTGGACATGCTCGATCTCGAGGATGCTTGGTTCCTGTTCATGGCACCATTACTAGCTCCACCACCCTTGCCCATACTGAGAGGAGCAATTGGAGAGCTGGGCGATGCAGCTGCTGATGGACTGGAAGATGCTGTGGTTGACGCCAGCATGGTGTTTGTGGCTGTAAAATACAGAAACATGAATGATCATCCACTCTAGAACACAGAAAACAGTGCTGAGGCGAGGTGCTGGCCAAGATTGAAAATACACACCCTTACCATTGGTAGACGCTGTTGAACCCGGAGTTGGCACAGAGTTAGGGGCCGTAACCGCCGTGGAAGTCATGAGGCCAAGTCCAGAGAGAGACGACTGAGATGAAAGGGGTGTGGGTGCTGAGGCTGACACTTGAGGACCTTGTCCCTGGACGGAGCCCGGCCCTCCGGGGCCTCCAGGGAGACCGTTGGAGGTTGGGGTGAGCCCTGGCGAGGGTGAACTCGACACCAGCATTGAGGGATTGGGAATGTGCCCGTCCTGGCTGGTGGGTGTGGGTGGCATTCCCATTCTCGGACCCTGCTGTCCTTGAGGGCCCTGAGGACCCTGCTGACTTTGTGGTCCCTGCTGCATGCCTGGCCCGCCTGGCCCGCCTGGGCCAGCGGGAGGTGGAGAAGAGAACTGAGGGCTGGGGAGAGGTTGAGACTGAGGTCCCTGACCGGGACCCCCTGGACCCTGAGGTAGCATCTGTGCCTGAACAGCAGACTGCTGGTTTGGTTGCTGTTGCTGGAGGTTATTGAAGCCCAGAGGTGGTGCTTGAGTATTTGGAGTACTGTTGGGAACTCCAGAGGCCCCAATCTGCCTCTTCATAATATCTTGGAATGCAGGTCCTTGGGGAGGCATCAGACCTAAAACATTAGATAATGATATACTTCGGAACAAACAAGATAGCCTACAAAAGTAAAAAGGCCAAGTGAGCCAAACTTACCACCAACACCATTATTTGCAGAAAACTGACTAGTTGTGGTTGTAGTGGTTGAGAAGGGGGATAGCCCTCCAGGCCCTTGAACCATTTGCGTTTGCTGGCCGTCTGGACTCGGCCCTGGTAAAGATCCCATTTGGCCGGGAGGAATCTGACCAGGACCAGGAAGCAGTGGCATGCGGATACCTCCAACATTGCCCATCGGACCAATGGTTTGGTTCATCCCTGGATAACGATAATAATTACCAAATGGTTTCAGCAATGGGGAACAGGCTTAACTAAATGAGCAGGCGTTAAAAAATGTAGCAATTGTATGCCTGATAACATACCTGGAGGAACAGGGCGAGGTGCATTAGGTCTTAGAGGATGTGGCATTTGCTGCTGTTGAACCTGTTGTTGAATCTGAACTTGTTGCTGTTGCTGCTGGACCTGCTGTTGCTGCTGCTGCTGAAGTTGTTGCTGTTGCTGCTCTTTGCGCTTTTGCCGTTTCTCCTCTGTAAAATTGGGGAAAAAAAAAAATCAAATTTAGCACAGAAGAATATATTTGTTGAAGTCCACAGGGTTAGATGAGAAAAAAGCTTAAACTGACCTAATTCTTTCTGAATCTTATAAATTTTCTCCGCCAGTAGATGGTAATACTCTGATCTAGAATTGGCCACTTCATACATGTCACCTTCTACTTTTCGTGCATACGCAACTAAATTGTGCATTCTTTTGTCCAACATGGCAGTAGGATCAGGTGTTGGAAAAATTGCTTGCACTAATTTGTGAACTAAATGGTTGCGTAAATCAGGAGTCACTGACTGGTGCCACTCTTTGGTACCTGGGACTGACATGGCTGTGACCTGACTTGCCTGTAGACCAGGTGGAAGCTAGGGAGAAAGTAATACAAAAATGTTAGACATTTATAGATGCAATGTGACAGACCAATCTACAATGGAACTATGCTGAAAAACTTACATTTGCATTTGTAGTTTGAGCTTCACCATTGTTGGAAATACCAAACAGTGTGTTCTGCATATGTTGCTGCTGCTGCTGTTGTTGCAGGCTGGCAGCTGTAGGCGCGGAGGCCTGTCCGGGCGCCGAGACTTGCGGGGTGGCGTTGGAGGAGGGGTCACTCCCAAGGGGCAGTGGAGCGGAAACATGTCCAGGGCCTGCCCCAGACACATTCATTCCTCCTGCTGGACCACCTGATGTAAACAACAACATTTATTCCCAGTCCAAATTTTAACTAATCAGTACCATACCAAGCCATTGATGAGTACTCACTTTGTTGGGGTGGAATTAATCTCACATTGGGTGTCCCCACCGACATGTTGGGAGGCGCTTGCGGAGGGTTGATGGCCCCAGGAACTTGGGCTGGCACTGGAGCTCGAGGTCTCAACACGTTCCCTGGAGGAGCCGGAGTTACCAGATTACCCACGCCAAAACCTAAAGCATCATATGCTCTTCTCATGTCCGCTTGAGATGGGTTGGGTTGAGCATTAGCAGCAGGCTGATTGACAACTGAGACAAAAGCTTGGCATAAGCATAAACACAAAAGCAAAAAAAAAAAAAATAAATGAAAAAAGTACCCCCAGAACAAACAAATTTTGTGCTAAACACAAGGGGGAAAATGAGCAAAGAAAAGAAAAAAAACAAGGAAAAATCTTGCGAGAAAAGCATTGCGGACAAAATAAAAAGATTTTTTTTCTTATCTTAAAAAAGAACAGGGAATACACTTACCTTGAGGTTTTCTAAAGTCACCACCCGCTTGTTTTAATGGTAGGCACACAGGACAGTCCATTCTTGTACAATGTTTCCAATGGCTAATAATTTGTCTTGAAGATGAACAATGAGGAATAGGACACTGTTTACCAGCTTGACAACTTGTCATGTGTGTTAGGACACCCTTCATAGTTGTACAATGAGGAAGTTGACACTAAATAGGGAAAAATAAAAAACAAAAAATCATTTCACTGCAATTGTAAAATTGATAAACTTGAGGGTCTCAACGAGCAATAATACTCACATTAGGAGCTTCTCCATTTGTCTGACTTTCTCTACGTTGACATTTGTGAGCATGAAGTAATAAAACAAGTTGTTGCTGAATTAATTTACGCTTTTCTGGGTCTGCTGCGGAGGGGGGTGCTTGAGGCCCACTGGGTTGTCCTGGGTTTTGAGCACCTTGGGTGGCTGCTTGAGGCCCTGGCTGACCACCACTGGGTGCACCTGACTGAGGTTGAGCAGGCGAGGGAGCAGGTGGCTGGGCCTGCTGAGCCATTCCACCTTCGTTCCCGCCCACAACTGGGGGGCCCCCAGCGCCAAACCTCTGCTGCTGCAGTGCCACCATGTTGGGACCCACTCCTCTCTGCTGTGGCGCAACAACTCCAGCGTTGGGTGCAGGAGCACCAGGGGAGCCGTACCCGTACGGACTGGCAGCATTCATGGCACCAGGCATCTGGCCCATGTTGGCCATGGTTGGGCCCTGCATGCGAGGGCCTGGGCCAGGGCCAGGCATGTTGATGCCGTGCACTTGATGAGGAGACTGGCCCCTTGCGACCATTTGCTGCTGCTGCTGTAGTTGCAATCTCATCAAGGGCCCATTCTGAAGGCCCGCGCCTGGCACCACATTTACTCCTGGGTGTCCTGCAGGATGATGGGGCCCTTGTGGTCCAGGTCCCTGAGGCCCACCACTCATCATAGTCACAGGTTGGGGACCTTTGTTTAAACTGTTCACCACTAGTCCACCACCTGCCATTCCACTCATTGAATTAATGCCACCAGCATTGGCCACCATCATGCCTGAAATTTTTTGAAATCCTTAGAAAAATTACTGAAGTGTTATCAATCTCTACAAACACAATTTTAAGAGCAAGTAACCAAAGCGCCACTTACCCCCACTAGCACCACTGTTGATTCCTGGCATGACGTTAGACATGGACGACTGCATTGAGTTGGCGTTGGCCATCCCTAGACTGACAACCATGTTTGGATCGCCACTGACGCCTACTCCTGTTTTGCTCACTGCTACATTGGGAGGTATTTGCATTGGATTTAGGTTCTTGTTCCCTGCTTGCTGTTGTAGTGCCATTGAATTAGCCACAAGATTTTTATTGCCCTGAAACGCAGAACCATAGGTGAAATGTCATCCCAAGGGGACAAGGCAGTTGTACTATTTACAAACGAAGAGATCAAGCTGTACCTGTTGTTGAAGCTGCAGCTGATGAGCTAATTGATGTGCTACTCCTTGGTTCTGGCCCGAAGGATCAACCGCTCCATTTTGAAGCACATTGGGAGCCACAGCTCCGCCTGGACCTCCTCCAGCAGGTCCTGAGGGAGCTTGCTGGGGGCCCCCAGGACCTCCACCAGGACCACCCATGCCCGGGCCACCAGGCACCCCAGGTCCGGGACCTGTGGCATGGACCTTGTTGGTGGTGGTCAGAGAATCACCGGAACCACCCCATGGCCCATTCATCAGTTCATCCGGAAGATCATTCTCAATCAATTCGAACATATCTGCCCCGCCATACAAGTCTGCAAATAGACGACCAAAAAAATCCTGGGTTTAGACTAAAGAAGACGCTGTTACAGATCAAGAGGGTTGAAAAAATAACAAGGCCTAAATTTAAACAAATGGAGACACTCCGATAAATAAAACAATCTTCACAAAAAGTGGTATTGAAATTAGACAATTAATGACATTATTGGACACGATAAAACCATGTCAATAGGATTTTAATCAAGCGTGCAAGCAAAACGACCTCTTGCAAAATATTCAGAAAATTATTCATTCCCTTCCCAAAAGAACCTCCAAAAATTTAACCCCTGAATACTCCAAAGAATGCAAATGTTGAAAAATAATTGCCAAAGCAAAAAAAGTTAGATATTTGCTGGGGCAACCCACAAAAATTTGAATGGATGAGGGTTGAGGTTGTAAATATGCAGTATGTCAAGAATAAAAACAAAGATTGCCTGTGGTTTAATGGATTACCATTCAGAACTGACTTCACAAACTTCCCAATCAATTAAAAATAAATTAATTTTACAATTGTAGAAAACTATGACCCTCTTAGAGTTTCCCAAAGTTGAACAAAAGTGGAAAATGACAAAATATGGTTACTTTCATAAATCATTCTCATAATTCACAAAATTTTGATACAAACAGTGAATGACAGCGGAGGCACTAAGATGAATGAAAGCAATAACAAATTACATGGAAAGTCAGATAAAGGTCTTCAAGTTGTTCTGAACCACACTAACAAGAGTCAAATGACACTTCCTAGGACCAAAACAGCTCAGAATTCGATAGAAAAGAAAAATAGATCAGGTGAAGAACTTTGACACAGTGTCTAACAAATATATTTGTGACATTTTAAGAAGATGAAAAAATGGCAAGAACTTCTCACAGAAACATCCACTAAAATTGTACAAGCAATAGTATTTCCCTTAATTCTCAAAATTATAAAGTAAATCTGGACAAGAAAAGACTTTAGTGAGGTATAGTCACTCATAAGGTTAAGTTGTTTGGAGCCAATTTAACAAGTTGATTTTAGGAAATGTCACCTGGTAAATTAAATAAAATGTGTACCAGTCGATCAAATAGTGAGTTATAAGCCGAATGTATGAGACAAATAGCACCAATGACAGGGAAAAGAAGGAAAATAATGAATTAGAATCAGCCAAGAAGCCGAGGTTATAGCTTCGGAGCGTCAGTAAATTAGTGCTTTAGTTCGCTAACTTGCCTCGCTAAGGCGGAAAAAGAGGATTTAATTCAAGAGAAATGTGAAGTCTCTGTAAAGTATCCGCCGCAAAGTGTCGAGAAAAACGTATACAACGTCAATTTCGACGCTTGTGCTAAATGCGATACAACAACACTCGGCCCGGAGGAAAGGGGCATGGGTTGAGGAAAATGCGAAATAAGCCCTTCGGTTTCCCGAAGTTTTACTCACCCGTACCTTCTTGGTTGGACTGAAAAGGATCCGCCAGCTTGGGCCGCTTGTTTGGCGGCCCGTCCACTAGATGGTCGCCCATGATCGCCCTGTTTACAAAGCCGTGCCCTCTAGCCTAAGTTTCTGTATTACTGCGACTTATATCCGATACACATGGCCCGTGGGCCCACACTCGCATCGAACGACGCCTCGGTCTGATCATGCCATCAGTTCTGTGCTCAGAATATCCGTCAAAGGACATATTAACATCGCCAAGTCAACCATCGGACATAAAGAAGCCCCTGGTCGGCCGATAGGCCTAGGCTTACTGGGTTCCACTCTCCATCTTCGCTCGGAACTTGCACAATGATCCCGAGTAGAATGCACAATATTTTCCAAGCATCGGCGTGAAATAACACACTTAAACAAGGCAGAACCACACATCGAACATTACCGCACTTGATTATTGCAACTAAAACGCACTAGGGGGTCAGAAACAACTATAAATTTCAAGAATTATTTCCAAATTTCAACACAGTGAAGTAAGTCAAAATGGCGGCTGTTGATGAAAAGTTTTCTACGCTTGTCAGAAAATTTCCGAGTATAAACGAGGCTTCTCGGCTGCTATTGGTCGGCGGTGGTCACGTGGGCTACGGTAGTTTCTCCGCTGGTTTCTCTTATTTCGTGCCCTCTTTTAAGGATTCTGACGGATTTAACGAACTGGGGGTGCCACCAGAAGCCCAGAAATAATCTCCATGCGCCCAAAACAGGCTCAAATACGCCGGACGGCCGAAATCACGGTCAAAATACAGAAATACAGTCGCACTTGCCTTAGGCCACTGGCAATCGTACCAACTGTGGGAAAATGAACATCGCAGCGTCTCCAGCTATTTTCTTGCTTCTCATTTTTTTAACTCTTGTATTTTACACACAAACGGAATGAGTCAACTGATTTTTAATCCTTTCAGGTGCTCGGAGTGCGAATGCTAGTGTCGAGTCGGATGAAGGTAACCTCACTGTTGTTTTTGCGCCTGACACTGTTCCGCAGGCAAGAAGTCCCGTAGCCAACAGGAAAAGGCAGCGTGACCTGGACGCGTTTCCTTTTCCGCCCCAGCCGCTGGGTTTGAATCGTTTGAATGATTGAATGGTTTGAATAGGCACGTCGCCGACTTCAATGGAATTTCGTGGGAAATGCCGGCAGAACTCATCGAAAGGTTGGTCAAGTTGGCTTGTGCGGCTCATTTTCTTCGGGGACTGTGACGCGGAGACGCGGAGGGACGGGGCAGCAGCACCAAGCCGTTCGCGATATGAATGAAATGTTTCTCTCCGCTGTGTAAATAACTCCTTGAGGTGATTCATAACGGGTAGACCTTCTTGTCGATAGGGCTTATGGGATTCTCTTTTTTTTCAGACCCCTATTTGGCGGCCTAACCTTTGCACCCCGAACGGGGGCCCCATGGCTGTAAAGCCGTCTATAGATAGACAAAGTAGAACCCCCGCGAGGGAATCAATCGAAATGACAATCTGGCGTTGGCCAGACGACGCAAAGCTGTTTAAATCGGCCAAGCATCGACGCCCTTTTGATGCAAAATGGGCCGTGGACCAGGATAATGGGAAAGGGGCAGGGAAGAACGGCAGGTCGTTGCCGGGTTGTGGTTGTATTGTTGAGCGCGTTCTTGACGCGAGTGAAATGAACGAGGGCAGGTTGTCTCACTGGCTTCACGGCTGGACTTCCATTTACCGCGTAAAATGACGTGTGACCGGTTAAAAGATCGCCGTCACACGTGATTTGCCGTTTAAGGTTTGCCATGTGGAGTCGCGGTTTTCTTGCTATGTCGCGCGCGCATGCGCAAAGCGACGAACCTCAAGCAGCGCCATCTGTTTGTCTTGGCGCTTTCGGATGCTGGTGCTGCAGAGGGTTCTCTGCTTCGAAAACTTTTTTGAAATCTTCACACGCCAACCGATTTTAATTCGCAGGAGCATTCGCTCTTGCCGCGCCGCCGGTTGAACAGCGAGCAGAGGATTTTGTTGCTTGCCGGTGCCGTTTGGCGGCTAGGCTGCTAGGCTCCCGCGCGTCCCGCAGCCAGAAGGGAACAAAAAGTCTCTTCCGAGGCGCCGCGTCGTCGGTCCGTCTCACTCGCACCACAGCGTCCCTCGCGGCGGTGGCGGTGAGAGACAAAGACAAGGCGTGTTTTTGTTTTCTGACGCCAAGTGCTCGCACTCGCGTTCGCGTTGCAGTTCCAAATGACGGCGTAAATTTGTGGTGAAGATGGCTAGCGAAACGAGTGCTCCAGTACCCGAGGCTGAGGCCGAAGGCTTTTTAACTTCTATTTTTAACGAAGTCATCAGCAGCCCCCTGAATTTAGCTCTAGTCGCTATTATCGCTTGGCTTGTGTTCAAAATATTCAAGAGTCGGAATGAAAAGCCAGTGCAAGTGGCCCCAGAACCTCAACTGCCGAAGCTGAGGAAAGATTTCACCGTCGAAGAACTGAAGAAATACGACGGGCACGGTTCCGACGGGCGCATCCTCGTGGCTGTCAACGGCAAAGTCTTCGATGTCACCAAGGGGAAACGCTTCTACGGCCCAGGTGCGTTTCCGCCCCGTCTCCCCGAGACGGCGACTAGGTTAACCTGTTGTCAACACGATGGACTTTTAGCTGGTCAAGGGGACTTGTTGCCCAATACCTTGGCCCTGCTCGACCGTCCAGAGTTTCAAGTTCAATGTCAGGCTCAGTTTGGTTGAGGTGAATGCCCTTGCGCTCTTCCCTAATACCTTCCTATTTTTGTTCATTCAGTGCTCTTGTTCCCTTTCTCCTTATTCCATTACATCATCTGATGCAAGATTCATTAAATAATCACTTTGTGTGTCTTTTCTACTTTGTGGTGTGGTCGTAGATTGACACATGAATTAATGCTCATGTGCCCTTCCAATTGCCTGCAGTAGCTGGCTCCACATCCACTGTTGAAATTTGGCTGAATCATCACTGCTAGGCAAAATGCAAATATTGCGAAAGGTCAATTCATCTCACCCTTCTACACTACTGTACTGCCTGTACTGTGGAATGCTGTCTGTGAGTGTACCCTTGCCGTAGGGTAGAGGGTAGCGCATACCTGACGCAACAGCTGGTTTGGGCTGTTTTGGTTTTGAGAACATATGTTGCCCCTTTAGTTTGCCATGTTAAATTACACAAGCCTTATTATCACATGTTATCTTTGCACAATCAGTAAAATGACTATCTATTCAATAGTAATGTCCATCAATCTTCCCTCCACACAGTTCGTATCACAATACTTTTCTCATTTATTTCAGGTGGCCCATATGCAGCTTTTGGTGGTCGAGATGCATCAAGAGGCCTTGCAACTTTCAACGTTGCATGTGAAAAGGAGGGCTACGATGACTTGAGTGATCTCAACCCACAAGAAATGGAATCTGTGCGTGAATGGGAAATGCAGTTCACTGGTATGTCCACAAGTTTTTCTCCATTTGTTCGCTTTGAATTAAAGATATTAGATAAATTGCAATATAATTTTTTTCTTGATTTACAGAGAAATACGATTATGTTGGCCGTCTTTTGCAAGATGGGGAGCAGCCAACCAACTATTCTGATGAGGAAGATGACAAAGACAAGTAAATTTTCTGTTGTTGTATTTACCTGGGTATAAGGCAAGCGATCAATAGTCCCTTGGATTGTAATTCTTTTCAAATTGTTTTTGTGCGGCTTGAAATTTTTTCAGGGGTTCAAATGGTAGTGGTTGCTTATTATTTCTTTGATAATGTTAACTGTTGCGTAGTATGCAGCCACCTCATGTGGAATCCTCTCTTATATACATTGTTGCTTATCCAACCAGTTTAAACTTCACTTCTAACACAACGGGACTTACTTATTTCCTCTGTTCGGATAATTTGTGATTGTCCACTCCATTAGTAAGACACATTAGTTGTGATATTTTTGTTGCCAGGTGTTTTAAATTCCCAGGTTCTTTGTTTATCAACCTTATCCTTATCTGTACCTTTCATCTGTCTTCATCCTAATTTTTTTAGTTATCCACTAAAAGGCTGCTATTTCATTCCACCTTTAATGGAATCCAGAATTTGTTTTGCAGATTCCAACAGACCAATACTGTGTGTGTCCGTAGTGCTTTCTGGTTTTGTGCCAAGTTTTGCCTACCCTTTTGTAATTTTTTTTTGTTTGTTTCAAATGTATTTTAGTCTTTGATGAATTTCTGTTCATTCTTGTCTTGCTGAACACTTTCGTGGGTACTGACATTTTCCATTTCTAATTTCTCTCTCATTTCCAATACATAATTTTGTAATTTCCAACTTTCTTTGTTTTTCTTGAAGAGGGTTTGGTGTTTATTGTAAACCAGCCTAAATCTCATTCAAATTTTTTTCTGCCATGGCTGTGATAGTAGACTTGGATGAAGAAAATGTAAATAGTCATTTCTTGTTCAGAATGAGTACTATTTCTGATGCTTATAAATGTTTCTAAATTTTTTGTGTATATGGAGTTGGGATGGAATCCCGTATCTTCTCAGTCTCTTTCTAATTTCTGTGATTGTGGTGGGATGGATTGTGGTCACCCACACTGTCTGAAGTTTTTGACATTCAACAAAGGTAATCATTTGAGCTCGCAGTGCTGAGAGTGATAAAAAGGGAATGTATTCACTGCCTTATATTCATGTGTAAATGCAGTATTCTACCATTTGTACCTTTCCATGATGATAAATTATGGTCCTGCTACCTTCAACTACATATTTCAGCAGAGGATGGTCTAAAAATTTTAAACTCAAATAGTCATAGGTATCCCGTTATTTTATTTTGTTTACATTGGAGACACCCTCTGCAGCTTGGCAAATGTCACTTTTTAATGGTAAAGGGATAGTTTTTAAATGATAGCTTGTGCTTTTGCTACTGACTAGTTTGTAATGCAGTTAGATTGTTTTGGCTAGGGTGGTTTGATTTTTATTGTATTATGCATAAGAGAATCAATTTAAAATAAGTGGTCTTGCAGTACTTACCTATGATAATGTTTTACCCCAAGAACTTCTCCCTCAATTCATTGCCATAGCTTCTAAATCTTTTCTTGTCTTATTTTACTAATGAGCAAAATGGACTTGTAGTTTTGGAAGGTAATTAATTTTTCAGGAGACTTTTATTTTCATGAATTATTGCAAGGACAGCTGATTTGCGGTTGATTATTGCCATCCCCTTCCTGTTCTTGTATCCAATATTATTGTACCTTATCTTACATGTATAAGAAACTTTTCTATTGTAAAAGTTAATGAGCAAAGTTTGTTAAACCTTTTTTTTTTTGACGAGTATTTTTGGCCAGGCTCTTTGTATGCCAAGGAAGGGGGTTTAATATTTTGTTATTGTAATTGATTAATTGATGCCATTTTTGACCTATCTGTTTGTGATCAACTTAATGTGGTCTCATTATTTGAAAATAAATCTTCAACAATTTTATATTTTAAGCTTATCTATTTATTTACAGAATTGAGTGGCCTAATGGAGGCTGTTGCCCTCCTTCCTTTACTTTTTTATTCACTGTGTTGTTGAGGCAACTTTTAATGTTCGTCCTGCAACAATTAAACCCATTCCTTGTATGTTAAGGGTAGATGTAGTCATTCTGTTCTATTGGAAGGTTCATGTCAAAATTTTAGACAGAATTAGAGCCTAGGCATGTAATGTTCAGATTTATTAATTTAAGAACAGTAAATCCCTCTTTTATGGACCTCTGTTCAATGTTTTTCTGAAGTCCCATGTATTTTTCTTGCCTTGCAAAACATCCTGCTGAAATTGTTGGCCTGATTCACAACATCAGTGGGCCCTGATCACCAATGCATACAGCAGATATTTTGTAACTGAATGGAATGTTACTGTATTTAATTAAGCTTATCTTAAAAACCAAAACATGAATTTACCAAAGCAGATTTCTGTAAATTGTTTTAAACATATTACATTTTGTCAGGAGTATGTTTAGCAGATTGTAAATTAAAAAGAGCTCTTTAATCACTAGATTGTAATCTTAGTGTCTTCACTTCAATGAGACCCTAACAAAGATGCTTTGTTAAACCCTTGTTCAACACTTATAGTCATGATTATAATTTAGCATTTAAGACTCTTGGGTGCTAAGATTTATGGCCAGATTTAGGCTTTGACTTGGTTTATTTTATCTTTGCTTTGTTTTTTCTTTTGATTCAACATCTCATTCTGTATAACATCTAGAATCCTGAATCGAGGAATCTTTGAACAAAGTCGCACTAATCTTAGCTGTTCGCTACCTTTTCATTGGGCCTCCGGAGGATAAATTTCTGGGTGTCTACGCAAACTTCCTGTGTAATGTAATAACTTCAAAAATGAACTATATAGGTACAGTAACTTCCTGCTTATTACTTTCTCCATTGTAATTATAAGTTTTATGTAGAATAGCTTTTAATTATGTGTCAGGTACACCTTTAATGTGATCGTTTCCAAACTCATTCACAAGACTTTATCTGGACCTCTAGTTTGTTTATTTTTGTTTTATTATTGTTTTTTTTTTCCTTATCCAGGGTAGTCTGTAAATTTGTTTGGTCTTAAATCAGACTGATTTGTTTTTCATGACTATTTGAACAATGTGCACCCGATTAATATCACCTTCATGTTTTTTTTTGTTTAGAAATAAAAATTGTATTTTTTCATTTGGTGAAACTTTAATCACTTCCACCTGCTGGAGTGCGTCCTGTTGTCGCTGCGACGAGGCTGGTCGTCTTGGGCCGCGAGGTCTTCGTCGAGAAGCAGCTCGAAGTTCCCCAGGGCTTCAGGCGACGGCACTTTGTTCCACCGCGTACTGCAATCCACGTCATTATCAATGCAAAAAAGATTATCGCGGTTTGAGTTGGCGAAGGGGGCCGAGCCAGACCCTGGCCAGGCAGACCGAGCACTCACTCTGGGACCCCGTCGGGCGGCAGCACCACGGAGAGGATGTTGTCGATGAGCTTGTACTTGAGGATGCGGTCGTTGACCGTGGTGGACGTCAGGGAGGGGCTCGCGTTCACCTCGATGAGCCAGGGCTTGAGCTTGTTGTCGATGATGATGTCGTAGCCGTAGCACTCGAAGCAGTGCCTGTCGTTGGCCATGACGGGGGCCACGGCCTTGAGGGAGTGCACGATGAGCCACGAGATGTTGGAGAACAGGCGCTCGGTGACTGCCTTGCCGCGGGTGCTCTCCAGGTACAGGCGGAGGTTCTGCACCGAGAGCTTGCCGCCGTGCATGCTGTTGTACTCGCCCTGCAGGCAATCGGCCCAATCGGCTCGGTCAGGATCCGGTGGCTGCTCTGGCTGCGCCGTACAGTGGGCCAAAACCCTAAACGCGTTTTGAGCTACAGAGTAGCTAAAAGGGCCTCGAATCGAACGTGTGACCCCACCAATGGATTCCTCGTTCGGAGAGCAATGCGTTGGTGGGGTCACACGTTCGGTTCGAGTCCTGTTTAGCGACTCTGGAGCTCAAAACGCCTCCTTGATTTTGGCCACCTGCGCCGGTCTTCTGACAAATCCGCTGAGAGGCGCCCGCCCGACTCACCCCGTGCTTCTGCACGCTGACGTTGGTCAGGTGCACGTACATGTTGTCCAGCTCCTGGATGCTGGCGTCGTACTTGACGGTGCAGAAGCGGCAGAAGCCCAGGCGGAACAGGTAGGCCTTGAGGGGCCGGAACGAAGTGATGAGCACATACAGGCGCAGGTCGAACTTCTTGCCGCCGATCAGCAGCGGGTTGTCGATGTACCTGTATTCAAAACACTTTTTTAAAAAAAATTGGGTCTTGCGACCATTGAAACCACCCCCTTCGCGGAGTAGCTCATGGTCGCTAGAAACGAGTCCTTCCACCAGAGGAGGGACCCACCCCACCTCGAAATGACGTAGGACTCCTTGACGAGGTTGGGGTTGAAGGGCGTCTTGCTCTCCCTGGACCAGCGCTTGAGCTTGGACAGCTTGTTGATGAGGAAGATGCCGGCGCCCTGGCTCTTGCCGCACGGCTTCATGATCCACGTGGACTGGGGGTTCTTGCGGTACTCCTCCACGAACATGTTGTAGTCTGGCGATGCGCAGTGGATTGACGCGTTTCGAGCTCCAGAGTCGCTGAATGGGACTCGAACCGAACGTGTGACCCCACCAATGGATTGCTCTCCGAACGAGGAATCCATTGGTGGGGCCACACGGGCCGAGCCACCCACCCGCGGGCAGCACGAAGGTGACGGGCACGAAGTCGAGGTGCAGGTAGCGCGAGGGCGCGTCGCCGCGCTCGGCCAGGGGGTTGCCGTCCCGCTCCAGCTCCTTGCGGTACCGCTTGATGTTCTTCACCAGCAGGTCCTTCCGCGTCAGCTCGTACGTGTTGGGGAAGTGGTTGATCATCCTGCAATTAGCAGTGTCGAGTCGAAAGCGAAGCCAAAGCGAAGCGAAAGTGGGCTAATGAGCTCAACGCAGCGAAGCCGCGAAGGCAGCCTTTCAAGCAGTCCAGAGGCGCACGATGGGTGGCCTACCCGGCGGGCTGTGGCTGCCAGACTACTCACTGGTTGTCGTTCATCCGGTAGCCGCTGTCCACACTGAAGAGGGTGCGACACGTCTGCGTGCCCGCCCTGCCGAAGGAAACCTCGTTTCGGAGAAACCATCCACACAGTGGGCCAGAAGACCGGCGGAGGTGGCCAACATTCTGGACGCGTTTTGCGCTCCAGGGTCACTAAATGGGACTCAAACCGAGCGTGTGACCCCACCAATGGATTGCTCTCCGAACGAGGAATCCATTGGTCGTGCCACACGTTCGGTTCGAGTCCCATTTAGCGACTCTGGAGCTCAAAACGCGTCTAGAGTTTTGGCCGCCTCCACCGGTTCTCTGGCCCACTGATCCAAGGGCAGATGGGCGAGCCATAGGGAAGATGACCGCGTCTGGCGGAGAGCCCTCACCAGTAGAAATTCCAGTCATCCTCCGGCGAGACCTGCAGCCAGCCGCGCTTGTCGAAGTTGCTGACGATGACGGACTTGTCCAGGTCGGTGACGTAGGTGACGCGGGGGCGCTCCGCGGCCGGCCCGGTGGCCGCCGTCGTGTTGGACCTGCTCGAACAGTTGCAACTTGTTGACCTGCAAGACCAGCAAAGTCACGTCGGGTTCTCGTTGGCGCACCACTTGCCTGCCATAGTTCAATCCGTTGTTCAAGTAAGGTTTCCTGCCGTCGTTGCCCGTCGAGGCCATGTCGTTATGGCAACGACAGCGGCCGCGGCGGTCCCGCCCCCTCGCCACCCCCGTCCCTCCCTGTCCCTCCCTGCCGTGCCGCCGCCGCCACCCCACACTGGCAACTGGCACTGGGGAACTCAAGGAACTCCAGGCCGAAGGGGCGGCGGCAAGCCGGTTGCGACAACCCCACTCGACGACTCGACCACCCCCAAACGTGTAAGCCTGCGACGATCTAAACAAAACACCCCGACGGTGATGCTCCAGGACGCAAGAAATGGCCGATTTGAACGTTTGAATGTAATTTGATACCGCGCCAATATTGCCAACTGCATAATCCACAAGTCACCTTTTGAGTCGGGAAGAAACAGCTCTGGCATTTAAACAGTTTCGTCGTAAGGTTTCTTTCACACATTCTGATGTGCATGTTTCGAAATGCATGGTCCAGGCGCATGCGGCTTGCCTTCCGATTGATGCCGTTAAGTCTCACGGCGTTGATCCTAATCCGAAAAAGGGTTTAAACGGCATAAACACATGCAGAAACCAAACAAAGATGGCTGCATCAATGTCACTGATCGCCAGCTCTGTTTTCTCGTACCGTTAAATTGATTTTTCGTTATTCATATGTAAGTCACTCATTTTTGCGGTACTTCGTCCAGATGTTCCTCGTTTTTATAGATGTACCTGTTCTTGTGGTCTGAATGTTTCAAGGGCATGATACGTGAAGTGGAGGTTAGGGCTCTGTACACCAACAATGATTTTCCGTTATCTTTTCTCGAGAGACGGTTACGCTACTGACATTATACCATTGAACTAGTACGAAATACAACGCTTACCCTGTTGTGGTTCCCAACAAATTTAAGTTCGTGTACTTTGATTTATTTGGCTGTTAGAAAGTGTAAACATACCTGGTCCATGTAGCAGGGTCAGATTAAATCTGCCAGCTTTTTATCGTTTTGGTTTGACATGACTCACAGTGGTGCATAAGTGTACCTATGTAGACATGATTTTTAAGAAAAAAATTGAAAATACCCTCATTGTTTGTCACTTAAGTTATGATTTCCACGATGGCCTGGTCTTTCGTCTCCTGACCATTTCTCAGGTTCAGTATCCTTTTTTTTGTCTCATTTTTATTTTGTTTATTTTTCTCAGGTAGCATGGAGGAAAGCCCCTCTGAAATCCAAGTGAAAGAATGCAGTCCATTAAAATTAGAAATACAAGCTGACAGTGGTCACTTGCTTGAAAGTAAAGGCGAAAATTCTGTTCGTCTGTTGGTGCAAGAGGAGGGAAGAGCAGCTCGTAATCTTATAGCCTTCAGTGTACCGTGCGACATGGTCCAAGTAGATTCAAGTAAGTACGACATTGACAAATTATGTGTTCTTTGTCTTTATCCCATATCTATTATTACTGCGAAAGAACTTCTACAATCAATGTGTGAAACTGATTTGAGTTGGTTGGTTTGGATTTGAAATGTTTTTCGAGTCTTTACTTGTCTTTGTGCTTCCCCCTCCTTGACTTGTCTCCCCTTCCAATTGGCTGGTGTCCTCAGCCTTCCGCCCACACACCTGTTTGTGACTACCTTGTGAGCTCTCTAACCTGTTCTTTGATCTTTGTGTTGTGGTCTCGGCATGGGTATTCATGAATGAAATCACCTTATCAATGAAATCACCCTAATAAGTGTTTGTTTTGACTTCATTTTAATATAAAATGCATGCTTCCTGTGTAGGTAAAGTTGCTCGGAAACCACCATCATCCCCGAGGACTGTGCAGGAACCAAAAAAGGAAGATGCACTTCCTCGATTAACAAAGAGGGCCTCTGACACAACAAACCCTGGGTCAAGAGTTCGTTCAGCATCCACTGGTAGAGACAAAAAGTCAGGTAATACATTTTTATGTGGTAAACGTTATAATTGATGATTATTATAAGATAGTTCTAATTTGACTGACATTGCCATGTTTTTATGTACATTTTCAGAACTACAGGCAAGGTATTGGGCCTTTCTCTTTGGGAACTTACAAAGAGCTGTGGATGAAATATATCAGACTTGTGAAACAGATGAAAGTGTCTCAGAATGCAAGGTATGTTACATGCAGTATTCCCTTCTTTTCATTATTATGTGTTTAGAACCTGGAGTGTTTCTTACTTTTTGAATGAACACAGGAAGTAATCTTAGTTCTGGAAAACTTCACCAAAGATTTCCACAATTTAATTGAATGGTTTCGTCTGAAGTGGGAGTATGAAAAGACTCCACCACCTCAAAGACCTAATTCTCTTGCATGGGAAGTCAGAAAGTCTTCACCAGGCAAGGTAAAAACTTAAAAATTTTGCAATGTTTTTATTTTTGAAGTTTTTTGGTTAATATTTGCTTTCCAATATTTTTTTTAAAGTTACCTCCTCATGCTTTGCCGACATTCTGTAGCCCTGTTCGAAGGGTACTCAATTTTGGGGATTCTAACGACAAGGATCGCCCAAGGTCTAGTGCTGAGAAAATAACTGATACCTTGAGAACAGGAAAATGCAGTCCTATCATTCCTGTTGTAGAGGATCAAGAAATAATCACTTTTGATACTGAGCCCAATGACTCTGTGGAAATCAAAGAATCAAATGTTTCAAGCAAAGATGTTGGAAGTGCTTCCTCTAACCAGTGTTTCTCAAATCCTATTGATACCAAAAAAGATGATCTACCAATTAAAACAGTTGAACCAAAGTTGGAATCCAGCCATGATTTGAGAAATGAAATGAAACCGAAGATTGGAAGATCTTCTCCTGACGTCATGGCAGTCAATGAGATTCTAGTCAGCAATGGGGACTGTAAAAGCCCAATGACCAGCGAGCAAGTAGATCTGCATCTGCCTGGTATGACACACCAAGCCTGTCAAACTGATCCAGAGTTAGATGATTTTTCTTCTACCGATCAGTATCCTAACCCGTTAATGGTTGATAAAGGGGTGGGAACTTCGGGGCTCGCAACAGCGAAGACGGGATTGGCAACTCGACCATCGGCCACCACGGCAGGAAGAGTGTCAAGCAATCCCCCCACAACAAATGCAAATCGTACTCCAGCATCCCCATTCACATTTGCTGGTGTTGCCACAAAGTCTGCTTCAACCAACTTAAGGAACTCCATAAGTGCTACAGTGAAAAATACAAATGCAACCTCTAAACCAGTACCAACTTTATCAAATTCCACTGCAAAGATTCCTCAAAATAGCAATGGACCAACAGGGACTGTCTTGAATGCATCCACTTCCAGTGTCAAAATTGTCAATACGGTGCCTGCAGCAGCCAAAGGTCCAGCCCCTACATCGGTTTCCAACACACCTAAACCATCCTTATTTGCAATTGTGACAAAATCATCTCCTGCAAATGCAATCAAGAGAAATGTCAAACCTAATCCTCAAGTGTAAGCATTTTTAATAGCTTTAAAATTTAATGATGACATGCACCTAAATGTTCTTTGTATATTAATTATTTTTTTTTACCCTTGTAATTTGACAGATTACCTACAGAGAATAGAAACCAAGCCTCCAGTCGTTTTTCTGGCCCACCCAAGCTTCAAAGGAGTAGAACTGTGGCGGAAGTCAGTAGATCTAACAGACCTCCCAACAACCGCTCAGGGGGTTCAAGACAGGTTTGTAACTCTTCAAACATATTTCTGATGATCTTAAAAAAGAGGGGTTCTTTATTCTGTCAAATTGTATTGCAGTTCAACAACATGAATGATAAAGGAGTGTATGGCAAAGGAGCATCCTCTGTAGAAATGGGTGCTGGCACATATGAAAAACCCAAGAACATTGATAGCTCTAATCTTCAAGATGGTTGCAAGAAAAATGAATCAGGAGGTAAGAAATGATGAATAATATTTAAGGTCTGTTTCTATATGTGATTTATATCATCAGTCCAATGTATTAAATTTCTTGTTGACAGATGACTCCGGTTGGGAGACAGTGAAAAATCGTTCTCGTTGTAGATTTAGCTACAATCCAAAGACACGGTTCAATAAACCAACCTGCGCAATGTCTCTGCCCGCTTTAATAATTGTTGATGATGATGATGATGATGCTGATACTCCTTCTGCAAAGGGTGCTCTCACCAAACAGAACTCCCAGGGTGATGGACCACATCGTCGGCATTCTGAAAAGCTGGAGCCAACCAGCAAGTCTGCTGATGCTTGTAAAGTAAAGAAGCCTCAAAAACAGAAACCCAGCGGCGATGTTTCCAAACCCACTAGAGTCAAAGTAGAGAAAACGGCCAATAATGTATCCAAGCATTCATTTGGAAAGAAAGCTGCTAAAGATGTCAAGGAAGATAAAATTGGCCCTTCATCAGGGCCTTGTCTTCAAGAAACCAAAACTTCCATCAAAGGCGATGTAAATGAAAATGTAAAAAAGGAGCGGAGTAACGGTCCAGAAATAGAAAAACTATGGAAATCTTGCAATGGCAACAAGCCTGTTGAGCTTGACCTAGATCCACAATTGAGTGGTGACGAGTCGTCTGTTGGGCCCAGGACCAGTTCCACCACAACTCCAACTACCATGACACCAACCACAACTCCTGCCACTCCAACTACTCCAACTAATTTAGCTTCCGACAGCTTGGCCTTCCTCCGAGACAATGAATGTGGAATTGAACGATTGATGTAAGTTTTGGGGTTGATGGTGCATGGCATACGTATTTACAAAGTAGCTTCGCTAAACTGTCAGAGCCCAATTAATTTTTTTCTTTTTCTGTGTTTTAAAAGATCTGATGAAGAGGATCTTATTGCAGAAAGGACACTTCTAAAAGAGGAGGAACGAAAAAGTCAGCAGCTGTATGAAGAAGAAGTGAAACTACAGCAGCAGATTGATGAATTGCAATCTGGTGAACTGGAAGTCGAAGTACGTTTTAAGGGGGAGAATTGAAGTGAAAGTGTACCTGTTCCAAATTTATCTTATTATTCCTCTCAGGTGGAGACCGATGGAGAGACACCAATTGGAACTGAAGAGGAGGAGGAAGAGGAGCTGCTTGGTGAAGATGAGCCCAGGGATGTGGACGTTGAAGTCGACACTGTGTCTCTTGAAGCCCAGTATGAAAACATGCTAGAAGGTAAGACCAAAACTTGCTTGTAAGTGAGTTAACTTTTTTTTTTTGCTCAAATGTATTTGAAACAAAGTTAAGTCACCAGAGGCTTTTTAAAAGTTTATTTAAAAGTATTCATAATAGTTAAATTGTATTATCTATCTTATCTTCATCATAATTCAAAGCTTCTGGCCTGGGTGCATGCAAAATTGTATAGAAATTATTTCAGCCACAGCCAAACTGATGAAATAAGTAACCCCAAGATATAGGTATAAAGTTTTATTGTGCATTTAGAAGAAGCACATGTCTTGCTTATGATGCCACCATACTTGGTTGTGGTTTTAAGCCCCTTGGTAAGGAACTCTAACTTTCCAAGTAACTGGTTGAGGTATTCTTGTCTTCTAGCCAGTTCTGTGCACTGTATATAACACCTAATACTTCTTGTTCTTTTTACATAAAAGTTTTTGTTTTGAATTCTTTTGAAACAATAATTATATTTTTATCTTTAGTAACTATTTCAGTTCTTTGATTTTAATAAATTTGAATAAATCCAAGAGTGTATCTGAACAAAGGATGAAATCAGAGGAGTTGGCTTTTTTTTGTACATTATTTATGTAGCATTTTGGAAGGGTCTTGTGGAAGATGCATTTCTGTGGAATGGCCTGGCCCGGGCTTCTTTGCAAATTTTTTGATATCTTCCCTTTCTACTGGACTGTTAAAGGCCATATCAGTAATTTATTTTTAATGTAAAACAAAAAAAAAACACCCTTGTTTTATGTGTCTTAGTATCTGAAAACAAGCATGATTGTTTTAAAAAAAAATTTGAAGAGAACTGTGTTTATAACCTTGGTTTTATATTTTAATTTTGTGCTAGACAGGATTTGGCAGGAGCGCTTGGAGAGGATTGTAAAGTATGAAGAAATGTCTGCCAGAGGTTCGTGATAGCATTGTCTTGGCCTCACTCACACCTAAGCGCTCGCAAAGGGAGGATCGGTAGACAGCTCGCTCCAGTTTGTGCGCTCACTTTTTGTGCTCATTTTTGGCAAGGACATTGGCATTGTGGTTTGCCTCGCCTCGCCTCGCCTGTGTGTTCTTGTGTCATGGCCATTTTTTTGTTGTCAAAACGTGTTATGGTGATGGCATTCGACGTTGCATTGCTGGGGCTCTTGCTGTATGGTCTTGCCCTTTTGTTCTGGAATTTTCTTTCATGTTCGGTACACAGAATTCAGGTGACTAAAGGAATGGATGGCTGTTTGAAGGAATGAAACTCAGTGTTTATTGTGGCTTGTACTAATGCGTTCTTTGTATGTCATAGTCAAGGTATTTTGCTGTGCAAAGCTTATGGAAAGATTTAACCCGAATGGATCTTAGGCGTCAGAGCTTTGACTTGGTTGGTTCTAAGTCTAAGCTTGCTTATTTCCCAGATGACTAATGAATTCATTTTTGGTGGTATTGCTACCATTTTACATCCACATTAATACAGTAGATGCATTCTCAAGGGAAGCCCTATTTGGGAGTCATTAAAATTTCAATTCTAATTAACTTTCATTCCTAAGGTTTGTAGTCCTAAACAATTTCCTCGTTGATTCACTTTGTGTTTTGTAGTCGAAATGTTAAATTAAGATAATTCAGAAGCAAGTCTTTCATGAGATGCTAACAGGTCATGCTTTTGCAGGGTAAAAACATATGTACTTTCCTTAATTAAAGCACTACCACTTTTCCTGTCATTGTTTGCATGAAATGGTGTCTGAAACATTTAACTTATTTGTGGTGGTAGCACATGGGAAATTTTCAGACTGGTTCATTTGTTAAACCGGTGTCATTTTCATTTTTTTTCAGGTAGTTCTCACAAGTTTGAAAGATGATCAGGATTGGTTATTGATAGTACTCTTTGTTATGTCATTGTCTTCTTTTCCCAAATTGCTGTATTTAGAAATATTTCATTTACATTTACCTCCATTGAATTGAATTCAATAAGTGGTTACAAATATTATGCCCAACATTTCTTTGAACTAACCATGTAATTGTGTTTCTAGGGCTGTCTTGGGCTGAACGCATGGACACTTTGGAGCAATTGGAAGCTTTGGTGGCAAGACACCCTGGACGGGCTCTCCAGTTGCATCAAAAGCTGTCTAGCCCCTCTCGATCACGTTCAACAACCCTGCCTGAAACTTTGCGCCGCTTTCAAGCTAGGCAAGAAAAAGCACAACAAAAAAGGGAAAGGCTTCTTCAGCTGAAAAGTCAAAGGCTTCGAGATTTATTAAACAAAGTAAGAGACGCCTTTATAAAATTTGTAATGCATCTGGTTATTATTTTGTTACCACATGAATTTTGTCCTCAGGTTGGCGAGGTGAAGGCAGCTCAGGCTCAGCTCACCGAAGATCGCCGTCTACGATTGGAGAACAAGCTGAAACGTGCTGAAGAAAACAGAAACCTTCATTTGAGGTCTATTAAGCGTAAAGCCCACGATGAAGAAGAAAAATTGAAAGAAATCGCCTTTATAAATGAGTTGGAGGCTCAAAATAAAAGGCACGACTTCCTAGCCCTTCGTCAGGTTTGTTTCTGCAGCTCTATCTGCTGTTTTACCTATCTTAGCTGTTTCATAACTTTCTCCCTGGCATCTGCTGCAGGAACAAGAAGAGAGACTTCTGGGCATTGCAGAGGAGAGGCAGCGCAAACAGGAAGAGAAGGCTGCCAAAGAGGCTGCTGTTGAAGAAAGAAAGAGAGTCCTGGAAGCTGAACGCATACAAAAGCTGGAGGAGATGCAAGCTCGTCGCAAGCGTAGGGTGGAGCGCATCCATAGGGAGCAGCTAGAGAAGGAAAAAGAGAGGCAGGAAGCTGCTCGAGAAAAAGCTAGGTAAGTTCTTTTTGCCTTTAAAAATCACTTCTTCTCCTCCAGTTTTCTTTTACATTCCAATATCCACACTGTATGCGTCTGTTTCCTTTTCAGAGACAGGGAAGAGCGCCTCTCGGCTCTTCATGCAGCACAACTGGCCAATCAGGAAGAACTCCAGAAGAAAATCCAGCAGAAGCAAGAGGACTCAGCTCGACGTCATGAAGAGAACATTGAACATATTCGACAAAGAGCATTAGAATCAGCTGCTCTTCGGTACGCGGATGATGCTGCTCCTGCGCTGGAACCTTACAGAAGCAAGAAGCTGTGTACTTTGTGCAATGTCCTGGTGTGTGGGATACTAAGTTTGCCTCTGATGGGATGGTTCTTTGAACATCATTTTAATATCTTGATTGTTTTTGCTGCTCAGATTGGCTCTGAGGTGTACCTTTTGAGTCATTTACGAGGTAAAAGTCATCAAGAAGCTCTCCGCAAGTCATCAGCTAGTCGTGCTAATCCTGCGACTGTTAGCCCGAGAGAAGATTTGGACCATATCACAGAAGCTCCTCCAGACTGTGTTGATGAAAAGCAAGAACGTCACAGGGAAAGGCAACGTGCTCTACGCAAGCGTGGCAAGAAGTTACGCCTTCGTATGACAGCAAGGTATTTTTAAAATAATACATACTATCGAAAATAATTCTTATGGAGTTCTACAGTGATTATGTTCTGAAATTAATATTTGCTTTAACAGGGGTCAAGAATTTGAAAATATGTTAGAAAAAGTATCAGGGAAGGTAACATCCCCTAATAGTTCAAGAATTCAAAAGTGCTTACGTGATGTGGAAAAGCTGCATAATAGTCAGGGTCTAGGTCAATGGTCAAATAATGCTGTGACACTTTTGGAAAGAGCCCTTTCTGAAATGAACAGGATCTTGGATAAAATGGTAAGAATCTCATACTTCTCACACTAAATATCACAGTTTATTCACGTTAAATTTCTAACTCTCTTCTTGATTCAGGATAAAACTGATCAAATGGCTTTCCGCTTATTGAATGGTTTCACAATACTCAGTAACATTCTGAGCCTTGGTCTTAACGTCCCAGAAGGCATGCCATCATACCTTCCATCAAAGTAAGCTGCCATTAGCGATGTGGTAGTGATTTTAGAAGTATTCCTGTCACCTCACTTTACTAACATTTTCTGCTTTTCTCTCAGGTGCTTTGTGACAGCCTGCTGTACCCTGAATCTAGCCTGCCAGGATTACCCGCCAAATGCCGAGTTCGTCTTGATGTCGAATCGAATTCTGACGATTCTCGACCTCCTAATGAGCCGACTGACGGTACGGAAACGATACAGCGACACTGTTGCCGTTGCAGTCAGTCACTTTCAGCCTCTCAGTCTTTGAGCATCGCGGCTCACGTGTCGCCTGTCCTGTCCCTGTTCCAGGAGGTGGTGCCCGACGAGGACGATGCGCCGCAAACCAAGAGCTGCACCAAACTGCCGACCGACCCCATCGCAGGTACCACCACGGACCACCCCACACCACGCCAGAAGACCGGTGGAGGTGGCCAAAATTCTAGACGCGTTTTGAGCTCCAGAGTCGCTACACGGGGCTCGAACCGAACGTGTGACCCCACCAATGGATTCCCCGTTCGGAGAGCAACCCATTGGTGGGGGAGCTCAAAACGCGTCTAGAGTTTTGTCCTCCTCCACCGGTCCTCTGGCCCACTGTGCGCCCGTCTCGTCGTCTCGGTGCCCGAAACCGGAACCTAAACTCCAACTCGTCTCTTTCCGTTCCGTTCCAGTGGCGCTGATGCGGCTGTTGACGCAGCTGCTGGACCTGGTGACGGACGGGCCGGTGGCCGCGCGAGTGCGGGACGTGGTGAGGTGAGTGCAGCCTGCGCTGTCTCTCTCGCACCCACATGGCGGCCCGGGCCCATGGGCCGGGCCCCGTCCGAGTGCGAGAGAGACGGCAAGCACCGATCGGAATGAGTCCGCTGCACGGAGAGGAATGCGGAATGCAGCCGGCGTGGAGTGGAAGAGTGGAGGCAGTGCCGCGAGTGCCACGCCGCTGGAGTGGAGTGGAGCGGAGTGGGGAGTGGCAGTGCATTTGTGTCGAGTGTAGTGTCGAGTTTCGAGTGTCGCGGTCGGTTCGATCCTTGAGGCCTTCCCTCTCGGCACGACGGCGCGGCGGTAAAAGGTGGTACATGCCGCCGCCCTGCGTGTCGCTCTGTCTCTATCGCGCCCACACGGGGCGCCCCGAGTGCGAGAGAGACAGAGCGGGCGAAGCAGAGCAGAGCAGCGCGCCAGCCACGGCCCTGCTACCGCCGTGCTACCGCCGAGCCACAAGCCCCGCTGCCTCTCTCTCGCTCTCTCTAGCCCAATTAGATTACAAATTCCCTCAAAGTCCATCTACTGCTGCCATCACGGCAATGCGCCTCTCTCTCTCTCTCACCGCGTTGGGAGGGGGGAGGGGGTGTTCTCTGGTGGGGTTTTATTTTTTCCCTCCCGGCCGCTCTTTGCTTTTGTAATGAAATCATAAGAAAAATGCGTCGTCCCTTTTTTGTATCCATTTGGGCGGGGCGGTGGTGGTGTTGGTGCCGCGTCGGTGTGGCCATGGCCGCGGCCGCGCGGTGCGGGGCGGTGCGGAGCGTCCAGAGGTGCGCCTTCGCGCTTGGCGCTTCGCCGCGCTTCGTCCTCATGGCCGTGCTGGCTGTGCCGGACCATCATTGCCATCATCCAGCGCCGCCATCCGGACCCATCTGGCAGCCCGGCCTTCCCGCCGCTAAAAGCCAGAATGAAAAAACAAAAACAAAAAGGAAACAGCGAAAAAAAGTAAGCTGAAAACCAACAGCAGTGTTCAAAAAATGGTATGGATGTGGAGTCGTGGTCCTGACCGCGTTCCGTTCTGCCTCTGGCTGGCTGTGCCTGTGCCGCCCGACGAGTCCGGGATAGGCAACCCGGTGCGCTGGTGCGCGCAGCGCTTGCTCGCGCGGCCTAAGCGCCGGGCGCTGTCGGCCGAAACTCCAGAGTCGCCAAATGGGACTCGAACAGAACGTGTGACCCCCACCAATGGATTCCTCGTTCGGAGAGCAATCCATTGGTGGGGTCACACGTTCGGTTCGAGCCCCATGTAGTGACTCTAGAGCTCAAAACGCGTCTAGAGTTTTGGCCGCCTCCACCGGTCTTCTGGCCCACTGTGGGATTGGCGGGCCGGTGCTACCCCCAGCCCGGTGCAACCCGTCGGGGAAGTCGTTAGGGGAGCCACGTCGGTTTCGGAACAGGAAGTTTCCTCGCCCGGCCACTATTTGGCTTTATTTTGGGACATTAGCGCCGTACCTGCTCGCGTCACCACCAACCCACCGAGCCGCCCCGCCCCGCCCCGCCCCACCCCGCCCCGCCCCGCGGTGGAGGCCGAGTGGCAGGCGAGGGGCGAGGCCGGGCCGGGGCCTCGACCAACCCTTCTTAAGAGGATATGGTACACCTCCCCAGAAGCGGCATTTCCAGGGCCGCGCAGGGACCTCTTTCTAACGCCGTCCTGGCCACACCGTTCGAGGTATCGATATGAAACTTGACACACGGGCTCAGAAGGGATCAATCTCAATGACGGTGCGTCCAAAAAAATTTTTGAACGCCTAAGTTAGGCCCCAGGGCAGTCCAGTTCTGGTCCAACTTTCGTTCACAACAAGTCCTAAGAAAATTGGAATATCCAAAAAAGGGCCACGGCACGTTGTAGCTGCAACTTTGCTCTATCCAGAGAACTTGTCCCCATCTGCGTGCGGTCAAAAATAGAGATCAAAACCTGGTAGACGGCGGACCTCTGCACGGCGGATTTGAACATCTTGCGAAGTTTTGAAAAGGCACTGTCGCAGACGAGCTCTACTAACCCCGCCTCCCCCCGCCCACCCCTCCGGGCGACCCGCCTGCAGCCCGCTGCTTTGTCTCTGCGCCGGGCCCCCCGCTGGCCCCCTCCTCATTCACGCGCCGGAGCCGAGGGTCGGCAGCGTGACGGCTCGATTTATGGCCTTGTACTCCGAGAGTTAAATTTTTGAACGGATGACTCTAGACTATCAGGACATGAACCATTGCACTCAGCGCGTGTTCCTTGTGCCAGGCGAATCAAATTTTAATTTTCTACGATAATTTTGACCTTTGTCATTGTTTCAACAGGTCCGGGTCAAATGGTCGTAGAAACTGAAATTTTAGTTGCCTGTCACCAGAATAGCACGCCAAACATCTTCGTACAAGTTTCAAAACTAGAAAATGTCCCCTTTTAAAAAGTTTGGCCGTACAGCCTAGAGCCATAAATCGACCTGTCACGGTGCCGAACCTCTCGGGTGAGGGTGGGCAGCCCGACAGTCCCCATTCAGTGAAACAAAGTCGGCGACAACATGTGCGGGGCTTGGAGACGGTACAGCTCGTCGGCACAAATATTGCACCTCCTCTCTCCGACTAGCTCCAAACCCGCCGTGCAGAGGTCCGCCGTCTACCAGGTTTTGATCTCTATTTTTGACCGCACGCAGATGGGGACAAGTTCTCTGGATAGAGCAAAGTTGCAGCTACAACGTGCCGTGGCCCTTTTTTGGATATTCCAATTTTCTTAGGACTTGTTGTGAACGAAAGTTGGACCAGAACTGGACTGCCCTGGGGCCTAACTTAGGCGTTCAAAATTTTTTTTGGACGCACCGTCATTGAGATTGATCCCTTCTGAGCCCGTGTGTCAAGTTTCATATCGATACCTCGAACGGTGTGGCCAGGACGGCGTTAGAAAGAGGTCCCTGCGCGTCCCTGGAAATGCCGCTTCTGGGGAGGTGTACCATATCCTCTTAACAAAGTTTCCGACTCTGCGCTGCTGGCTGGCAAGATCTCCTTAATTCGTCAGAACTTGAAGATTTTCTCAAATTGAGCAAACTTTGGTGTAATTGCGTTAGTCCTGGTTACGGATCCGGCATTGGATTTGGCCTTGGCAGTGCCTGGCCGCCCCGCCCCGCCCCGCCCGAGACTCTTGAGAGGCGCGCCGTGGCGTGGGGCCGCCCCGCCCCGCCCCGCCCTCTGCGCTCCTGCCGCCTTTTTTCCGTAGTAATTTGCGCCCCGCTGGTGAAGTGTGGAGTGCGGGCCAGAAAACCGGCGCAGGCGGTCAAAATCCTGAGCTCCAGTTGCCAAATGGGTTTTGAATCGAACGTGTGACCCCACCAATGGATTGCTCTCCGAACGAGGATTCCATAGGTGGGGTCACACGTTCGGTTCGAGTTCTGGTTAGCGACTCTGGAGCTCAAAACGCGTCCGCCTGCGCCGATCTTCTGGCAAATCCACTGTGCCGTGGGGTCCAACCCAATTTTAAGTCCGGCGGGGCGCTGGCGATGATTGGAGCCGACTGACCCTCTAATGGCGTAGGGTGGGCACGTGGGCCCGGTGGGCTGGGCCGGGGCCCGCCCCACGCCGCGCACTTTGGCGGTTGCAGGTGGTGGCTTCCGATGGCGGGGCTTGGCGGGGCACGGCGGGGCACGCCAGGGGGTGGGCACTATGCCTCTAACCGCACCCCAACTTTTTGACACCTGTTTCGACGTGACCTCCCTCCCCCTCGGGCGCCGCGTGGCCGCTGTCGGCGCTGTCCCTTTTGGGCTGTTTTGGTCCTTTTGACCCTCTTCGGCCCTTGCGGTCTGCGGCCGCCCGACCTCTGCCCCTCCCCGCCGTGGTGGCGGACTGCGGCCTCCAGGACGGTGACGACGTCGACGACGGCGTGCCCCTGGAGCCGGAAATTCCCCATTGTTCACCTCGCTCCCCGGCCCAGGGCCAGGCCCAGCCCGGCCCCACTTTGCGCACTCCTTTCCCGACTGCTGGATTTTTCTTTTCCCCGCCGAACGGGCAGCACCAGGCCGGGCAAGCCCTGCTGGCTGCTGGCCGCGGGGTGCGACTGCGGCACCGCGCCACTGCCGATGCAGTGTATGGGTTTTGACAGGCGTAAGACGTGATTATGCCGGCGCCTCCCCCAGCTTGACCTCCCCGCCTCCCCTCGGTAAACACTCGACGCGCCGCAGCGCTGCAGTGGCGTGGCAGTGCAGCGCCGCTTTTGGCGCGGACTGTACGCCTCGCGGTGCCTCGCGGTGCCGCGTCCGCCTTTGTTTGGAGGCGGGATCCGTGTCGGGCTGCACATCACTCATGTGTCGGTACAGTCGCTGCCAGAAGCGCGGCGGCACGCCCACTCACTCGGTTCCACTCCGCACGCGCACAGCGGATTGGCCAGAAGACCGGCCCGGCGGTCAAAATCCCGGACGCGTTTTGAGCTCCAGAGTCGCTAAATGCGACTCGAACCGAACGTGTGACCCCACCAATGGATTCCTCGTTCGGAGAGCAATCCATTGGTGGGATCACACGTTCGGTTCGAGTCGTGTTTAGTGACTCTGGAGGTCAAAACGCGTCTGGGTTTTGACCGCCTCCACCGGTCTTCTGGCCCACTGAGCCTGGCGTGTTTACAGTGTAGGGGGCGTGCTCCCCCACCCCTCGCTCCCCTCGCCTGGCATCCTCCCCTCGCCTCCGCGGCCTCGCGGGCCCGGTGTTCGGCGGGTATGATTTATTTCAATAAAATATGAAGATGTCTGTCATAAAATGAGCATCGGCGGCATTGTCCAGCCGTAGGGCAGAGGTGGGGAGGGGAGCTGAGGTGCGTACAGTCGACTGTACAGTCGATTGTAGATTCGATTGTACAGTCGCGCGCGAAAGTCCGGCGTTGTCCGACGCGAGTGGCCGCCTAGTGTTTCCGGGCTTTGCTGTTTAGTCTCACTGCGCGAAATCTGGCTGACCGCGCAATAACGATTTGGAGGCAAACTTTTGTGGCTGCGGGGACTAAATTGTTTTTGGAGCCCGCCTCCGCGGCGCGAGCAGCGCGTAGTGTAGTATACCTCGGCAAACATTGTTAGCGAGAATCGGTTTCCAGCCAATATTGGCGATGCGTGGCAATGTTTGCGCGTGTTTGCCACGCCCCGCCCCGCCCCACCCGGCAGCATGAGGCGAGGAGAAGCGGGAGTAGCCCTGAAAAAAAATTGTTGTGCGACCTGCGAAGGCAGAAACGAAATAACTACAACGACCCCGCGTCAAGGAAAGCTTGGCTGTTACGTGATTTTTGCACGGCGCGGTGTCGGCTTGCTTGGTGTCCGGCAGCCACCGGCAGCAGCAGCGCGTAGCAGCGCGCTATCCACTCCAGATGTGCACTTGACATGACTTGTATCTGTCGCTGGCCTCCCCTCTCCCCCTCCTCCGCGCCCCCAGGCCGCGCTGGCCGCGCTTTGCAAACATCCCCCTCGCCGACGAGGACGTCCCCGACCAGGACGTCCCGTCCGTCCCGGCCGCCGGACCCGCCCCGCCCCGCCCCGCCCCGGCTCCTGGGGTGCGCAATGAAATCAGCATCAATGAAATCAATGTGTGATGGCCTCTGATTAAAGTGATTTCAGTGCGGCCGGCCGGCTGCCCGGCTGCCTGGCCGCCCGTCTGGCTGCCTGCGCGACAGTCTGGCAACGCGCAGTGGGCCGGAAGACCGGCGGAGGCGGCCAAAACTCTAGACGCGTTTTGAGCTCCAGAGTCGCTAAACAGGACTCGAACCGAACGTGTGACCCCACCAATGGATTCGTCGTTCGGAGAGCAATCGATTGGTGGGGTCACGCGTTTGGTTCAAGACCCATTTAGCGACTCTGGAGCTCAAAACGCGTCTAGAGTTTTGGCCGCCTCCACCGGTCTTCTGGCCCACTGTGCGTCGGGTGTCCCGGGTTGTGCACCGCGGCACTGCGGGGGCTCAAGCCGCCCTAAATGCACGGGGTGGCTCGATAAACAGCACTCTAAAGCGGAGCACCTGGATTAGGGACGATCCCCCGCCTGCCGCCAGTGTGCCGCCAGCCTGCCGCCTCCAGGGCCGCCGGCCGCCCAGCCATCGCCCCTGTGGGTCTGTGGTCAACGCGATGATCCACGGGGGAGGCCGGCAGGCCGGGGAGGCATGCCGGAGGGGTCCGCATTGCCGGCATGGCCTGGCATTGCCGCTCCCAGGGGGGCGGCGTGGGGGCGGGCTGGGGGCGGCTGCGGCTCGGACGGACATTATCTGCAAACAAGGCGTGCTCATTATATACTCATTATGCCGGGTCGCGATGATGATGGCCGCTGTTGACTCAATCGGCTTTCGGTCACGGCGCGTCGTGGCGAGGAGAAGTGCCCAGTGTACTCACTGTCCACTCGGCCGGGCCGCTGGCAGTTTGATAGTCGCGGCCAGCAGACTGCTTCACAGTGGTCACACAGGTTTACTTGTCGAATGTAAACAAAAAAACACGATTTTCAAAAACAATTCAAAAAATATTTTGAAAAAAAAAATGAAAGTTTTACGAGAGGAAACGTTAAAAGTCGTACTCTTTGTTGACAATTGATGGCTCGCTGTCCCAGTGGACACCTCCCTCATCAGGCGGCTCCTCTCTCTCCCTTCCTCCCTCTCTCTCTCTCCCTCTCCCGGCCGCGGCGCCGTGCCGTGCCGTGCCGTGCCTCTCATTCCAGTTGTTCCTCCTTTGAATCGAATCGGGCGCCGATTGGCTGATGCCGCCTTTGCAGCCTTTGCAGCCTCTGCAGCCGTTTGAAGTGCTTTGAAGTCGCTCTCGCTCGCCGCTCGAAAGGAAGCATATTGGGCGTATTGTCGCGCCTTGTCGCACCGCCTCGCCGAGCGAGATGAACTAGTCCGCGTTGTAATTGCACGGAAGGCCCAAGGGGGAGTGCGTGCCGGCGCACAGTGGGCCAGAGGACCGGTGGAGGCGGACAAAATTCCGTACGCGTTTCGAGCTCCAGAGTCGCTAAATGGGACTCGAGCCGAACGTGTGACCCCACCAATGAACTGCTCTCCGAACGAGGAATCCATTGGTGGGGTCACACGTTCGGTTCGAGTCCTAGCGACGGCTTAGGCTTCTGCGATGCAGGCGATGTTGGTACAGATGGGGGATCAGATGGGATCGACAAGATGAACAGAGCAACGGTGTCTTACGGTCCCCCTCCCCTCCACATTAAGCATTCTCATTGAATTAAAATCCAATCCCTCTCCACAAACAAGACTTTGCTGTGTACACGGTAAGCCTCTATCAACCATCAATCGCTTCTCCACAAACACGGTTTGCTGACGCAGGGCGGTGCCGGGCGGCGCAGGGCGCCCTCCGTAAAGGCGTAGCGGCGGCGGTCAAGGAAATTGAATTTGCCGCCGTGGCTCATCGCGCTGGCCCAGCTGGGCGGACTTCCGGGTCTAGCCGCCACTTCATCGTCCCGACGAGGGTTCGAATACTGGCGCAATGATATTTTTCTTTTTTTTTTCCCCTCCTCCGCGAGGTGTCACCCTTCTCCCTCGCTCTCGATATCCAAATCCAGGCCGCCTCTCCGGACCCCGTCGGACCCCATCGGGCTGCACCAGGCCGTCCAGCCACTCCACAAAGAATACAGAGTAAAAAGCGCAAGTGTGGTGGCGTGCTCGCCGTGCTCGCCGTGCTTCGGGGGGTGCTATTTTCCTTGGCACCTCTCGAAGCGGAGCCGCGGAGCCGCGCAGCGAGAGTGGAGTGGCCGCGTGCGCATGTCGGCAGAAGCTGCCAACGCCACGCCGCCTCGGACGCAGCTACGTTGGCTGCGGGTTCTAATACCGACCTCTTAGGTTTTTTTTCGTTTTGTTGGCGGCCCGTCGGCGGCCCGCTGCAGGGCCGATCACAGTGGTGCACTCGCCGCGGTCGGGGCCGGGAAGGCCGAGATCGCCGGAAAGCCCTTGGAAGGCTCGCCGAAGGCTCGAAGCCAGCTGCAGTGCCGAAGCGCTGTTCAAGGGCTCTCTCCCTTTCTCCACCTCTGTCTGTCCGTCCGTCTGTCCGTTTTGCCGCCGCTTTGGCCGTGCGTCTGCCTCTCTTCAATCTCAATCTCTTTTCAAACAGAGAAAGGCTGCAAGGGGGTGGCTGGCGTGGGCTGGCGACCCACAGCCCTCTCACGGGCCGCGGTGTTTTCATTGAAAACGCGACGCAGTGCGAAGCGCCCCGCCCCGCCCCGCCCGCGCGGCTAGACGTGTCGCACACGCCGAAAAATAACAAGTGGCGTGACGATTTCGCCTCGAAATGGACGCGAGCCGGGCGCGACGGTAATCCGCCCACCCCTTCTCCCACGCGACGACGCCGCCACTGCCCCAGCCCCGGAAACTACGCTTGTTTTTTAAAAAATAAAAAAAATAAAATTTGTGAAATGCCTCTTGGAAATTTTCACCTGTTTTGTTTTTCCGTTGCGAGATGCGTGTTCACACCAGCGAGAGGAATGGATATGGAGCAGTGTTGCAATTGCAAAATTACTTTTGACGGTGTAGCGCGACTGTCACCTTGGCTGTGCACTGCGCGCGCACGCGGCGCACGCACACACACACACACATACACACACACACGCCCGTCCCGTCAGGGGTGCGTGCCACGGACCGTGACGACTGCGAGATTTTTTTTTCCAGCTCCCCTACGCCGCACTGTTCGTCGCGCTGCCGTCTCCACGCGCCGCTGGTCGCGTGCCTTTACTTGCTGTCTGTCTGTCTGTCTGTCTGTCTGTCTGTCTGTCAATCTGTCTCCGTTGCGAGTGTGACCCGTCTCTGCCCGTCCGTCCCATAACGTACCCGATCGTAAATATATATTCGAATTGCGACTAAAATCCCCCAAACACTAGATTTAATGAAGTGACTCTGCGATCGTGCCGCCCCGGCCTTCGCCCCGGCTATGGACCACAACGAGTGCGTCGACGGTGTCACAGTCCAAGACCCCGAAACCTGCCCCGTCCGCCGCGCCGTCCGCGGGACGGGACGCGTCACCCGGAGAGCCACGACACTGGCGGCTGGCGAGCCTCGGCGGCGTAAAAAATGAATCAAGTCGGAATTAAAGAAACAAGTTGAGTGGCGGGGCGCGGCGCGCGCGAATGAATATCTACCGCGAATGGGAGTCCATTGTTCCGTTTCACAATTATATTCCCATTGCGACTGTGTCGACCCGTCCTGTCAGGTCTCCCGCGGGGCGGGGCGGGGCGGGGCGGGGCGGGGCTGACGTCTCCATCGGGGTGTGACTGGGTCGGACAGTCGGGCACGTGTGTTTGGACTCGCAGCGCGACTGCCGCCTGTCACGATGCTGAAAAGCCGGCTCGCGCCTCCGGGACCCGCCGGGACTCGAACCCACACCCCGCTCCTCCCGCGGGCAGTGCAGCGTGCTCGGCCTAAAAAGGTTTCGAACCGAACGTGTGACCCCACCAATGGATTCCTCGTTCGGAGAGCAATCTATTGGTGGGGTCACACGTTCGGTTCGAGTCCCATTTAGCGACCCTGGAGCTCAAAACGCGTCTAGAATTTGACCGCCTCCACCGGTGAACAGTTGGAAGGGGGTCCTGCAGCTCTGGCGGCTTTCTCGGCAAGGGCGCTGCCTTGGCGCTGCCTTGGCGTTCCCTCGGCGCTGACGTACCCCTTGTTCCTGTTGCAGCTCGGCCGTGTGCAGCGGCGCGGTGGACCGCCTGGCGCTGGTGTGCAGCGGCGTCCGCGACCCGCTGCCCGAGGGCGAGCCCTGCGCGGCGTCGTCCAGCTCCGGCGGCGCGTCCAGCTCGTCGTCGGCCATCCTGGCGCCCCTGTGCACGTCGCCGCAGTCGTCCTTCCTACTGGCGGCCCTGTCCCTGCTGTCGGCGCTGACGCGGCGCTGCGGCGGCGTGGGCCGCGCCGACCCCAGCGGCCTGGGCGCCACGCTGCAGAGCACCGAGCTGGTGGGCGCCGTGTCCATGCTGTACGGGCTGCTGCTGCAGCAGGGCGGCGCGCCCCGCGCCCCGGACACGCCGCCGCCGCGCCTCGCGCCGCCCACGTCCTGCATCGCCAGCGCCACCATCGCCCTCCTGGTGCAGGTCGCCGAGCTGGACCTGGACATGCTGCAGGTGAGCACCGAGGCGGCCCAAGACGCGTTTTGAGCTCCAGAGTCGCTGAACAGGACTCGAACCGAGCGTGCGACCCCACCAATGGATTCCTCGTTCGGAGAGCAATCCATTGGTGGGGTCACACGTTCGGTTCGAGTCCCATTTAGCGCGTTTGGGGTTTTGACCGCACCGGCTTGCCCCACTCGTTGAACTTGTCGGCGTAGTGATTGTCCGCGTGATTGGCCCCAATAAGTACAGCAAACTCGGTGCGTGCTGCCGGGGCTGCCGGGCTGCCAGTGTGCTGCCCCTCGCCCCCCTCCGCCTGGCGGTTTGCTTGCCTGGTTGCGGCGTTGCGGCGCCGCCCCGCACCGCCACTCCCCCCTCTGATCTGCCTGCTCTGCCTGCCGACTTTAATCCTATTTGGACAGTGCTAATTGAATGGGCGCCATATTAGCTTTGAGGAAGAAGGGTGCCCGACGCTCGCGCATCTTGGCGGTCTGGCCGAGCCGAGCCGACTCGGAACGAATCTCGGAACGAACCTCCGCAACGAACCGAGCGAGCGAGCGGACCGGAGAGGGCTTTCAGCTTTTTTCCTCCGCCTCGGTTTTGACTCGAGTCGATGTTTGAACCGGGGTCGCCGGCTTTCTGAGGAATGCCTTTCCTGAAGCTTCGCTGACTTTCAGAAAATGTCAATTTTATGTCTGGCTGGCGAGCGTTAGGACCCTTATTGAGTAACTTGGTTTTATAATGGGATTCGCCAACTTTTTTTGTCGCATTCGCGGCACGTGAAATGATCGACCGTCTCGGACTCCTGCATTGTTTGTTTTGCTTGTTCGCAGAGCATCCTGGGCGCCGAGGGCATCTCGCTGCAGCTGCGGCACATCTCGGCGCACCTGCTGTGGGTGTGCGGCAGCCAGGACGCCGTGGACGCGGGGCACCCCAAGCTGCGCGACGTGCTGCACCGCGTCATCCGCGTGCTGGGCTACTTCGTGGCGCGCAACCACGACAACCAGGTGCGCACTTCGTTGCTTTGGGCTGGATCCGGAGCGCGCACAGTGGGCCAGAAGACCGGTGGAGGCGGCCAAAATCCCGGACGCGTTTTGAGCTCCAGAGTCGCTGAACAGGACTCGAACCGAACGTGTGACCCCACCAATGGACTCCTCGTTTGGAGAGCAATCCATTGGTGGGGTCACACGTTAGGTTCGAGTCCCATTTAACGACTCAAGAGCTCAAAACGCGTCCGGAGTTTTGGCCACCTCCGCCGGTCTTCTGGCCCACTGTGCGCGGCCTTTTCAGGAGCTCGGCCCCCACGCCGTCAAGGTGACATCGCAGACGGATGGATGAGCCGGCGCGCCTGGCGTCCGGGGGGGAACCTCGCCCCTCGCCGCACTGAGCCGAATCCAGAGAATTCCACATTTCCAAATCGCACCTCGAGACCGGCAAGAGCCGTGGCAGCCTCCAGAATCTGGAACAAGGCAAAACATCTCGCCACCAGGGGGTGGTGCGGTGCGGTCCTCCAGGCCTGCGTGCCAAGGCGGCGTAACAGTGTGGGCGGCCGGGATTTGGCAGTGTCGAGGGGGTACTTGGCGGGGCCGCGGCCGGCCGGCCTTGGGGCCGCGCTGTTGACTCGCAGGTGGCAACGCGGACCCCAGGGACGCGGCGTGGACGCGGGGACGGCCTTGCACTGCCAGTGTAGGGCGCTGCTCAGTGGAGGCGGCCTAAGCTCTAGACGCGTTTTGAGCTCCAGAGTCGCTAAGCAGGACTCGAAGCGCCCTGACTGCGCTGCTCTGTCCCGCAGGTGGTGCTGCAGTCCGGCGTGCAGCCCACAGTGCTGCAGCAGCTCTGCCAGCTGCCGTTCCAGTACTTCTCCGAGCCGCGCCTCAGCGTCGTCCTGTTCCCGACCCTGATCGCGTGCTGCAGCGACAACCCGGAGAACAAGGCCATCCTGGAGCAGGAGCTGTCCTACGACGTAAGGAGCCCTAATGTGCGCTTCCTCCCCCCACTTGCCGGTTCGCTCTCTGACTGTGTCTGGTGTTGCAGCTGCTGGAGGCCTTCCAGGGCACGCCGCTGGCCGAGGCCGACAAGCTGATGGCGGTGATGCGGTCCAGCAAAGGGGCCACGTCGAGCAGGGCCTCGTCGGTGTGCTCCACGACGGCCAAGACGGCCAAGGCAGGCGCCGCCGGCCTGACCACCAACTCGGAGGAGGACGACGAGAAGAAGGAAGCGCTCCAGGACGCCGCCAAGTGCGAGAAGGACAGTAAGTCCCCCGAGGCTGGCCGCGCCGACGCCGTAGAAGCCCCAGCCAGACGCCCTGCGGCTAAGCGACACAAGGGCGCCGCGAAAGCCGCCGCCAAGGCCATGCAGTCCGCGGCCAAGGCCGAGGAGGCCGCCAAGTCCGTGGCCAAGGCCGAGGAGGCCGCCAAGTCCGCGGCCAAGGCCGAGGAGGCCGCCAAGTCCGCGGCCAATGCTGAGGAGGCCGCCAATTCCGCGACCAAGACCGAGGAGGCCGTCAAGTCCGCGGCCAAGGCCTAGTATGTGATCCAGTCAGTGATTATTTCTAGGGATGGAAGTATTTATTTTTATGTTTAGTTATGTGACCTGATGTACTTTATGTTTGCCCTCTTTTTCCCTTTGTTCTATTTATGTTAAAGTGATAGTCTTTTTTGTTTGGGAGTCAAGTGCTTAGTTGAGCAGGAGTTCTGGTCGAATCAGTTGTTTTACTTTCCTCCTGCTTGAAAAGATGTCAACTAAGCATATTTAACACTGAATTTCACCAATTATCTTGAATCAACTTTATCTTGAATTAATCCATCCTGCATTGTGAAGGAGAGATTTTTTTTGATAAGTCTCATTCACTTTACATAAATTTATAAGTTACCATGAGCTATAAGACTTCTTATGAAATTGTTAGGCTTATTGCCACTGGAGGAGGTCAAAATTGATTTACAACCTTTTGAAGTCTGAGGATAGCATTAAGACAATATGTATACACTTTTGAAAAACCTAATTTTTAAAAAAATCATGCCATTGCATTTTGAGGCATGACATATCATGTTATTTAAACTTATGCGACTGTTGTTTTGGGAATGTGATAACCATTGTTTTAGCTCAAAGAGTGTCTTTCTTGAAAGTTTTGTGCAACATGTTGGCCGTCCAATCTTAACAACACTTTTTCTTTAGGGCCTATAATTTTGGCTGGTTCACTTTCTCTTATAACTTTCATACAACAATTTGTGGCTAAGTGGTCCATTTTATTAATGTATATTTACTTGAGTAACATGAGTTTTTTTCGAACTTCGTCTTAATATTATCCTGAGCTCTTTTCCATAGAGTTTATATTTGAGTGATATTCTGCCCAATTTTTTGGAGCGAGGTACATCAACAGTATGGTAAAAGTATTGTTATAGCTAATGCACCTTAATAATGTTTAAACCGACTTACCAAAGAATTTGCTCTAACCTCCATGTTATTGCTGTGCCTTCTCCGTGTTTTTTCTCTAGTTCCAGTTGCCTTTTTGTTTGTTTGTTACAAAATGATCTTGTAATGGGTGATGATAGGGTTTTTTCTTCAATTGTCTTTTCAAGTATGAATTATTCTAAGTATGAAATTTACTGGAAATCTTATGCAGGCCAATTTACTTACACTTTTTCTTAGTTTTGTACTAATTGCACTACATATTTATTAACTGGAAATAGTAGCGCCAGCGGCTGCCTACAGTTGTGATCAAAGGATGTTATTCATCCTGATATTTCAATGTTACCTTCCTACAGATGTTCACATCAGATTTCTGTACTCTAATTACTATTATTGTGATCAACAAGTGAATAATATAGGAATATCTGAGCTGTGATGAGATAGATTAATTTCATTGTAATATTAATACAGTAATAATAAAAACTATTGAAATAATTACAGAAACTCTTTCTCTCTGTGAAAGACAGAGATGTAGTCGTCTTTGAAAGGGGGGAGTGGTATTAGCCCAGCAACCCCTTCTACCACACACTCGCTGAGGGAAGACCAAGACCAGGGATAAGGACCTGAGGAGAGAAAAAAAAATTGTAACAGTAGATCTTGTACATTGGCTCACTACCTTAAAAATCGGGGAAATTCCTAGTTTTTTGGACGGTGATCGGTAAAATACTTGTAAATTGCAGAGTACCCTTCCCTTCCCTTCCCTTCCAGGGCACCGCAGTGCTGCCACCCTCAAGGCCAGCCCGCGTCACTGTGGATGCCGAATGCTGAATGCTGCGTGCTGTATCCATTATGTGTATTGGGACTGCTCGCCCTTCAGCCTCCAGCCTCGCTGTCTCCGTCTCCCGGCTCCCCCTTCTCTTTCTGTCACCGCCTTCTCCCTCCCTCCTTTCCTCCTTTCACCGGTCCCAGGTTGTCTCCCCTGCGATGACCGGACCTGTGCCGAGTGACGTCAGAAGGCACCTAACCTTGACGAACCGTGTGCTTTGCGGGTCTCCTTCCTGTTCCCACTTTTCCTCTATTCGGCGATTGCCTCGTGTTGGTCTGCGTCGGATTAGCAAGATTTTACGCGCGCCGACCGAAGTGCAACGCAGCGCGACGCATTACCATAGCCACAGTGTTTTCTTAGGATCCGTCCAGCGAGCGGGACTGCGGGACGAGCCGGCGGCAGTACTTGCAGTACTTAGAGGTGCGTAGCGCCTCTTTATTTTCTTTCTCCTGGGTCGGGTTGATGGTGTTGAAACAAGAAACAGCGCGAGCTGGTCGGCCTGCGTTGTGGTGTGCGGGAAGCTCTCGTTTTATTGGCTCACTTCGTGAATGCTGATGATGCTGATTTTGTCCCAACCTCCAAAACCACTCGCCAGAGTCGGAACCGGTGAGTGAAGGTGGGGTGGTCAGGGTGGTCAAGGGGTTAAAAAAGGGGGGAGGGGGGGGAGACATGCGGGTGCGTTCTCGTCACCTCACTTTTATCGCCTGTTTGTTGGAAATACTGAAATGCCAATGCAAGTCATCGAAACCGCTTGAAGGAATGCCGTCTGGCCGTCTGCTTGTCTGTATGTCGCCTTCCGAATAATAGAGCCGTAGGGAGCGACAAGGAGCAAGCGCGCTCTGTTTTCGCTCGGCAACGCGGCGCGACGCGGCAACCCCCTGCCGTGTGTTTGCGGAAGACTTAGCATCACAAGCAGACGCGGGCGGGAGGGTGGGGCGAGGAAGTAATCACAACACTTTCTAAATATTCGGGATTGAGGAGTCGCGCGGCGTCTTGCAGCTCGGGATTGGATGGCAGAGGGGCCTAACCTAGCCTCGGCCTGCCGCAAGGCGCGGATTGGGGGAGGGGGGGGGGAGTCGCCCCCCTGGAACCGTCCCTGGATCCGCCCCTGCCTGGTGCACGAGGTGCGCGCAGCTGCGGATGCCCGTGCCAGTCTAGTCCCCCCCCCCTCCTCTTGTCGCCTTCCAGACGCTGCTGACGCTGCTGGCCCGCCTGGTGCTGCTCAGGTGCTGACCTTGCGCGGTGCATGGGCTGGATGGACGGACGGACGCACCTACGGCGGGAGCCGGGCCCTCGGTCGTCGTTCGGTGCAGGGTGCCCACTAGGTGCCCCCGGCTGTCTCGGCCCAGAAGAGGCGTGTCGCGAAGGGATCCCGAAGGCAACGGCCGGCTTACCTGTCGGGCCGTGTGTCTCCCTACCTGACGCCTTTCCCTGATTCCAGGCACTCCGTGTCGTCGGACAGTGGAGAGCGAGCATCCGAGGAGGCAGCACCTATGTAACACCTGCACCCGGCGCCCAGCCTACTCGCTTCGTAAGTACCTCGCGGTGTTCAAGCGTTCGATTCGAGTCCTGATTTAGCGTCACTCACTCACTCGCCAGAGTTTGACCGCCTCCACCGGTCTTCTGGCCCACTGTGCATAGTGCGTTGAGGTTCCCCCCGCTTTAGCTGTTTTAGCGCTTCCGTGCGACGCCGCGACGCCCAAAGACTCATTTCCGGCGAGGCGCACGCAGCGGACGCAGCGCACGCGTGCGGCACGTGTCGGCGCGCCGTGCGGCTGCCGTGCCTCGCACAGTGTGCCTCGCCGTGCGCCGTGCGGTGACGGCGCAGTTTGTCGCGGAGGCAATAAAAAAGCGAAAGCCCTGGCTGGACATTATCAATCAAATCGGGTGCGCGTCGCTTGCGGTGCGCGCGCGTCAAACCGTGCCTCCTCGTCACAAAATTTGCCTTTGCGGATTGTTTTCGATAACCGAATCCTCCCCTCTGTGCAGAAAGACGCGCGAAAAAATAATTCGAAGACGGGGGATTTGAACCCGTGCCTGGGTCATCGCGGCCGAGGCGCGGCCCTCTGACCGGAGGTAATTTCACTTGCCCGTGTTGACTGTTGGCGGGGTGGGCGGGGCTCTGGCGGGGTGCTGCAAGGGTCTCTCCTCGGCCGCACAACGCACACACTCATCTCGGTCCAAATCTGTACTTGCCGAGCCGAGTCCATCGCCACGCTCGGATGCCGAGCCGAGCCGAGCCGAGTCGAGCCGAGTCGAGCCGAGCCGAGCCGAGTCGAGCCGAGTCGAGCCGAGCCGAGCCGAGCCGTGCCGAGTCGAGCCGAGCCGAGCCGAGCCGGCCGAACTGCTGCTAAGGGATGCAGGGGGACGCCTTCGCCTTCACGCTCCGCCGAGTCTTAAGAGGGGTTGTGGAAAGGGGGAGGGGGGGGGGAGGCGGTGCACCAAGGGGAGGACCCGGCAATGGGGGCGCGTCCGCGGCAGCGCGCTGTTCGGACGCCGTCCCCATTCGCACCCTCTCTCTCTCTCTCTCTCTCTCTCTCTCTCTCTCTCTCTCTCTCTCTCTCTCTCTCTCTCTCTCTCTCTCTCTCTCTCTCTCGCGAGTCGCGACTGGTTTGGCATATGCGTCGGGCGCTCGCCGTGTGCCGGTCAGACAGCAGCTAGACTCCACCGCGCTCTCGGGGGACTCGGTGCAGAGCAGGTCCGAGAGCGTCTGAGTGGTTCAAAAACTGCTCTCCGTCCATGTTTGTGAAAAAATTTAATATTTCTTTCTTTGTCTGGTGCTGTTAGCTGTTGTCTAAATTTTGCACCCCGCGTTGCATTTTTTTTCTGTGGAAGGGGTTTTTTGTTTGGCGTGGTTTGGCTCGGCCGTCGGGCCGTGAGGGTGCGCGGACCGCGCGGGCACACCTGATGACCTGTATTACACGCCCCCCCCCCCCCCCGGCTCGGAACGCTCCCCCGGGAAATCGGGCAGAGTACCCCCCGCCCCCCTCGGGCGGCCCCGATAGCGACCTGTCCGCGCCCACGCGCAGTGCCGCGTGGCCCCCGCCGCCCCGGCGCGGTCGGCCCTCGCACGCTTGACCACCCGCCCAAGAAAGCGGCAGAGACGTTTTCGTCGCTCTGTCTCTCTCGCACCCTTCGGGGCGCCCCATGAGTGCGAGAGAGACTGGTGCACAGTGGGACGGAAGACCGGAGGGGCGGCCAAAATTCGAAACGCGTTTTGAGCTCCAGAGTCGCTAAATGGGACACCAACTGACCGTGTGACCCCACCGATGGATTCCTCGTTCGGAGAGCAATCCATCGGTGGGGTCACACGTTCTGTTCGAGCCCTATTTAGCGACTCTGGAGCTCAAAACGCGCCTAGGGTTTTTGCCGCCTCCACCGGCCTTCTGGCCCACTGGCGCTTATCGCGTCATGATCCGAGCCCCATTGACTGGAATGCAAAGCTCGCTAACGTCGTTTGGCTCGCTTAGCCACCAAGCATCGCAGCAGCGCAGCGGGTGGCGCAGTGGCCTTTAACAGCCTTTTAATTGAGTCATCTGCTCCTTAGCATGCACACATGGTGGGGGTCGCGAGGGTGCTGCGAGTCACTGTCGGACCGGACCGGCCGGGGCGGGACGGTGGTTTATGAGGCAGCCAGGGGCGTGCCAGGCAATGTTTACTGTAACAACCAGTGGAAAATTTTTAAAATTTCGAAGTAAATGCCTCGATTTTTGCATGGCCTTGACGCTCACCGTTTAGCAGGCAGATGTACTCCGTGAAAAAGTAATGTCAAATCGACTCAGTTTTTCTTTCCGTTTTTTTTTTTCAAATTTCTACTCCGAGTAGTAGGGCACGAATATAGTGAAACGCCGCCTGTCACGAGGAGGAGGGTCTTGACGACTGCAGAGGGTCAGCGGGGCCGGCCCAGGGCCGCGACGCGACGCCTCCTCCGAGATGCGGATTACGCCACCGTAACAACAGCAGACAGCGCCTCGCGCCTCGCCGCCTAATCCGCGACACTGAATCTCGGCACGCCTCGCGCAAAGCACCGTGCCACACACACACACAGACACACACACACACACACACACACACACACACACACACACACACACACACACACACACCTACAGTGCGACAACCGCGCGGCGTGTGTGCGTGAGGATGAAGCACACTGTACGTACACACTCTTCCGGGGCCAGCAAAAACGGGCCGGCACGCCATTGACGGACGGGCCCTCAAATAAATCTGGACAATAGGCGGGACGGACGGTGCAACAGGGAGGGGTGGTATAGCAAGGTCGAATTAATGACCTCGGCGAATCCCCCCTTCCCCTTCCCGCGCTGGAAGTGGCGACACGCTCAAATTCTTGGGCGCACCGACTCCATCGATAACGCAGTTAATCCCGTGTTGAATTTGCGGGGCTCGATGTCTCGCAAGCCGCGCCAGCCCGCCTCTCCTCCGGATGTGTGGCGGTGCCGGAAGATGGGGTGGCGACGAGCCCGGCCGGTCTATTTTAGAGTCTTCTCTCGCCGAACAAATAATGCAACGAGGTGTCTATATTCTGGTACACTACACACTGGGCACTAGGTCAAATTTCTTCGTATAACAAAGTATAAATTAGTTTGTATTATATATTTACTTCGTAAGGTTTTTAGCGTGTGGGCCGTCTTGACCCACTTGCGAGGCAGGCAGGCGAGCTCCGGACGCTACTGTCCCTCTCGCGCACCGCTGCGGGGCGTCGGGCCGGACAGGACAGCGGGCGGGAGCGACGGCGAAAGCCGTGGGCGGCCCCGCTGGCGGCCCCGCTGGCGGCCCCGCGGGCGAATCGAGCGCCAGATTGGCATCTCATCAGGAATCTGTTACGCAAGGCTGCGATGTGAGCAGCAGCAGTAGCGCGCCCACCCCAGCGAGGGGGAGCGAGTGGGTCGCCTGGAGGTTGCTAGCGTGACAGGGGTGGTGTGGCGTGCGATCATGAATATCATTTAAAACGTCTCTATCGAGGTACAGTCCGTGCCGAGCTCCCGACCCGAGAGGCCACCAGCTTTCCGACTTGCCTGTCTTGCGCTCGGCGGCACCTTCTTGCAAGGGAGTGTACTGGAGGCTTGGGGGCGCGCTGTGCTGCATGCAGAACGGGTTGTGTGACAGACTGCAGCCACTGCACCGGCGGGCCGTGCCATGTGCCGCGATGGGCAGGGCCTGGACCAGAACCTGTAGATTGAGGCACTGGAAGAAAGGCTGTGGGGCCTGCAAATTGTTGCCCGAAGGCCGATTCGAGATGACGGTGATGTCTGCTGGAATAAAAATGATGCGCTCTGCAGTCACCTTGTGACCCCTCCCCTCCCTCCGAATGCTGATTGCGGACTATAATAGGACAAGTGCGCAATTTGTCTTCTCTCGCACCTCTTTGCACAATTTCCGTACAGCTGGCTGGACATTCATCTGTCACCGCGATGCGCGTTTTTTCTCCTTTTCTGTAGGGGGCCTTCGTTTCATTTTCTGTCTCTTTCGTTTGTTTTTTTGCTCGGTGCGCGACTGCGCCTCGCGTCCCAATCTGGACGAATTCCGCACCCCTTTGCCAGTCCATTTGCGGCCTTGTGCCAACATGCGAGCAATCCCTTCCGCTTGGCGGGGCCCAAGGAGGAGGAAGCATATTGTTGGGCGAGAGGGTTAAAAAAGGGTTCCCTGTTCAGAGAATCGAAGAAACGGTCGGGCGCTCAGTGATTGTCGCGGATGACTTAGAGAGTTTTAGAGTTTAAGATTTCTAGAGTTATAGAGTTAAACTTAAAAAGACGATTCATTATAGTAAATTTTTGATTACAAAAACATGTTTGAACTTGTAAACATTCCCTTGTTTCAGGTGCACGGCGATCACGCGTCGCATGATGTCTACCGCGTCGCGTGTGACTGCGGAGGACGGGTGCGAGTGCCCAGTGTGTGGGAAGAGATTGCAAAGAGGTTCTTCCCTTAAGTTGCACCTCCAAACTCACTCAGGGGAGAGGCCTTTCGAGTGCTCCGTATGCAAGAAAAAGTTTACTCAAGCTATTCACCTCAAGCTTCACTTCAGGATTCATACAGGAGAAAAACCATTTACGTGCTCAATTTGCGGCAAGGGTTTTAAGATTAGTGGACAACTTAAGTTACACACCAGAACGCATTCAGAGGACAGGCCATTTGAGTGCACAATTTGCGAGAGGACGTATCGCTTTAAAAGCAACTTGAAATCTCACCTCCGTGCTGCACATTCAGAAGATCCATTTCAGTGCTCTCTTTGTTTAAAAAACTTTTCTTCAGGTGGCAACCTTCGGACGCACCTTCGCACCCACACAGGGGAGAAGCCATTTAAATGCTTAGTATGTAGTAAAGGTTTTCGCAATGCTGCGAAGCTTCAGATCCACCTCCGAGTCCACTCGGGTGAGAAACCAGCTGAGTGCTCTGTCTGCAAAAAGAGGTTCAGTAGCACCGATTACCTCAAGCTGCACAACCGTATCCACACTGGAGAAATGCCCTACACGTGTCCGGTTTGTGGGAGGAAGTTTGCTGTGCTGTCTTCCTTGAAGAGTCACCTCGTTACGCACACAGGAGAGAAGCCTTATGAGTGCAAAGTCTGCAACAAGACATTTGGAAGCAGTAATTGCCTGAGTACTCATAAACGCACTCATACAGGAGAGAAACCCTATGCGTGCCCGATTTGTGAGAAGAGGTTTAGTATATCTGGCAACTTAACGGTACACATCCGCACCCATACGGGCGTGAAGCCTTTCCAGTGCTCTGTCTGCAAGATGGAGTTTGTTGGAGCTGGCGGTCTGAGTTCGCACCTCCGCACGCACTCGAAAGAGAAGCCCTTTGAGTGCTCAGTTTGCAACAAGAAGCATTCCAGCGCTGTTTTGCTCAAGCAACACCTTCTGCGACACAAGGGGGCCGAGCCACTAGAGTGTGCCTTGTGTAACTTGACGTTTATTCATGGTCATTCGCTGGAAGTGCACCTTCGTCGGGTGCACAAGGGGGAGAAACTGTACGAGTGTTCTGTTTGTCAGAAGGACTTCTGTAGCGGCAGCGCTCTAACTATGCACCTCCTCACCCATACGGAGGAGAAGCCATTTGAGTGCTCAGTCTGCAACAAGAAGTGCGTTCAAGCTGGTGCACTGAGAACGCACATGCGTGTGCATACACGTGAGAGGGAGACATTGGAGTGCTCAGTCTGCAACAAGAAGTACGTTCAAGCTGGTGCACTGAGATCGCACATGCGTGTTCATTCACGGGAGACATTTGAGTGCCCTGTCTGTGCAAAGAAATTCAGTTCAAGCTGTGAACGTCAGAAGCACATCCGATGCCACCAGAAGCAATACAAGTGCTCCGTTTGTAAGAAGTCGTATAAACTCAGAGGTTTCTTAGAGAATCACCTCCGTCGTCATCTGGATGACGAGGCGGACTCAAATAATGAGTAGAGATGTTCTTCGTGTACAACGCCCTTGCTTCGTCTCACCGTCGGCTTCTAACGCTCAGTCCCTCTGCGTATAATATCAAGATTTGGTTTACTTTTGTAATGTGCCAGGACGCTGTGAAATAAAGCTGCAGCAAGTTATAGTTATTTGGCGCCACTGTTTTTGTATTTTTTGCAAGCCCTTCCACAGCGAGGCTGCCATGGCCGAGCCGCAACAGCTCCCCTGGCTCGACAGGGTGCGTCCATGGGTGCGGTGCGGTGCGGTGCCGGCTATGATGATGTTCATCTGCACGGATGGGATTACACTACAAACCAAAATGATGCTTGAAGCGCGGCGCGGCAGGAGGGGACAGGGATGGGACCTCCACCACCACTCGCTGCTGTACAGAGACCGCGTACCTGTTCAACAACGACGCCCGAAAGTGGAGGCAGAAGACTGTTGTCGCGGCTCCCTTCTTTGAGGGGAAGGGTGGCGCGCGCAGGGGGAGCGCGGCGCGTAATTTTATTTATTTGACTTATGCTAGATATTTTGGCTGGCTATCCGGAGGCCGGAGGGGCGGCTTCGGCCATTACCGGAGTGGGGGCCTGCAGGCCCGGAGGCAAAGGGTGGGGCGATGCCGTGCCGGCGATGACACACCAATCATGCGGCCTGGCCATGCAGCGGTCAAAATCCCGGACGCGTTTTGAGCTCCAGAGTCGCTAAACGGTACTCGAACCGAACGTGTGACCCCATCAATGGATTCCTCTCTTAACGAGGAATCCATTGGTGGGGTCACACGTTCGGTTCGAGTACTGTTTAGCGACTCTCCAACTGACAACGCTTCTAAAATTTTGGCCTTCTGCGCCGGTCTCCTGGCCCACTGTGCTATGGCCGGGAAACCAAAAACACTTTCTCGTTTTACTGCAAGCCGGATCTCCCAGCAAGGCGACAGATTATTGATTCCGCTGCGTTTCGAGGCACGCGTCCGTGGCGTGTCCGTGGCGCGGCCCATTACGTGACGTCACGCATGTGGCCATCGCGTGACTCGCGGTGCGTGGCGTCTGACGCGCTGATCACCGCCGGGGTTCCTGTTTGACTTGACCATCCGTCTCCCGCCATAAATACACCGATTACACGCCAAAAAAAAGGAAGATATTTCTCTCCTCTCGCCCGGCCGCCCCTCGAGGTAAGTCTGGCTGCGTCCCCCACGCGTCATTAGGCCTGCCATTTATTGTTTGGGCTCCCCCGGGGATACTGAATTATCAACTAACCAGCCTTCCCCGCCCCGAACCTCGAACCTCGAACCCCCGGCCGACGGGTTCCGGGCGAGTACCTCACCGCGGATGGCTTGGAGGCTCCGCCGCGCTTCGCCGCGAAGGCGAGCTAACCTAATAGGACCTTGACAATGCGCCTCGTGTGATTAGCAGCTGGTTATGTAGCGTCGATGTTATCTCCGCGGCAGATGGTGTCGCGCCACCCCTCCTTCGCCTCTCCCTCTCTCTCTCTCTCTCTCTCTCTCTCTCTCTCTCTCTCTCTCTCTCTCTCTCTCTCTCTCTCCTTTCACCTCCCTCCCCGAATCCTCGGCTCCCGCCCTTTAATCAGGGATCAGCTGGCAACGAGAGTAGATCGTGTCACTGATGCTTGTCGCGCTATTGGGGGCGTGGCGGGGCGTGGCGGGGCGCGCCCCCAGGTGCCATCTGGCCCTGTGTGGGTTTTTACTGCGAATAGCGTTGCTTTGGCCAGTGCAAGTTATTCGCAGACCGCGAGCTGAGCAGTAGCGTGTGCATGCATATGGAGAGGGAGGGAGATGCAAAGAGATTGGCTGGATGCAACATGTCTGGCCGTGTTATCGCTAGGCCGATCGGCAACAGTTGTTGTCCGCTGGGTGTGGTCCCTTTCGGACAGTTCGGCTGCCTTCGGCTCCACTCGGTGGACACGCAGAGAAGACCGGTGGGGGCGGTCGGAATTCCGGACGCGTTTTGAGCTCCAGAGTCGCGAAAGGGGATTCGAACCGGACGTGTGACCCCACCTATGGATTGCTCTCCGAACGAGGAATCCATTGGTCCTTCCTACAGTGCGCCATACAACCTTGGGCTGCCCGGAAACATCGATGCCTGGGAGATACTGATCGAAAAACAATTATTTCTCCTTACGATCTTACAGAGCGCTCAGAAAGGACTAGTGCTTTTGTACGACGCGTTTTGATTGAGTTTGGCCGGCAGAGGCGTTGCCGACGGACCTTTTTCATTTTCGGACACAAAGCGAAAGCGAGGCGAGGCTGGGTGGAGGGAGGTGGGGGAGGGGTGAGTGGCTTCACTTGGAGCTGCTGCCTAACAGATGGCTCCTGTGACACAGGCACCGTGACGCACCCTCCCTCCTCTCCCTCCCCCTCTCTCCCCCACCGCACGATAAGCTTTGATTCGCAAATATACTCCTAGCTGGGACGAGAGGTACTTAACTATCAGTGTCACCGAGCTGGCCTCTCTGACAGTGGGCCAGAGGACCGGTGGAGGCGGCCAAAACTCTAGACGCGTTTTGAGCTCCAGAGTCGCTAAACAGGCCTCGAACCGAACGTGTGACCCCACCAACGGATTCCTCGTTCGGAGAGCAGTCCATTGGTGGGGTCACACGTTCGGTTCGAGCGCTGTTTAGCGACTTGGATTGCAAGTACACGTCGTGCTACGCGTTACGTAACGACGGCGCACTTGTTGCCGAGAAGGGCGGCGTTGCGTTGCGTTTCATCTCACTAAAAGCGTCGGCCTGAAAGAGGCGAACATGGCATGGCGGGCCCGATCGGAAAGGGGTGGGGGCGCACGTAGCCCCGCGTAGCGCCGCGTAGCGTAGCGCCGCCTAGCGCACTGTACTGTACGCGGTGTACAGTGTGTAGTGCGAATGGGGAACGGGAGGGTTGCGCCGCCGCGCCGCCACCGTGCAGTGTGCTGGCACGGCGGTCACGCCGCTGTTTAGCGAATGAATACATATGAGGCGGGCTCGCCTGGTTTGTCAGCTCTTTCATTTCGCTCCCCCCCTCCTTTTGCACTCTCCTCCTCTCTACTCTTTTCGCAAAAAAAAAGAATCTTTTACTGGGTACTTGAACCCGCGAACGACCGGATTGATCTGATGTCAGCAGCCCTCCGCTCGCTGCCATGCGCGCCTGCCGCCTGTCGTCCTAAACCTTTTGTCCAAACCAGGACGAAAATCAATCAATTTTCATTCTCGGTTTGAGCCCCTCGGACTCAATGGATTGCTCTCCGAACGAGGAGTCCATTGGTGGGGTCACACGTTCGGTTCGAGTCCTGCTCAGCGACTCTGCAGCTCAAAACGCGTCTGGAGTTTTGGCCGCCTCCACCGGTCTTCTGGCCCACTGTCCGCCGCGAGTGCGACAGAGACGACGCGACGGCGCGGTGTTTGGAACGGGGTGCGGTGCGCGCGGCGCGATGTTGTGACTTTGAATCGGAAGTGGGCGCGTGGCGGAGTTACGCGGCACGCTGCGCCACGCCGCGCCACGCCCTCGGCTTTGTACGCCACTGCACTGCAAGCGTCCGTCCCTCTCGCACTCACGGCGTGAGCGGCGCAAGGTGCGAGAGAGACAGCGAGTCGGCATGGGCGGAGCGGGCCGAGGGGGCACTGCCATGGCACAGCGGGGGCGGGGGCGGGTCGCGGGGGCGGGTCGCGGGGGCGGGGCGCGGGGGCGGGGCACCGTCTGCGGACCGCGGGCCCCCCTGCGGAGATTCTCGAAGGCGGGCACCGCATTGTGGAACCGCCGCGGGTGTCCGAGCGAGCCCGCGGCCAGGACTGTTTTGACAGCCGCGGTGAAGACTGCCCACTCCATTGTCATCATGCTGACATCATCATCATCATCTGCGTCCGATCTAGTTGCGGCCAACGGCCTCCCTCAACGCCTTAGTATTCTTAAGACCCTACTCTTTCATGCCCTGTATCGGGAAGACGTTGACCACAACGATTTTGCCTTTGACCGCAACGATTTGGGACCAAAGTTGGTCAAAAAGTGGTCGAATCTCGGAAATTTGCTGATTTTACTGACTTTGGGCGGCCACTGTGTCCAATCTAGTTGCCGTAAAAGGCCTCCCTCGACGTCCTAGTATTCTGAAGACCCTACTCTTTCATGCCCTGTATCGGGAAGACGTTGACCACAACGATTTTGCCCTTGACCGCAACGATTTTGGGACCAAGTTGGTCAAAAAGTGGTCGAATCTTGGAAATTTGCTGATTTTACTGACTTTGGGCGGCCACTGTGTCCAATCTAGTTGCCGTAAAAGGCCTCCCTCGACGCCCTAGAATTCTTAAGACCCTACTCTTTCATGTCCTGTACGGGAAGGCTATTGACCGCAAATAGTTTGGGAGCGTTAGCTTCACAAAGTTGGTCATGAAGGGTAAAAACAATGATGATCGGTGGCCTTTTGCGGTCTTATCCGACGGGGCCTTTTGGGGGCCAGTCCGAGCCTGCACAAGTGTCACGTTGTGGCTTCCGTATCGGTAGAGTCGGACCGCACCTGCCGTGTTTTTGATGGAGAAGGGGAAGATCTCCGCCGGGCGGACGACTGACGCGATGATGGCCCACTCAGTGGTGGCCATTTTGGCGGACAATGACGTGGAAAATGCCGTTGTGATTACGCCTTTTAGCCCTCGCTGCCAATTGGGGCACGCCACTGTCAGGACGTGTCGGGGGCAATTCGTCGCCTCTCTCTCTCTCTCTCTCTCTCTCTCTCTCTCTCTCTCTCTCTCTCTCTCTCTCTGACCGAGGCACGTGCCTCTAATTGTCGACGCCTTTCTCCTCTCTCGCCTGACTCCACACCCGGCCCGTCGCCTCGCCCCGTCTCTGTCGCACTCGCAGCGTTCCACGAGGGCCTGTGGGGGTGCGAGAGAGACGGGGCGACGGAGTCGCTCATCGGAGGGTGTCGGGATTAAAACACCGCCGTATGGGTTGTCCTCTGTGCGAAGAAGAAGAAGAAGAAGAAGAAGAAGAAGAAGAAGAAGAAGAAGATCAGCAGCAGCTCCAGAGTCGCTAAGTGGGACTCGAACCGAACGTGTGACCCCACCAATGGATTGCTCTCCGAACGAGGAATCCATTGGTGGGGTCAGACGCTCGGTTCGAGTCCCATTTAGCGACTCTGGAGCTCAAAAGGTGTCCGGTGTTTCGACTCGA